TACTAGGCACCCTAGGTAGCCTCTAGGTCAGCATCGATGGGATGTAGGTAACTGCAAATGTATGTACAATACCCCCCCACCCCCCTGCTGCATACCTACGCCAAGCTCCCGTCCAGACTCGCAGCAACCTAACCTAACCTAACCTACCTTTTTTCGCGGAACGGATCCCCGTTTACGTGTTCCAGCGTCGCGATTCGCGAGGAGGGGTTAGGGTTAGGGGGGTGAGCGGGAAGGGTTAGCCCTGCTGCCCTGGCGCCGGCCCGATTATTAGCTATTACATAGCTGGAGTGGAGGTAGTGTATGTACTATGTAGGTAGTTAATCTGATGATGGATGGAGTAGTAGTTATGTAGGAACATTTGGAAAGAAGCTGAAGAAGCTTCGGCGATGGTTGTTACAGTAGGTAGACTAAGGTAGTAACTAAATACTAAATAGCACTGGAAGCTAGGTAGTTTAGCAGGTGCCTAGACTAATAACTACCTAGCAGACCTAGCTCAGACTGTTAACTAAACCTCAATAACTACACTAGCTGTGCTGCTGTGGAGGTAAGTATGTCAATGGTGATGGGACAGGGGCGCCAGAGAAGAGAGAGAACTGTAAATATGGATCAATGCGGTTAGCTACATGTTGGAGCTTCTTATCGATTGCTCTTTTCTTTTTTTTTTTTTCTTTCTTTCTTTTTTCTTCTAACAAAAACTGACGTTGAATATCAGGATTCCTTACTACCTTATAGGTATCATGATACATACATAGATGTAGGTGTTGATAAACATCATCTGATACTTCAACTGATAAAGGTAGTTAGTTACTCTTGTTTTGTTTTCCAGTCGTTATAACCGAGCCAACCAGGACGGGTACCAAACCCGGAATGAGTGATGCTGTCGTCTGATGTACAATAAATACATACCATACCAACTATCTCCAAAAACATTATATATGACCTGTCACAATCGCAACATATGAACTTCATGCGTCCGCCGCGCATCGTTGTAAGCTTCATTACCTAGGTAACTACTGAGACCTACATCTTCACATGAATGTTGGTAAGAGTTTTTTTATCTTAGCCTGTACATACCTGCTATAGTATACACCGGATACGTGATGGCATTCACTGGGCAGGCCTTGTCATGCTCAACCCCAACAGCCCTACCTATGTATCTCCAAGCGGAGTTTGGTCGGAGTGACCAGGCACACGCAGGCGCCGCGAAAGCTAGACTTGACAAGGCCATAGATCTACCCCATGTATGTGAATGCCTACATACCTGCCAACCTACAAACGGAGTGCCTATAATATACACCATACAGCAAGAGTTTCCAGTTACCGATCTAGTATGGGTATCGCGTCGCCAAGTTGTCTCTGATCAATCATAGATGTGTGCGGGGCTGGCCTATCGGTGGCATTATGGCTTTGACGGCCCTTCTGCAGCGCCGGCAACCCCAGCTATTAGTCGCAAAGTGCAACCAGGTAGTCTAATACATAGCCTTATAGGCACGTAGTAAATCTGACACGGCGGGGAAGTAACTTCCAGCGGTAAAGGGCTTCCGACTCAAGGGTAAATGGGTCAGATGGGCAAATGTCGAGAACACTCCCTCCAGTGAACCAGTGAACATATTGACGGAGTGGTAGAAGTTTGAATAATATGAGCCCCCTCGATGGTATAGGGATAAGGGCCAAAGCTACCTAGGTAACTAGGTAGATTAACTTAAGTCAAAGTATCGTCTATTCTTCTAACCAAGCAAATGTAAGACATCTCTTTTTATACTTCGTGTAGTGCTCTTCAATAGGTACATGGTAGTCATACTCAGCCCCTTTCCAGCGTGATATACTCGGTTGTGAGAGACCAGACGTGTACCCGCAGACTTTATCGTGCCAACGACAACCGGGAGTTTCGAGCACTGTGCCTGGCAAGACTTGGGAGGAGAAGGCTCTCCATCAGACCTGTCGTAGAGCATGAAAGACGACCCAAAGCGTGAGATCCCTCATTTGGCAGCATATCCGGCAAGTGTAGAGGATATGTGGTACTCCGTCAAGAGTGGCCATTGAACACCCAAGGAGATTCTATGGATGAGATTTTAGGAAGTCTCGTCATAAAGTCCCAGTATTCTGGATGTTATAGGTATCTTCATCAATTTATGTTCCAGATATCCTGCAATGGTTCGTTGCACTAACAAACCAACATATACCCAAGCTCCCGGATTATACTGCGACCTGACCCTATAAGTTGTACACGCGCTTCCTCTTCAAGTACCAGGCATGTTATCGATTTCCATAATTTTTTTATCATATGTACTCGGGACCTTGTACGATAACTCTGTTGCTCGATTCACGAAGTCGACAAGAATCCATCCGACCCTGCATTCAAAAGTGCTGAACTGGACAGCGTGTTTCGAGTCCTTTGCGCTATACGAACGTTCGTAGCGTAGGTGTCCCTCCTGCACGGAGATCTCATTGGCGATGACCTTTCGAGTGCTTAGTCACGTGGTAACGGAGCCGTACGGTCCCAAGCATAGAAGAGAATGAGGGATCGATAACAGAGCTGAATTGGAGAAGATCGAGAGGGGGTATTCGTCTGAACGGGACACGCGAAGGGAGTCCGGCGCTTCGACCATGCCATCTTCTCATCTCGATGCGTATCATCAAAGACCGTCCACCTGTCACATGCCCTCAAACGCTCCTTCCGCTAGAATTAGCTAGGTATATAACTAGACCGCTGAGATCTTCGGATCTCAGCTAACCTTTCTAATACAAGCTTCTTTGATCTACTCTCACGATACCTGAGTGGTAGGAGTTATTCAGGTTGTGTTGGAGGGCGTTCAGCATTTTGTGCCAGGGAACGTCCGGGAAAGCGACGCATTGGAATCTCATCGCGATTTCGACATCCTGGTTCCGTCTCTCGCTCGCGCCGTCCGTCTGGGCATGGTAGCCCGTCGCCATCGCGGTTTTGGTGCCGCTGCGGCGCCAGAGCGTCTGCCATACCTCGCCTGTAAACTTTCGGTCCCTGTCCGTGATTATCTTCGCCGGGAGGCCCCAGTCCGCCGCGATCAGCATTCTGTGGAGCGCCTTGGCCCAATCTTCGGCAGTGTATGTTGAGTGTCCGGGAATCAGCAAGGTTTCCTTACTGAACTTGTCGGTGACTGTCATAAGGGAATCGTAGAAGTCGTAACCCGGTATATGCCACATAGTCCCCCTGGCGTCGACCTTGGGTAGGCCCACTATGAAGTCCATACAAATTGTATGGAAAGGAATACTAGGTTCCACGATCGGCTTCAATTCTCCCAAGGCCTTTCGCCGGTCTGTTTGGTTTAGTTGGCAGTGTGGACAGTGAGCAAGGTATTGGCGTAGCTTTTTTGCGAGGTGTTGGATGCTGAAACCGTCTAGGTCGTTCATGCGCATCAACTCTCTCTCCGTCTGCGAAAGGATCGATCGGTACCACCCCTGAGCTCGACCCCGGAATAGCTCATGAAGGTGCTCCGTTACCTAGTACCTTCTCGATACGGGTCTCATTAGACATGGAATCATGTGTAACTGGTGGAAGAAGGCGGAAGCATCTATGATGCTGACGTATTTGTTTCCGTTCATTTTCTGTAAGATATCTTTTGCTCGCAGTAGTGGGTAACTGTCAGGTAATACGTATTTGTTCAATCGTCTGAGGTCTACGACGACTCGCCCTTTCTTCTTTCCGTCCACCATCTTCCAAACAACAAAACAGGGGCATCCGAACGGCATCGATGAATAAGTTGACGCTTCGCCAATGCGTGTCTTTGCCAAGAGTCACATAGTCGCCAAGGCCATACTTGTCAGGAAGGTCAGGGCTGAAGTATCCGATATCTGTCACTTTCCACCCATCAAGCAGTGACATCTTCTTCGATTCCTCGCGTTTGTCCTTGAGGCTCCCTCGGAATTCATCCACCAGTTGTCCGATGGGACCATCCGCGATGTTTCCCATGGCGAGAGTCATAGCCGCGACCATCTCGTTTATACGCGTGCGAGAATCATCCCTATACCCTTCGTTGTAGACCCGATCTGATCCTGCCAACCATCCTCGTGGAGTGTCTTCATCATCTCGTCTCGTCCTCCCTTAGGTTCACGTAATCCTCTTCATCCCAAGCAACGCCCAATCAATGGTAGTCGTTCTCGAAAAGAAGAGGAAAATGGTGATTCTACTCCAGTGAATGGTGGGCGTTAGGTATTTGGCAAAGCAACGACCCCACGTAAGGTGCTACTATGTAGGATGTGGCACCGATGGAGGAAAACAGCACGTATAAAAGAATAATAGAGAGAAGGCAAGGATAGCGTCTCGCTCCCCAAGACTACTAGCTAAATGCCATGTGTTATGTCGTGAATAACAAGTACCTATATAAGGTGCAGATGTTAATCGCAACAAGCGGCGTCGCTCCTGTGCCTAGGTAATAAAGCGGATGTTGCAGTACAACTGCAACTAAGGAGAAGGAAGAAAGCTTGCTTTATTCCTGACTACTCTGGCGGAGTGCCAATATATGGCTATATGGCCTAGTGGTGCCTATGGTGCCTATGGTGCCTAAGACATCTGCAACAGTAATGAAGCATGAAAGAGGGAAAAGAGTAACACTAGGGGGGTAATAGGTAGATGAGTGTGGTAAGAAGTGTAGATGAGGAAGGAGATGTCTTCATATATACTCAACATGGAAAGAGTAATCAAACCTAAGAGAAATCATTGTAGCAAACTTTAAAATGGTGTGTTTTACATAGCGGGGTGACTGCCGTGCTGTGCTGTTATAGTAGCAATAACTTAGAAACATCCATTCGAGGTAAGGACTATTGGTAGAATGAGTCGACGCACCTAGCAGGTAGTGACCACTGAGCCAATTCCATACGGGAGTATGCCTACTATGTACTTACATTCATTCCGTAGCACGAGGTATACTATCAGGTAACTCACAGGTAAGTGACCATGTCAGTGAAGGGGTTGCAGACTGTCGGTTTTACCATGGCATGAGAAAATAGGGGTAATGATGATGTCCCATAAATTCGGTTCGACGTTGCATTTCACCACAAAGCAACAAAACATGCTTCACATTTTATTGATATAATAGCCTAAAAGGTAATTATAAGTGTGTAGGTGCCTTTTCAGATAGTTATTCAGAGTAACTACCTAGGCTACCTCTTAGCAAACTCCCTTGCGCGGTCGAGGTTGAAGGCAGCGCTGATGAGAGCCAGGTGGCTAAAGGCTTGCGGGGTGTTACCAAGCTGCTCTCCGCTACGCGAAATCTCTTCCGAGAACATGGAAAGGTGGTTCGAGAAGCTGAGCATATTCTCGAATAAATTCACCGCCCTCGCCAAGTACCTAGGTTCGTAAACCGAAGCCCGTGTTAAAGCTTCAACGAGCCAAAACGTACACATGCTGAATGCGCCTTCTTGCCCACCAACTCCTGTGGAAAGTATTAGTATAGAAACAAAAGGTAGCCGGAGGTTTAAGAAACTCACCATCGTTGGCTAATTCTGTGTCGTAGCGGTAGACGAGACCGGCGCTCGTTAGCCCGCCCTTTTCCGGTGGGAGAAGTATTCGGTCGACAGTGTTGAGGAAGCGCGGGTCATTGGGGGTAATGAAAAACACAAGGGGCGCGATCAGAATCGAGGAGTCCAGCATGGTATTGTTCTCATAACTCTGGATGAAGCTTTCCATTTCCGTGTTGTACCCTTAATATTCTCTCGATAAGCCTTGTTCGACCTTAGTCAAATTCACGAAGGAAACTGACCTTTCTCCATCACTTCTTCATAAAGAGAATCTCGAGCCTCTAACCACTTTACCCGGTTAGGACAGGGCAGACACCTCTTTTCAGCGAGCCGAAGGCCGCGGTCAAATGCTACCCAGAGCATCACCTTCGAATAGACAAAGTTCTGTTTGTTGTTGCGGACTTCCCATATAGACATATCCGGTTCTTAGAAAATTCCTAGTAAGCAACTAATCCATGATATTTTAAGAGCCCACTTCACTTACGATCGCGTATGGTTAAGACATGATCTAGTCCAAGTCAGCCATCCAGCCCATAAGTCTCGTCATACTAAGCTAGACAACTTACCAAGCATCTTACGAACAGAAACCCAAGTATCCCATGATATTGGTTTCCCATACTTATTGTATAGATATATAGCATCCATGAGTTCACCATAGATATCGAATTGCTTATGGAAAGCCGCCCCGTTACCGATTCGAACGGGTTTGCTGCCTTTGTAACCCTCGAGATGACCGAGCTCTTGCTCTGGTATATCTGTTTCCCCCCTAATAGTGAACATTATGGGCAAATCACCACCCTCCGTCATCGTTTTTCGGACTAGGCCGCTGATAAACTCCATGTAGGAATCCGCTTCTTCCGTAAACCCCATCCGCAACAAGATATAGACCGTAAAACTTGAGTCGCGGACCCAAGAGAAGCGATAGTCCCAGTTACTGCGTCTGGTCAGTTATTATATTTCATTTCTTGGGGCCTAAGCAGTACGGTACCACTTACCGTACTCCGCCGATCGCCTCCGGTATCGAGAATGTAGGGGCCGCAACAATGGCCCCAGTGGGCTCATAGGTTAGCATCTTCAGTATCATGAAACTTCTCATGACTACTTCGCGCCAACCGCCTTTATAGCTGCTCTTGGATAGCCAATTGAACCAGTAAGATTGCGTATCATGTTGTCGTGTGTCGAGATCTTGACTCGTGATATTCTCCTCCACGTGGTTTGGTCTGTCTTCGCGAAGTACGAATGAGATAGCTTGACCTTCCTGTAGAGTGAAATGGGCAACTACTCCCTCACCTTTCATGCCCTCTTTCTGGACCTTCTTGAAGATAAGATTTGGGCAGGCGGATGACTCTCTACCACCACAGTCGATTGTTACATCGAGTTGAAGCTTGAGGCTCTTACTGCAGAATGTCACCGTCTTACTTTGGAGACTATCAATACCACGCGCATTTTGTAGAATGGTAGTGGTATGAGACTCTCTAGCGTAGTCGAATGCTGGGAACACATCAACGTCTTCGAATACGTTAGCAAACTAGCAACAGTAATAAAGACGGAGAAGCAGACCTAGTGACATCTGGCCGCGAATACACTCGACGCGCCGTACTAACCACTTCTTCAGCTCCTCAAAGACACTTCTGGTCTCGCGGTAGGCACTATGCTTGTTCTTGGTAGATAAAACTGTGGCTTGTTTAGGGCGCGGAAAGAAGTCCACAACATCGACAACGCCATCTTCGTTGATATAACGAGTTTGGAGGATGGCGGCAGATGGAAGATACTGTTGTTTGGTTGTATATGACGCAGGCTGAGGGGGTGCAATGCTGAAGTAGCCCCCTTTGTGCTTATCCAGGAGACGACAGAATACAGACGGGGAGTCAAAATCTGGCCTGTAAAGGTATTTAGTTTCCAAATTGGTTGACCACTATATTCTGATTTTGATGATATCGAGATATCTAATGAGGTAATATAATTAAGGGGATAGGGGTAGAGGCCGCGAAAGAGAGTAGGGTAATAGAGGCAACCCACCAGCACATGAAATCTAATAGGAGCAGGGCAGTGTTCCATTAGTATATGAGTCTTCGAGTTGGTAACACCGCTCCAGAGTTCAAAGAAGTATATCTTGAACATCTTGAACACTTTAAACCTACCTACGCTCCCATCCATGCTTACTAAGGCACAGGTTCTCATGTTCCCAATCATGCCATAGTTCTCGATTGGGAGATACCCGGCGACATCTCTCGTAGACACGTTAAGAGTATTGCACTTGGCGGTAGCCATGGTGAAGGTGGTGATGATGACACTCTTGATAGTCTTGGTGAGAATACGATTCAATTTTAGTAGCACGGTAGGTACCTTATTCGAGTACTACTTGATGTTACCTAGCAGGTAGTAGTAGTGGTAGTCGCAGGTATCTTGAAGTGAAGGGGTTTGTTTAGTCTTCCGAGAAGCCACAAAAGACTTCGTCATGAGACTTGACATCATGTAAAGTCATCGAAGCTTCTCTGTTTTAGACCACTGGGTACTTACTAAAGCACTTCCCGCATCGAACGATACCGAAAGGAGCTTACGGTGATTCAGTATTCCGACATCATAAGGTGCATACATGTACAAATATCCAATATTTATACTACATATTATATGTATGATTATATGTATGTACACAAGTCTGTATACAGGCTCCTATTCGTACTTACGCACTACATATATTAATACATAAGACAGGTCTGGGAGGTGTACTACTTACCTATGTAGGTATCCACATCCGTCAGATAGCTTTCAAGATAAAATATAAAATATATTAATCCTTAAGTGAACATTGAAGTTGATGAATTACATGGTACTGTAACTATCCGGAGTAGTTTGTTTGATCTTCAATGTTCCCAGATTAATACACAGCCTGGAAATATTATGGATTTAACTACTTTCTCCATGCATAACTTCATATACCTTTTATACATACATACTATCATTTACGTCATATCCGGGGTTTATCTGGGGTTTTAGAGCACTAATATCGGTGTATTGAAGTACATACCCTAGGTACCGAGTAGTTATGTACTACCTAGTATTTTAAAGGCACAGGCGCATCAACAGGGATTCGTCGCGAATCCTACGAGATCTGAAATCTGATGAACACCATTGAAATGCTTGATTTTGTTTGTAAATTTGGAATGAAAACCAATTATGGAACTGGGAATTTGGGAATATGGAAAGGGGTAGCGCTCGCTTACAAACATTGGGGGATATAAAGATACAACATCTCAATCTGGTAGACGAGATACCTAGTCTGGGAAGGGTCAAGTTCAAATATTTTGATGTCGAAGCCAGGCAACATCGAAAACTAAAAATAGAATCAGCTAGGTTAGGGGATCTCCAGTCTCTATGGGGACAATGGGGAGCGATGAGTGGGCTAGATCGTATTTCTCACCCATAGTATATGTACAACGTAAGCGCTTGATATCTATCTAGGAGCTTTTCTCTTCCCTTTTTTGCGCTCATGACTGTAAATATATAGCAGTCACATGTAGCAGTATCTATATAATATGATCCCCCGATAACTATATGGAATTATCTTTGTTCGGAAGTTTAGTTTAAGCATACTGTTGAGTCGAGTTAATTACCTATGGTAGAAATGTCAAGATCAACATGATCTACCCTAGGTAGAGAGAGTTACATAAGCTTGTTTGAGCTATTCTAGGCTGCCACATAAAACTTGGGAAACCCACAGATGATATAATCTCAAGTGCTCTGTGGGCAACTTACAGTATGTATGTACAATATGTGCCAAGAATATCACTGTACTGCGTGCATGTGTGTGTAATTGAAGGTACCCTGTCATGTGCCTTCTTTTAATGTCAGGGTCTCACAATCCATCCTATGTACGACGTACATAACTTGAAGGCACTGACTGTATGCCGTGAGCTGAGACCCGAGTTTAAATGATGAACCTGTACATATATGAGTGGGAATGTGCACCTGAAACGTTGGGGATGTTGTTATTCCAACGAATTGGCCTGGTACAGACACAGTACGTAGTTATACGCCTGCAACTGAACAAACATACATATCCTGATTCCTGGGTAGTAAAATGATGCATAGTAGTCCAAGTGTTGGATCGTTAAAGTTCAAGAAAACCCTGGAGGTACAGTCTTGACCTAACCTTAGGGCGAATGAAGGCGAATCAGAGCGAATGAAGTTTCAAGCTAAAGACTCTAAAAGCCTAATAACGACATTACCATGGAAGTAACCAACGCATCGCTTGCTTAAATTAGTTACGGCACATGTAAGTAGGGTAGTCGCGAGACAAGCTTAATGAACCTGGGTAACATCCTCGGGTGGGCAATGAGCTGACATGTATGGCCCAGGACTGACCAATTACTACGATAACTTAATACTACCACATATATTTTCAATCTTGTACTACTACTAGTACCTACATTCTGCTGCTAATAGGTACAATACATATCTGTACTCCGCCCCCGGCTTCTCCCCTATCACCACCGTATAGACAAATTTGTATTGTACATACATGTACCCTTGAATCTGCCGCGACAGTCAACGGGCTTCCTTTTTTTCCTCTTCCATCCTTTGTCACATCACCCCTTTCGCTTGTCTAATTGGCTGTTCACCCAATATACATAATATTTATTTACTAGGTACATATGCACATAGTTTCAACTTGTGCAACATCAAGGTCCGAAAGAGAAAACGAAAAAGAAAACGCTTCTCGCGAAGTCCGGCACCTCTCAAATCTCCTCTCTTAATCTCATTAATCCAAGATTTAGATACATATGCTGTTCGAATAAGCCATGGCATAGCACCATCTTGAGATTATTGTGACGCCTTCGCATTTACCGACCTTATGTCATAAGCAGCATACTTACCTGTAAAGCGCCGTTAGCTTTCAGTCATGTCTTCCATTCAACAGTCCAACGTAAACGAGAAGCAAGCAATGTCCGACGTTAAACACTCACACTCCGCTTTTGATAAATTACCCGACGAGATAATTGAACAGTAAGGCTACTGCTATCAGCTTCTTCGAGCTGCGATTATTGATATGCCGTCTGCTGTAGGATACTTCAATTGACGGATCCCAACTCGTTCGCATCCCTCGTTCTGCTCAATTCAAAATGGAGACGCGTTTCCCAGCAAGCTCACCTCTACGCTCGTCACCTCTCTCGATGCGATTCCTATGCTTCTAGTCATAATGTTTTGCCCACCTATACCACAGATGAGGACAAGTTGCCGAAACTGCGCCGCTTATTTGCTCGCGAAGTAAAGAGGAATCTCTTTGAGGCTTACCTGCGACCCAGGATGACCACGATTAAGCTAATATCAAATTGTATCGGCTCGTCCTCTGCTCCTGGCGGCGAGGGAATGCAATTTAGTCCTTCTCCCAAAGGTCATCATATCCTCGCGTATAATTCGTCCCGGATATTTGTACTCGATGTTAGGAAATCCGAACTAATTGTGAAGCGCGAGTTCAAAATATTGCGCCGTCCGGCAGCTGTTTGTATCTTGGATGATGCCAGCCTTCTAGCAGTCCTGTCAACTGATATGCAGGTTGATCTGTATGATTTAGGGAACGTCCCCCCGCGCCGAAGACAATCGCTCATCCTTGACCATTCTCCTCGCGCTATCGCTTTGTCGCCTTGTGGGGGTGTTTTAGCAGCTGCCTATGAGGGCGGAATCGAGGTATCAGCTATAAACCCCGGCGCTTTGCCTACGGATAGAAGGGCAGTCAAGTGCGACGGCGTTGATTCACTCGCTTTCTCTTTCGATGGGACTCAATTATTAGGGACGACAACAACATCCTACACTCCCAATACTGTGATATTAACCGCCCCATACTACGATCCCGGAAACCAAATGGCCCAGGAGAACAATATCAGCTCGTTGTGGACTACTTCTATACTGTTTCCAAACACAAGCCGAGATTGCAGTCATGCAGTTCTATTGCAAGAATCAAGCTCTATGGAAGCCGCTTGGTCATTTGCCTACGACAGGAGTTTCGAGACTTTCCGTGCCGTACGGATTGATGACCTTCGCAACGGAACGACTTATTTCACAGGACCTGTCCCTGCTGCAACTTCCCCGGGTCCCTTATTACCATGTACCATGCCTGCCGTTAGCTACCAAGGCGACATTGTATCAGCTGGGTTTGAAGGGAACGACATTTGGATATATGGTGTACCTGAGGATCTGGAGGCTGTCCCAGAAAGCGGCCATACATCTTTCGATTCTAGCGGGCAGCCTACATCGCATCGTATAAATAACGGGATGCCAGCGCGTCTCCCGCATCAAGTGCAAGAAGAAAACGGTACGCGGGTTCCGCAATGGCAAATACTCTGCGATAAGTCACGTAATACTTTCGTAAATGGACGCAAGGTTACCCAACTATCTGGCGTGAGCACCGTGAAGTGGGTTTCCAACTTCGGTGAGACGCCTTTTGAGGAACGTCTAATTGTTGCTGCACGGGGTATCATGCCACCTAAGCTCGTAACCGAGGAAGACGGTATTGATTTTGTAGATGGAGGAAGAATTACGATGCTCGATTTCGACTATAGTTTAGTCGATGGTGACGAGACAGAAATTACCATTGAAGTTGGCACGGCCGAACCTGAAGCTCTGGAAGAGGAACGCCGTGATATTGATACAGAAGTTGCGATTGTCAGGAGGAGAACAGTAGCGCAACGGAGAGGTTATCGGAATACTATGATGGGCGCGGGAGCAACGTCATCTCGTCAGGGGGATGCTGCTCTTCGGCCATCAACCTCCCACAGCAATGATCTGGAAGATCCCTTAATACCACGGCCCATGGCAACAGCCCGTATGGACTCGGAGACGACAGCTGTCGACGAATCGGAAGACGTTTCGTTAGAGGAGGCTCAGGAGGCTCTTGATGCTCCGTATGCCCATGCGAACCCACGATCCGGTCCAACCCTACGCCGCGCTGCCACAGCTGCTGCTGTCAGTCGCCGACGGAATCCGGCACCGGCTATGGCGGGGCCTGTTCAATATAGACGTGCTGACGGAAGGGCAGAGCATCCACATGAGAGTGACGCTGATAACTGGGTACCACCCCCTCCGCCATACTCCAAAGAAGACCCTGGCGATTTACCTGCCTTCCTACGCCATTCCGTTGTTTCACTCGCACCGACTGCTACTGGCTCTATCCCACCCGTCCCACCTCTTCCCTCAACTATTCCGCCTGTTCCTCCACTGCCACAGGCGACACATACGTCCAATTCCGGGCGCCCAGAGTTGCCTCGTCTCCAGACCACCCCCTTTCGCGAAATGATATCTCATACTCATACATCTTGGAATCCTCGTACGTCACAACAAAACGTGGTAGGTAGTATCGCCAGTGCTAGTAGGGCCGTCGCTCCCTCGGAAAGATCGTTGCGTAGACGTGTGTCAAGTCAATCGTTCACACAAGACAGCCGCCCTCGTATAGATGATTTTGGGGATTTATACGATGTTTCTCCCGTCGGATCACCCACTCAAGATGTTAGCTCACACATGCCTGGAGGCTCAAACGCGGTAAAAGTCACCCCAGAACGGCCTGGTTCATATCAGCGGTCTAACGAGGCACAATCATCAACCACAGGACACACACCAACCTCATCTAGGTCACAACCAATAATGGAAGGCTCTCGGTTATATACGCTTAACTTTACCGATCCATCATCACCAATTAGCGCCCGGAGACGAAATAGCGATCAGATCTCTACCAGTCCAATAGTTAGTAGGCTTCCTAATTCTAACACATGGCCAAGGAACCCCCCATCATTAGACCCAATATCCTCGGCTGTACTTGGTGGATTTCCTCGCTCTGCGCCTGCAACAGATCAGAACATTGAAGATATTCCAGGATCGGGTCTACCCCCGGCACCGCACCCGGGCCAATTAGCAAGTCTACACACTAGACGAAACGGTATCGGTGCACCTCGTCCGGCGTCAGGCAGCTTTCAGTTCCCACGCGTACCCGTGGGTAGTCGTGACGATCAGTTTCGCGAATCGCGCCGGTATAGTGGCATCCCCGAAATACGACCCCCTACAATAGACCCCGATCAGCCACTAATTATTAGCACACCCACCGGCGTGAGCGGTGCTTTTGACGTCCCTGGTCAATCTGACGCACATAGACAGCATATAGAGCCAGTATTACACGCGCCAGTTCCTCGTCATCCTGGGCCTGGATCGGGGACTCACCTGTTACGCCCTACAGTTGAACGTTTGGAAACCATTTCTAGTATGGGTAATGGGGATTCGGTGAATCAGTTGCAGGCGCCGCCCTCTTCACGGCTTTCTATCACGCCACTGCGTCATGCCAGTTTAAAAAGGCGGCAGAGTCGTGCTCGAAGGGGAGCACTGAAAAATATACGTGATGCCAAGGCCCGAGGATGGATGGGACGGAAAAACAACAAGACGAACGATAACGAGTCCTGGACGGATGTCGCATGGGCAACGGCAACGGCAGCCCCTGGCAGCCAACTCAGAGATAAAAAGTGCATTGTGATGTAACGAAAAGGACTTGCGCACTATACGACGTAACCTCAAAATCTTCGCATCAGCTAGGGGATTGAACAGTCGGGCTTGGATAGAATATCCTACTAATCTGTCAGGTAGCACCTTCGAACCCTAATGTCTGGCTAGATCTTATTCATTAGATCGAATACTTGCCTAACCCTTTCTTTTTGTTTTGCTACATGGTTTTGGGACGAGGGCATATATATTGTGTACGGGATTCACTCGCTTTGGGGCTTTGGATGATGATATCTACCTACGTAGTAGGCGCTATGTGTGAGGTAACACGGGACTATGGATGGAATAACGGTCAGAAAAGCGTGTATTTGATATACCAAGATCTACCTTGGGATTAACCTACCACCGGTTTGATGGGGGTTCCAATCAAGTAAGACGTGTTGATGTCTATCTACCATGGCCTTGTTGCTGCTGCTGCTGCTGCTGCTGCCTTTGTGATAACGAGCACGTCATCGCCTATGTAGATGTTGATGTAGATGTTGATGTTGATGTTGCTGAAGCTCAGGAGGTATGTAGTAAGTATTACACGCGATGCTCCAGACTTCCAAGTGCTAGGCCGATATGAAGCTCTTAATTTATCGTATCCTGCCTTCTACGTATGTGTAGGTAGTAGCTATGCAGTTAAGAGCCCTATGTAAGTTGTCTACTATCCCTACTTAATCACCACCAATCTCACCAAGTGGGTGGGTATTCGTACATGCTACACATAGCTCACGGATAAAGGAAAGTAAAGTAGGTAATAGTGATTGATGTAGGAACAGCAGAAACGAATTCATTTTCTTTATAACCCAACGCTCTCTAAGAGCGCGGGGAAAGTATCTATGTATGTGTGTACTTTCAATGTTGAGTACATTAGTACTAATACTATGCACCTATTCCACCAAGTGAGCTTACATATAGAAAGGCTCGCTCGTTCGTTCGTTTGTTTGTTCGTAGATGCTTCCATCCATCTATGCTTAGAACAGGTAGGGTGTGAAAAAAAAGCCGTCATTTCCCATAAGTACCTAGCTCCTTAAACGCCGCGCCTATGCAGGGTATACAGACAGACAGACAGACAAACAGGCCGGCACAAACCCACTGATTCACACACTACATGAGTATGCGTCAAGTATGTGTGTGTGTGTGTGTGTGTCGGAGTTGTAGCCTTTCGAAATCGAGAGAAAAAGAGAAAAAAAGGCAAATATTCGCAAGTAGGCTACCCAGCTTCCACCAGAGTATGCCTTGGACCAAATTGGACCTGTCATTTATCCATATCCATAACCGTTTCCATTCCATTTCCATTTCCGCGGCCTTGGCCATAATAACACCGTGCCTCTCTTGTCACTGATAGCCGGTTTCCTAAAACTCCATATCGATCATAGCCACGTCCTCGTCGGCGAGGGAGCTTAGACCGGAGCTGGCTGGTCTGGACTCGATGTCGGCTGTTTCGGATTCAAGCGGGCGCTGAGATGTCTCATGTAGTTTGCGGGCCCAGGACTGGATGCTGTTATCGTCATTGCCGTGGTTGCCGGGGTCGCTCTCGACAATGCCACGGCCGAGGATCGTGCCTGCGTACTTGGAGTCTTGGTCTGTCTTGTTATGCTTGCGCTTGAGAGCTGTATTTATTCTTGTTAGTATATCATGTATGGCGAATCGCTGAAGGGGAAGTTAGTACCGTTTAGGTAGTCTGTCTCGCGCTGCTCCTCCAAACCATTTACATCAACTTCGCCTGCGATCTGCTTGTCAAGCGCAGCAACCTTGCGGATTCTCTGATTCTTTTTGCCAACAGCCCAGCTAATGAATTCATCGACGCCCCGGGTGTCCTCTTTTCCGCTCACTTGTTGCGCTGTGAAATCGCGTTCCGGCATCAGAGCTCCACAATCCTCGAGGGCGAGTCGTACGTCGACGACATCTGGGATGCCTGGGAGGCCGGTTTCGTTATTATGAGTGGCGTGCTTAGCAGTAGATTGCGCAATCAGAGTGAAGTATTTGGCGGCGAGGTCAGTGATGGCGTCGATGGTGGCGGTGGTAGATGAGTAATAGCCTTGAGCGCGTAAAATCTGGAGTACCGCAGGTCGAAGTAGAGCATGATGAATCTCGGATGCCGTGGTGGCGCGGGAAACTTGTTGAGTGTGTGAAGCCATCTTGAATGTTGAATATACTGTATGGTAGGTATCTTTTGAGGCTTTGAATTGTGCGAACGAGGTGTCGTATGATTTGTCTTGCGAGTCTTGGGTTCAAGGTGGCGTTCGAGTCAAAAAAATTGTAGCTCAGGCAGGATGTACGGTGAGCGAGATTCGAGGATAGCTCCGCTAGATGATTTATTTTCTAGCAGTTGGCGTGTGTAGGTAGTTCACGAATTGAGAAAGACGTGATAGATTCGAATGAAGGATTTCGTGTATAAAACTCGGAAGACGGGATCGATTCTATGGACGCGATTTTGGAGCTGAGCTCGGCGCGATGTTTGGAAGATGGGCGCAAGTATGAATCAGTCGAAGAAGGAATGTCGGTAGAATTTTAAGAGCGAACAGAGTTGAGATTCGCTTATGAAAGGCAATGGCGCATCTAGAATGAAGTGAATGACCTATTTGGTTTTCTACCGAATTTGAGTTGTAGATTTAAAATCGTTGTAATGTGCGCGTCTTTCGGGACAGGGCGCGGTTGAAAGTTTTTGTAAAGAGTGTGGGTGTTGTATTAGAATCAATCTGAAGAAAAGTTTTAGTGTGAGAGGATGGAAGGTAACAATTAACTCGTTAGAAAGAAGAGCAAATATGTACAGTTGAGCTTGAGAAATGTGGATACTACTATTATGTAGGTATCTAGGTGGGTAGTCAGGCGAAGGAAATTCGAGAGAGAGGGTATTCGATAGAAAGTCGAGATGTGTTGTATCGCCAATTAGCCGTATTCGAGCGAACTTCTTTGCACCTTAGCCATTTAAGCAAATAACAGATCCTAGCAGTTGGCTGCTAGGTATGCTGCCATGTTAGCGACAGTTGGCGCTGTATACAAACTGCTTTTTTTTTCTATGAGGTGGGAGGGGAAGGAGGAAGAGGGAAGAGGGAAGAGGGAGGTTTGAAATTTAGTTGGAGGCTGAAGATTTGAATTGTGAAAATGATGGAGACTGGAGAACTTGGACTGGAGCTGCAAGAACATTGAAGCTTTGAACTATCAGACCCTGGCACTGCTAGGCACTGACAGTCCGAGGTACCCTAGGTAGTTAGTTGCTACTAGGTACTGTAGTAACTGTACATGTTGCTGGGTACAGTACATGCACCTTTAAGGTGGGGACAGCTTGAATAGACCCCACTCTAGTACACAGTTCCATGGCACTTTTTTAAACATTTGAATGGGCCCATAGTTACATAGTACATTTGGTATGCATGCCGCGTGCGTGCAAGACGCGCTAACTGCAACTCTAGCTATCGATAGCTTTCCTATACTCAAGGTCAGTTGTCGCATTTCAACACCACACCTCAACCTTCAATCCTTAATATCAGGCCCATGCATACATAGCTCAAGCCGTCTTTTCAATTACATCCTTTTTTCATTCTGCCCAGTAGGGTACTTACATCCTGTCCAAAACATTTAGGAACCTTACAACTTACTTCTTTACAACTTTTTTTCCCCATCTTCTTACCTTACCACTGCGACTTTTGATCATTGCGAACAACTACAACTTTTTGACCTCGGCGACTACAAGTGAGACCACTGCGACTTTTACAACTACAACTTCAACTTCGTACCAATACCGTTTATTCATTTTCACCACTTTAACTTTTCCGCACTTACAACTATCGACTTTATTGTTTCTACTTTTACTCATTCCACCTCTAACTTTGAACCGTCTAAACTTTCTTACCGCCCCAATTTCCTCCTCTTCCCCCCCACAAGACCATCATCAGACCCCTCAACATATATCAACCTCTCGCTAGCCTCTCTAGGCCATCTTAGCAGAAGCAGAAGGACCTTTTAAAGAGAAACGAGTCCATAAAAATACCCATAAATTTGATCCATCCCTCTTGTACTTACTATCCCGCCAACACATTCGCGCGCTCGCGGCATAGTAATCATGTCATCGTCCATCAACGTCAAGCCAACCCTGAAGCTTGATACCTCGCAACAAATGCCTCCTCCGTCGAATCCAGATGGTCCCCGACCAATCCTAAAAGTGAACACAGCATCGCGACAGTCTTCATTTAGTGGCGATGTCGGCACTCCCACTCCGTCTAGTGAGAGTCGTAAGATCAAGATTAGGCTCTCATCACAACCCACCACGCCTGCCGCTACCTCTGCCGGCCTTACCCCCGTTATCACCAAATCCAAAGCTGGAAGAACTTCGAAGCCAACTGCGAAGCTCATTGAATCTAAGAAGCGTGGATATGATAGCGACGAAGATCAACCATTATCGAGTCGGCCCAGCAAGATGATAAAAATTAAACCAAATGTCACCAAACGCTCATCCGTTCATTCCTATGGCGTATCAACTCCTGTCAGTTCCATCAAGTTCAAACCTAGAGGAGAACCCGTTGAGCACAACCCTGGTGAGGCCTACGACTCTGAAGCTAGCGACCGCGAACCCGATCCTATTCGAGAAACCGCCTTTATACTCCGTGTCCTTCCTGGCCCTTCCACAGAATATCTACGGAAGGCGTTGTCCGAGGGCGCTATTGGTATACCCAAACAGAACGGAGGGGCTGATTTCAATGTACAATTTATCGACGCTAAGGAGCGACGAGCACTCGTAACCATTGATGGAAAATTTTACGCGGCAGTCTTGGTTCATCTACCGACTGTCACCGAAGCGATGAAGTCTTGGGATCGCAAGAATATGATGAAGAACTCCAACATTACCGAAATGCTTCTATGTTTCCAGGAAGTCCAGAACGAACTCGAGGCTAAAACGGTGCCGCTTCCACCCATGGTCGTTAAGAACGAGCATAGGTGGCCTCATGGCCTTACTCCTCCAATGCACGACGCTGTTCACCGACGATTTCGAAAGACGGTATCAGAAAAGCAATGGCAGGCCGCTGCTATGGAAGCCGCGAGGCTGGCCGAAGAGGATGCAGCCGCTATTGAGACTCATTATGAGACTCTGATTGGCGAGAACGATGATCCAGATACGGAGGACGAAAGAGACGCGTATGAGGGCAGGTACGGCGACGAGGACGAGGTGTCTTCTCGGAGGGAGCGCCAGATCAAAGATGAGGGTCAGGACGAAGACCAAGACGCTGATGGCGAAGTTGACCAAGACTACTTCGAAAATCAGCCAGGCATGCAAAATGACAACGCAGAAGATGCCGAATATGATGCCGAAATGTTAGCTGCCATGGAAGCCGAGCTTGCTGAAGACGCAATGGAATTTGACGAGTCTGTCGCTGCAACACCAAACATCCCACTAGAAGCAGCAAATCAGATGATGGTCGATGCCGATACTCCAGCAGGGATGGCGGAGATCATATCAGAGGAGGATGAAGACGACGACGACGATGACGACGATGACATGGAAGATGGAGACGAGGAAGTCGACGAAGAGCAGTTAGTTGCCGAAAGAGAACGCAAGGAGAAATTGGATGAGATCGAACATCTCAAGAAAGGGCTGGACGAAATTGAAACCCAACTTGCAGGAACTGCGGCCCCGATCCTGCGGAAACGAATTCTGTCCAGACGAGATAATCTCAGAAGAGAGATTGCTGTGAAAAGAGCTGCTCTTGGCTTAGAAGCAGATGATTAGGATACAGGAGTGCGAAATGTACCAAAAGCCTAGCAAGAACCAAGGTGGTGGTGGTGGTGGTGGTGGTGGTGGTGGTGGTGGCAGTCAGACGGGATAAAATATCCCATGTGCTTATATTTGGTGTTCTCGAAGACTCCTATTACCGTTCTACGGGATAGATCTAAGTGGTGGAAGCATGATGAGCATCAAGGAACCTGTAATAGATGCACAAACAGGCGTATAGCGTACGGTTCATAATTTCTCAAACATCAATGATACCCACCCAATTATCAAACCATTCATTCAATGATGGGAATACCGCAGTAAAATGATAAAATTGAAACATAAGTGAAATGCGTGTTGTAATGTGAGTCTTGTCGATGTGTATATATATATACTATTGACTTGTTGTGATTTGTATACACGTTTAGTTCAGTTCTCGTATAATATCATACAATTCGAGAAGTAGGAGCTGTGTGTCTGCGTAGCCTCGTTGCTTATAGGAATTGAGGCTCTCTCGAGCTTCGGATTTGCTTCTCCCATCTCATCGCCTTCTTCACGCCGAATGCCGGAACAAGAATATCTAGGCGGGTAGTCAGGGAGATCTCAAAATATACCCGCTCGTCGTCTCAGCATTACCGTCTGCCATGACCAGAACTCATATACTAAGTAGGCAGCTCCCTCTATCCCTAGCTAGTACTATCCAGCATGTAAGCACTTGGTGCATACGCACACAGCCACCCAACCACCCAGCAGTATATTGCCACTCCCGTACATGCGACTATTACATGCTCTTCAAGTAATTGGTCTCCTTGATCTTGGCCTTGCGCTCCTTCTGCATGGCCCTGCGCAGCGTCTCGCGCGCGTCGTGGGAGGCGATGGCGCCCTCGAGCGTCCCCGACTCGTTGGCGGGGAGGTTGATGCTCTGGTTCTGCAGCGGGATCTTGGGCGCCAGCGCGTCCAGGTTTCCTTCCGCCAGAAGCCGCGCCTCGGTTAGGCGTTGTCGCTTTGCGGCTAGCCGACGCTGTTTCTTGGATTTGGCTGGGGAGGGGGGGGAAGCAAGTTAGTTAACTTTGAAGGTCTTGGGGTGGGATGGAGATGGAGGAGGAGGAAGTGGAGGGGAGGGGTTGTGATATACGTACAGTACTCGTCACCGGCGTCATTTTCCGCATCTTCGTCCGTGTCCTTTTTCGTATCCAGGCACTTCCACAGCCAGCTCGGGTACGCCTCGTCGGCGAGGGCGACGGGGTCGGTGCGGCCCTTGAAGTAGTTGAGCCCCGTCAGCACGGTGCCCTCCACGCACGCTGACAGCTTGGGTTTGTCCTCTGCGGCTTCGTCGCCGAGCGCTGTGCCGAAGGTGGGTGGGGAGGACTCGTCCGTGGTGGTGGGGGATGGCGGGTCGGGGGCGGGCGAGGAGGCTGCTCGGCGGGATATCGAGCTCGAGAAAGGTCGAGCTGGGGACTGTATTTGGGGGGGCTTGACGAGGCGCGAGCTCAGCGCTGAGGCTCGCTGGAGGCACCGGCGACAGATCATGGCGTTGTGTGGAAAACGCTTTTGCGATCTTTTATTTTATTAATTTTTTTTTTGGCGGGCGGGCGCTTTGGCGGCTCCAAAGTTGGGATTTCACTTTTTTGGTGTTGAAGCTTCAAGGTTTGCGCTACAAATTTTATATGGGGCTTCCAAGGTCGGAGCTTAGTGCCATTATTTCGCCGGTGACTACGTTATTAATTAAGCACCTCAGCCCGGGCCCCGTGGAGAGCCGCAAGCTTCAATGGTCTCTGTTAACACTACTAGGTACTAGATGAGTAGATGTAAGATGAGTCAAAATCTGGTAGGACATCATTTATGAGACTCGGGTTTGTTCTTGGAATAAGTTTTTATTTTTTATTTTTTAGCATTTGTGTTTGAATGAAATCACTGCGGCTGAGTGTAGATTGATGTCTAAAGACCTCATTGAAACAGGAGTCTTGCGCAAGCATCTCAGTCTCCACGGTCCTCGCAACGCATTCAGCTCAATCCCATTGTAAGTAATTTGGTATTGAAGTTAACCGGCGATCTAAAGTGTGTCTATGCACAGATACATGCGATTCGTCCTTCCACTTCTATTTCTTTGTGACGTAGTTCTCTTGCTGGAACATATAACCACGTATTCGGTGGTCCTTGAGCAATTGGAGGTATCGTTCTATTGCCAATATTAGTTTCTCGTCGCATGCAAATTATAAGTCTCCTGTTATGAGAAACTGGGAGATCCTTAGAGAGGCCATGGACCAAACTAACCTCGTAAGGCGCCACACTTCTCGAGATGGTTGACACCTTCGCGATAGTAGCATTTGTTGAGCTCCTGCTGGACTAGCCGTCCCATCATAACATGCACCCATTGCTCTCTGATAACGGCATCTTGCGCCTGCTTGAGTCGCTTGTTGTCATCGTAGTCGACACCATCGAAGCTGGCAGGGACTGTGGGCTTCTTAGCCAGAAAAGCCTCGGACTCGGGGGTCGGCATAGCGGAATGATGATTTACAGAGGAATTTTGATAATAGAACTTGATTGATCTGTTGAGAAGAGGGTATCTCCTCGAATGATGGCAATTCAACCTTTTAGCATAGGGTTGTATCAAGAGGGTTGGTAGATTTCGTAGTGTATTGAGCTCTCAGGCAAGCAAGCTCAATTGAAGCAACCTGAGAAGACAAGAATACAAGACTACAAGCAATGAACCAGTGACAACATGAGCATTGAACATCCAGGTTGAGCTGACTAAAGTCACGTGCGGCAAGAAGCAATTTAGTTACTTTTTACAGAGGACCGAGGTCCACAGTAAATAAGATTGTGAACCGTGCTATCAATGATGTATGTTTGTTATCACTCCGCACTAAGTTGTGAATATGAAAAACTAACACTCACCGCCTGCATATGCCCCACCGGCAGATTCAAATTTTCGAAGAAGGGTCCCGCGTCTCGAGAAAATTTTAAGAGCTAACCCAACCACACCTTTTCATCCCGCAGTTTAAAACACTGCTTCTTCGCTCCCACCTTGCATACACTCTTCTTTCTTCCTTCACAATTCATTCACAACATTCAATCCCCTCCTTCATATCCTTCAATCCCATACCTTTAATCTTTATTCTAACCTTCTCGCAATAATGGGAAAGGTTAAGCAATCCAACGGCAAAGCCGCAACGGCTGCCCCCGTCAAGAAGGCCGGTGTCACAAAGTCCATCGATAGCCCCAAGTCCAAGTCCAAGCAGATTGCTAAGGATGTCGCTTCCAAAGCTGTGAACGGCAAGGACTCTAAGAAGAGCAAGAAGAGCAAGAAGGTCGAGACTGAGTCTGAGGATGAATCTGAGGATGCCTCCGAGTCTGACTCTGACTCGGACTCTGATTCCGACGACTCTGCCGACTCTGCCTCCGAGTCCGAGGAAGAGAAGCCCGCCGCCAAGGCCTCCAAGGTCAACGGCAAGGTCGCCAAACCTGCTGCCAAACCTACCGCCAATGGCAAGGCCAAGGCTGCTAAGGCCGAAACTTCCGACTCGTCTGATTCCTCTGATTCCTCTGATGATGATGAGGAGGACAGCGACGATAGCGAGACTGATGCTGATGCAGTCAAGGCAGCTAAACCTGCTGTCGCCGCCGCCGCCAAGGTCAGTGCTAAGGCTAAGGTATGTTCATTCCACACATCATAGCTCTGCTTCACGCATATACTAACATGCCTCTAAAGAAGGATTCCGACGACGCTGAGTCCGAAGAAGACAAGGACTCTGACGATTCAGATGACTCGGACGATTCCAGCGACGCTGAATCCAAGGAAGAGAAGAAGGTTGTGGAGCAACCCAAGAAGCGCAAGGCCGAAGAGGAAGAGGCTGCCCCCATTAAGAAGACCAAGACAGATGATGGTGAGGAGAAGGTCACTACCCTATTCGTGGGTAACCTTGGCTGGGGTATCGATGATGATAAGCTATATGAGACATTCAAGGACTGCGCCGGCCTCAACAGTGCCCGCGTTGTCACCGACAAGGCCATGCAACGATCTCGTGGCTTCGGATACGTTGACTTTGCTACCCCCGAGGATTGCCAAGCTGCTTTTGACACAATGAACGGCTTCGAGCTCGAGGGCCGTGGAATGCGATTGGACCCTTCCAAGCCCCGTCCCGCTGAGGATGCTACCCCCAATGCTCGCGCAGCAGACCGAGCCAGACAGCACGGAGATACCGTCAGCCCAGAGAGCGATACCCTTTTCGTTGGCAACCTTCCCTTCGATATTGATGAGGATATGGTCACTGCCTTCTTCGGCGAAGTCGCTGAAGTCAAGAGTGTCCGACTTCCTACTGACCCGTAAGTCACTTCCCCCAAGTTTATTGGTGATCTTGTTTTAACATTATATTAGTGAATCTGGAAACCGCAAGGGCTTCGGCTACGTCTCATTCCACTCAATTGAGGATGCCAAGAATGCGTTCAACGCGAAGAACGGTGGCTACGTTGGTGAGGGTCGCTCGTCTCGTACCGTTCGTCTTGACTATGCCAGTCAGCGACCTCCTCGTGAAGGTGGCTTCGGCGGTGGTCGTGGCGGCGGCGGCGGCGGCTTCGGTGGTGGCTTCGGTGGTGGCCGTGGTGGTGGCGGCCGTGGTGGACGTGGTGGACGCGGTGGTGGTGGTCGTGGCGATGGTGGCCGTGGCCGTGGACGAGGTGGCTTCGGTGCCTCTGCCCGCGGTGGCATGCAGAGATTTGAGGGAAAGAAGATCACCTTTTAAGGTGACACAGCCGCACTTGAGGATACTCTGAGGGCTCATTAACACACATGACGGTTGGCTTATCGTGGGTTTGTCGGCTTCCAAACTTATATTCTCCTTTTGGAGTTGTGGGCTTTGAGGGCTAAGCTTCTTAGTGAAGCTGTGATTTGACCAGAGGGCTTGATCGGAGGGAAACCTCCATGTGGGTTCTGAGGGCTTGCGGGCTTGAGAGCTTCTTACAACCAAAAAGTGCTGCTAATTTGCGGGCTCGCGTTTTGCACTTCTACGCATTTCTGTACACAATTCGGCTTTGTCTCCTGTGGGCTTTGATGGCTTCTTTCTAACCGAACGAAGATGGTATGAGCCTTCTTGTACTTGTGGATTCGATCCCGAGTATCTCGAAGTGGACCAAGCTTTTACTAGGCTACGCTGGGGGCTTCATGACGGCGTTCGAGGGTACCCAAAAGTTTTTCTTTCCCCCTTCCCCTTCCCCTTTCCCTTTGCAGATACGAATGACTTTGCGACGTATTCCTCGCAATACTCTAATATCCTGGATACCTAAGTCTCGGTGAGTATAGTCTACCTAATCATGCCTTGTGTATTCCGCGGATTTCACCATTGCGCATATCCATAGATCCGTCACCAGTTTAATGAAACTGAAATTCTGTTAAATTTTAACTCCCGTGTCTCAAAAATGCATCGTGATTGTGGTGTAGTCAAGTATCGCAAGTGAAAACATTTGGTCAGAACTTAGATTGATGTATCTCGTCGTCGGTGCTGTGTAGATCATTCGTATGGAGTTTATGATGTTGAATGGCAACAGCTGTGGTCCACGATTTACCCATTTCTGAGGCGATATTCTGTCTTCGTGTCTAGAGTCTTCTTAAGGGATAACACAGCGTGGCAGGCAACCCTCCGCATAGTAAAGTGTCTACAGGGCGCTACGGTTCTATTTGTTTGAGTGTACCTTGTTGCGCGGGACTCTACTGCTGCTGCGGTGGTGGCTACTGCCTAGATGGGCATATCATGGGGGTAGGCTGTTCTTGAGAAGGTTTGGATAACAGGCACAAATCGAAGTCCATACTTCAAGCTGCATCTTAATTCGCCCCTTACCCTCCTTGGAGAACAATGTTGAAAAGCCCGAGTGGTTTTACTGTATAATCTAGGGTATCCAACAGTGATTAGGTGCCCCTGGGCTGTGCTACCTAACTATAGGCTAGGGGTAGCTGAAGTTCTTTTCACGATCGAATTCCAACGGGGAATTTTACTATGTACTACCCTAGGTAGCTTGCATTAGTAGGAAACCTCAAGCCGAGCTAAAGAATGCAGGTAGCGAGGCGAGGGAGCTAGGTTAATGGTATGTGGTTGTTCAGCTCCTATCCATGATGTGCGCAGGTGGTTGCTTTATTGGAGACTCCCAGAAAGCAAAAGTTGGAGTGACTACTAGAACTCCTAAAATAGGTACCTATGATAGCGTATGACACATGGGCCTTTTAACACTGCCCGCCCCGTGATCGATTGTGCATGCTTCTGTCATGTGGGATGTGTGAGACATACAAAGGACATCAGCATCAGCATCAGATAGTATTGTTATAGTTTGCCAGATAGACCTTAATGCCAACCTTGTTTCTGAGAGTTATGCAAATGATAAAGTAACAGTTACTACCTACCTAAGCAGGTATTTACACCTACGCAATTAATCTGCTCATCGGCTGATCCTATTACAGTACATGATTTTTCTTTAATTAAATATTTCTTATTAACATAGTAATGCTCAAACTTTCGATGTTTTGTTAACTCGGAACTTGTTGAGGGATGGATAGATTGGATAGGTAGATGGGTCCATCTTCGTACGTTATCTGCAAGATCTGCCAAGACGCTATTCCAAATCGACATGGTTTATGGATGTCTACGTAATGCTATTGGGATAACTAACTACTGCCTAAGTGCATAGTTAATGTGTTATCCAACTGTAAGCTGCACATGTGTGTTTTCCCTTCTTGAAGTTTCCCTTCTTGAAGACATTCACTGTCAGGCTGGCCAAGTGAAACAAAGAACAGAATAGCACTGAGGACATCACATTTATATGTACATTGATACCTTACTTGCGTGTGACCTCGTCAAGCCCCCTTCTTCCCCCCTGGTTCTCATTCCTCACTGATTCAATGGTGCTCACGTCTTTCTTCGTCTACGTGCATCATTTCTTCATTTGACACCATCTGTCGTCTTATCTCATCCTATCCCACCTCATTTTTCCATTTAGTTATTAGTCCCTGTCCATTTAAGAACTAAATTCTATGATTGATCCTTTCATTCTTATCATTTAAACTATTCCCGCGTATCTATTCAACCAGACCCTCCTACATACGTGCAATACAGAGTACTACATATGTAGTTACATGTTGTATTGTACATGTCATAGGCAGGACGATATTGCATTTTATGCATGTATAATGTATGTATAATGTATGTACTACAACCTGGCACGAATCAACTAATGCAGATCAGCGGATCCCATAATTCTAATACATAAGTACTTCCAGATTCAACGAACGGAACGCAGGCAAGCGGGGCATCTTCCTTTACTGGTAACTGGGCGTTCTTTCAAACCTCCAGGGCTACTAGGCACTCAACCTTCAGGCTATTTCCTGACATCAACTCCCCCTAAAAGCTTACATGCCTGTTAGTAACCCCTAACTCAGGCTAACTGACCTCCCTAACTGCCCTCCCTAACTGCCCTAGTTAAGGCTGTCAGTCACAGTTAGCATTAGCTGTTTGCTCTAAGCCCCGGGGAGTTAACTATTGTTCAACTTGATTCTCGCTCTTTGACTTGTTTCGTCTCGTCTCGTCTCCGAATCTTGCCTGGCCTTACCTCGCTTGCCTTACCTTCCTTGCTCTACACGCAACCTACCCTTGCTATAGTGCTTCTAGTACCCAACATTCATCTCGTCCGGCTCTCCCCTTCGTTGGCTTTCTATCTTTTTATCTTTTTATCTTTTTATCCACTCTATCCTTTTCCTCAACTAATCGCACTCCCTTCGAACACGATGTCGGCCCAGGCCTGGCCAAGGAACAACACGCCCCAGCGGGCAGCCGACTCTACCGCTATGCGACCTGCATCTATAGCTGCATCTGCTGCAGCCAACCCTCCAACTCAGCAGCGTCAACGAAATGATGGTAAGCCTATCTCATTCGTTTCCCTTTGATTATAACGGACCATCACTTATAGCATTAGAATCATGGGTTGAGGTCTGCTCTCACCCTTCCTCGTCCTCGGTATCCTCTATCGGAGATGAAATCATCACTACCGGCCTGCAAGTTGGCTCGTCCTATGACGCTCGAAGACGACGACGTTTACACCCGCAGTCTTATGCGCGCTCCGACCCACGCCAGCCCACTTTTGTCGCCCGCCCGGTTGGCCAGACTGGTGCGGGTAGTAGTCAGGAAGAGTACGACGAGAGCGAAAGCGAAGAAGACCATATCTTGACCAGTTCTGCCGAGATAATTGTTGCTCCCGAATCTACTCGCAACAATCCTCGACGTCAAGGCTCCCAAGCCCAAGCGATCGAACCCGACTCGAGCGATGACGATGATGACCATGCGACGGCACTGGGAAGACGAGCTCCCGAGCCATTCCAACCCCAGCCAAATGCATTCTCGCATCCACCTTCGCACTTGACCCATCGTCACTCGGCAAATTCAGCTCTTGCCTCACACCCCCATCATCCTTCTTTCAGTCAACGGTCTAGCACGCGCATCGACCGTCGTGGTCCCAATCTCATGTCGCCAAACTACCAAGCTGACAATGACGCTGCTCTTCGCGCTAGTTTGACGACCCTTCTTAGCTGTGCTGCTGCTGCGGGCAAGCGAACACAGGATGGAGACAAAATTATGGGTGAACGTTCTGGAGTGGCTACTAGCAATCAGCCCGTTGAACTACGTTTTGTTGCTGAGAGCGAGTTGGATGCCCCAGCCCCAGCGCCAACGCGAGGCCGAACACGAGGAAATGGCCCATCTCCTAGAACGGGCCAGCCAGCAACTACATCCCGTGAACATGCTGGTGAGAAGGTTAAGCGAGCGGCTACACCCACGACTGGCACTAAATCGCCTCGCGTGACCAAGAAGAAGAGGACGAATGTGGCTGCTGGCGAGGAAACCTTTATCAGTCCAACCCTTCTGACTTGGGTGGTTAGCGCTGGCGTCGTAGTGCTGGTCTCTGTTGTCGGCTTCGGAGCGGGCTACGTGATCGGAAGAGAAGTCGGCCGCCAAGAGACTTTGAACGGTTTGGGCACTGTCGGTAACGCAAGTGCTGCGATTGATGGGGGTAGTTGTGGTAGAGAGGCCCTCCGTAGCGGTGGTGGAACTCTGAGGAGATTCCGTTGGGGCACCGCTATAGGAAGGAGTGCCATGGCATGATTGGTTTGTTCCAACTGACGCTGCTCTAGACTTGGTACATGAGTTTTTGGAATCAAGATGTGAGCGGATTGGCATGCTAAGGCATCACGAATCGACGACTTGCAGTTCAATACACCCTACGCATTTCGGTAGTTGGTGGTTGGAATGATGCTCGCTGAAATACGAAATTAGGACCCTCAGTTTAATCGTCATGGTCATCGTCGTCGTCGGTGTTCCAAGCGTTTCTGAAATTTAGCGAGAGGACGGAGAGAGAGAGAGAGAGATCGAGGTCATAACCACGAGCATATTATTACCCTGTACGTGAGAGGAGTTTGGGTTCATCTATTCTTGGGAAGGTTATCTGTTTGGGGCCATTTGACACGAAGCTATATACACTTTTTTTTTTTTTTTTTTAGCTGCGGGACGGCAGCGTAGGTACCTAGCGAGCACGATATTATAGGATTTAATATGACTTTGATTTTATTTTTCGACTTCGTTCGTTTGAGGGTGAGGGTATCATGGGTGTGTTTCTCTCGTTTTTCAAACTGGTATCGACCTAGGTAGTTAGACGCTGAGATAGGGGTAACGCACCAAATCTTTCTTTTGAGGAATCTCGAGGTAAACATAGACATGATAGAAATATAGGCACTGAATGAGTGCATAACCAGCTAGGTAGTTCATATAGTGTACATGTAACACTGCTTGTGAGGTAGGTAGGTGAGTTCCCCTCCGCTGGGTTGGAGGTAAGAAAGGGGATGGGATGGGGGAGGAGAGTGAAGATGCGAGGTAGGTAGTTTTAGTTCTTAAGCACCCCCCCCCCCCCCCCCCCTTTTTTTTTGTGTGTGTGTGTGTGTGTGTTTTCTTGTTGTGGGTAAGGAAGGGGATGATGAGTGATCAGAGATGAGGAGAAGATATAGGCTACCTAACCTGGAAGACATGAGGGATGAGTGTTGTGTTTTTGCGAGTTATCTACCTAGGTTAGGTACCGACCTACATAGGTTACCTACTTGCTTGCCGGCGTACTACTAGATAGGTTATGTAAATCCGCTATTGAGTAGGTAGGTAGGTAGGTATAGATGAATGGGTGGATGGGTGGATGGATGGATGGCTCTGAGGAATCGCAGTGCATGATAACTAGGCGGTGCGGATATCTATCGCGTCCCACTGCTACACTCTACACTCTTGACTCTCTGCTCTTTTCTTAACCGCCTAGGTTAGATAGGTATATAAACTACTTCATACCTACTATGTAGTCGCTGGTGATCTAACTAGGTAGGTACTGTTCGTACCACGAGGCCATCACGTAGGTAACAGTCACTCATGTATTCATGCCTAGGTAGGTACTATTGTGTTGCATCGCGTTGTAGGTAGGTACCTAGGTAAACCAACTCAAGCGAACAGTATCATGCGAGTAGCGTTTATCCACGAAAACCCATGTAGGTATGTATCTACATACTCAAGGCAGCGAAAAAAAAAAAAACCAGACCTGTAAAGCACTACTTGATACCATGGTTACTATACCGAACCATACCGTGCCAAATCCCTTACCCTTACCCTTACCCTAGCGCCCATACATCCCATCTATTAATACCCGTCACTTTCCTCAACGAGAACCTCATCGTCGTCATCGTCGTCATCGCTGGTAAAGAACCCCTGTTTCTTTCTCGTCGCCGTCTGACCACCACCACCACCACCTCTACCTTTCCGAGGTCTCACGTCTTCCGAGTCGTCGGAGATAATGGTAGCGGCAGTACTCTTCCCGCCCTTCGACCGACAATCTCCGAAGATCTGGCTCATAGGCGGCAGATCATCATCATCGTCGTCGTTGTCGTTCTCCTCCTCCTCAATGCTGCTATCCTGCGTGGGGCTGAAGCGCGTCGGCTCGTAGTATACCGGCGGCCTCTTCTGTTTTTTCCGCGTGCCGGTGGTGGGGGAGGTGGATCGCTGGGGCTTTCGGACGGACGAGGTGGGGTCGTAGTTGCTGGAGGTGCCGACGTTGTCGCCGACGACGAAGCCCTCGAGGTCGGCGCCGCTGTCGGATTCGTCGGTCAGGTCGAGGTCGCTGGTGCGCCGGCAGTCGTCGCCTTCGTCGGCGCTCTCGTCGTACACTGCTGTTGATGCTTTGGGCCGAGATTTCTTGGGTTGGACGCGTGGACGGGGTGGTGCTGGTGCCGGTGCCTTCTTGGTGGGGACTATAGGTTTTGAGGGTGCTTTGTGTTTTCGAGGAGGTGGTAGACTGGCTTCTCCAACGTCTTTATATCCCGTACTCTGCTTCTTCTTCTTCTGCTTTGGAGAAGCAGGTGCCTTTTTTGGACGTGATATGCGAGGAGGAGGAGCCATTAGCTCTTTAACTTCATCATCATCTGATGGAGGAGTTGCCTTTCTCTTCTTGCGCGCTGGCTCCATGTCCGTGGAACCAGCATCGGAGTCGGGCCCGTAGCTTGGCAGTGGCAGCCGACTGTAACTTCGAGCATCTGATTCTTTATATGGCACGCTGTCAGGGCCTGAAGTATCTTGCGCTTTCGCCATTTTCTTAAATAGCTTCACGCACCGCTTCGTGTATGCGCCGTGCTTCACGTCGACCGTCTTCCGCAACTTTCTTTGGGCTGCGGGATGAGCCGTCAAATCTACTTGTTCGATATCTTCCATAGCATCGTGGCGCACAGATGTAACGTGTTTGTATATCTTATACAGTTCGTCGGTCTGATTTTTGCTAAGGACGACCCGGTCGAGAGCCGGCACCTCGACGACCTCATCCTCTTCGACTGGTTTACGAGGTTCTTTTGGTTTCGCAGGCGCCGATGTCTTTGCTAAAAGCGCAGAAACGCTGGTAAAGCCAGTCTCGACCCCGTCGGGCATGTGAAATTTTTTGGGTGGCTTCTTCTTCCTCGCCTGTCCCTTCTTTGGCTCTGGTAGACCTTGGACCTGAGTATTCTCTACAGGTATATCTACAGCCCTCATGTCAACCTCTGGACGGGCATCTCTTGGTATTATTCTCGCAGACAAATCGTGGCGGAAGTTGAAGCGGCTTCCGTCACATATCATGATTTGCATTTTTTCGTAGCCATCCTTGGACTTGGCGTAATTGTCTTCTTCCTTTCCTCGCATTAGGAGTAGAACAACACGTCCTGCTCGCTTTCTCCCAGTTCGTCCCATTCTTTGAAGCATTCGGATTGGCGATGCGGACGCGTCGTAGCATACGATTAGATCAACTTGGCCAATATCGAGACCTTCTTCGCCGATAGATGTTGCGACGAGCACGTTAAATTCACCCTTCTTGAATTTCTGTATGCGCTCGATTTGCTCTGCCTGCTTCATGCCTCCTGATCTCTTTGAGTCTGCTTGTCCGACGAAAACTGCGGCACGAATCATCGGCTTATGAGTGTTGAGGACCCGTACGATCTCCTCGGCGCTGTCACGGTATTCACTGAAGACTATGATTCTAGTATTAGTAGATGCACCCTCTCGACCCTCGCCGGCATCCATGAAATGGTTTAAGATCGTGTCGGATAGACAAGTGAGCTTCGGGTGGCTTATAAAATCATCCTTCTTTGACCAGGCAGCCATCTTATCCATCATTTCCTGAAAGCTTGGGCATTCGATAATCTGTCGTTTGTATTTGGAACCCTTCTGACCCTTCTCCTCAGTTTCTTCTCGAAACTGAAGTAGGCTATCATAGAACGGCTTGATGCCGTGAAAGTTCAATAGCTTGATACCGTGGGCAAGGCTTGTCAAGACGGCGAAGATTGCTGCCATCATGAATTTCACTCCTTGATTTGCATGATTTCCGGCTCGAGCCATCCACTCTTTCCTTGCTTGCAAAAGGCCGAATACAGTGAGGGCCATCGGGTCACGACCGTAGTAAATGTTTTGCTGGCTCAGCTTATCCACAAGCGGCTTCAGGGCTTTCGAGAATAGTTCTTTGACGTGGTTCATCTCATCCGATGGATCTAGCAATACGATGTCCTCATCCCTTTGATGCACAAACTGTCGAATATCAATCGATTCCTCAGTCCGGATCTCCACATGCGAAATTCCCAAGCTGTCGATCACCTCCTGCACGGACTCGACCTTCGAACCGGGAGTCGCTGTAAGGGCGAGGATACGGAAACTACTGGTGAAACGCCTAAGAAAGCTGACGACTTTTACATAGGAGTAGTTCCCTGTGGCCCTATGGGCTTCATCTACTACTAACAGGCCGATCGACTTGGGATCAGCGTAGCCTGAAGATAGATCGTTCTCCAACGTTTGAGGAGTCATGAAGAAGACTCTTTTGGATGCCCATTCTTCTGCTCGGAGAGCTGGTGCGACATCTCCAGTTAAAAGAGTGGTCTGTGATCTCGGAATACCGGCGATGTGAAAGCATGCGTCGATCTGCTGTGACACAAGTGGCTTGGTTGGAGCTACAAATATAATTTTGGCCGATTTCATCCATCGATAATAATTCAGCATGATGGTTGCTGCGATGAACGTTTTACCCAGGCCTGTGGGGAGTGCTACGAGGGTATTGTTGAATAATCCATTTTTGACAATACTGAATTGGTAGTCTCGTGTAGGCCCTAGATTGGTGGGGTAAACCCAAGTCTTCATGGCATCTACGTCAAGTTCATGGTGAGTAGGAGGCTCAGGGGGTAAATCCGCACGGAAGACCCGATTCCTATTGGGCTGTGAAGAATTTAGTTCTGAGTCTCGCTGTAGAGCTTGACCGAATAGCGTAGTCTGTCGATAGCCAGTGCTTGGGCCACCGATACGAGATGGTTGCCGAAAGCCTCCAGCTGCCACGGTGGTTCCATGAGATATTCCATTTACTGGAGAGCTTGAAAATGCATCTGAAGGTAAATCATCCAGATCAATAAAGTTTTGTGCATTTAGGGTCGTGCGTTGCTGCAACGTGCATTAGCATAGGTATCTGCCTAGGTACAAACGGAAGACATACCGAGATCCCCTGAGCTGAACTGCTTCCATTTCTTTGAATCGATGTCCGTTGGGCTGGTACATGAGGTTGAAATCGACCTTGATTAATCTTGGCAGGCTGAACACCCCTTGGAGCTTGTACTGGAGCTTGTACTGGAGCTTGTACTGGAACTTGACTGGCCGCGATAATCAAGTCCTCGTCTGCAATATCGTCATCGAATTCATCCGAATCCATAGCTTAATGCTTCTCAAGTTTCACATAACTAAATGGCACACTAAAATCCAACAAATCCTGCAATTTAATTTTATCAAATTGAGTTTGCGAGACCTTGGATTTGGTATTCTTGGTGGACCTGTGATAGGATCTGAGAGTGAGAGGCTGAGACGCGTCGATACTTTTACATAGTACTACTAGTTAGGTATTACCTAGTAGTACACATTAATAAGTGAAATCAATTGTCGCGGAGTCACGTGCTTTGGCTTGGAAGTTTTAGGTTAAGGTTAAAGGTACTTTGGTACTAGGTATCGGCCAGAAATGATACATATCAGAAGCTGTATCTTTATAGATAAATCATTTGTAAAGCCTTTATCTTAACATTTAACTATTAAAACACGATGCGATATGTATCATTTCTGGCCGCGCCAGTACTATATCGTATGCATATTACCGACATATGAAAATTAAAGTATCCAATATTTATATTCAGTAGTTCATATTTTCTATGTTTTTCTTCCAAATTCCATAAGCCAAGGATCTTCTTATATGAGAAAAGAGTGTTCGTGTCCAGTTTAGCTGATGCAAACTGTCCCTAAAAGACATTGCCACATAACTAACTACTTCGTAACATGAAAGTCAGATAAAGGCAATGCATCCATGAATATCACTTTCAGTCATAGTCAACTAACCATTAAACTACCTATACACTTTTGTATATATCCAAGTCCCTATAGGTAATCAACCATGAGAACTTCATATATCTGCAATCTGAAAAAGATTGCAGTCTCAATTTTCATCCTCTCTTCCACCATCTCCACATTTGCATCCGCCTCATCCCCTCCCTCTGAATCACCTGCAGCAAACGACGAACTCATATGTCACACTGACAACCCAGCCGAGTGCTACCCCAAAGTCTTCTCACCCACAGAAGAATTTCAAATCTTACACGATGACCAGGATCTTCCCCCAGGTTTACACGTGCAGCTCGATGTCCAGACCGGCCAGAAACAGGCCAAGCTCAACAACCCCAATGAGGGAAACCCCGCTCTCGAGGGTTTACCCGTGGACAGATCAGTGGTAGTCGTAGACTCCGAGACATCTCAGGACGATCACAAGCCTCCCCTACCCCCCGGCGCACCCGCCTACGAACCTGTAGGCGTGGTAAAGGCCCCGAAGGAGAAGAACGAGGGCTTCACGCAAGCCCTCGAGACCGTCAAGAACTCCCACTCCGTCCAGTCCTCGGAACTCGACCAGGCCCTCCAGGACCTAGAGGATCTGTCCCACGACATGTACTACGGGCTGCAGATCGCCGGGGACGTCGAAACCCTGCAAGCCCTCCTCTGCCTCCTGACCAAGCAGGACAGCAGCACGGAGCAGGCCGAGGCGGACCAAAAGCGGCCGCTAACCGAACGCCCCGGCTTCGTCGCCTCCTCCATCCTCGCCTCCGCCATCCGCAACAACAAGCCCGCCCTCCAGGCCGTCGAAGGCGCGTGGGATGTCATCGCCGGGAAACAGTGCGCCGGCGCGCGCTCCCTCAAGGCAGAGCTCTACGCGAACTTGGAGCCCACCACCGACCCCGCGAGCGCCGCCGAGGCCGCAGAAGCGTACTCCACGCGCTTGCATCTTACCGTCCTCGACGGCCTCCTCCAGAGCCCCAAGATCAAGGCCGAGTTCCTCGCGAACGACGGCATGCAGCGCTTCCTGCAGATCCTGCTGCGCAAGGAGGCTGTCTGGGACGCGAGGAAGGCGAAGGTCGCGCGCATCGTGTCGGATATTTTCCTCGATGAGGAGGTCGGTGCTGTGCTGGGTGTCTGGCCTAGTAGTGGTGATGGTGGTGATGGTGGTGGTCAGGAGGACGCGGGCGTTTGCGCGAAGGAGGGAGACCCCAAGGCTTTGGGGGAGGGGTGTTGGGAGTACCATTTGGAGGTTATAGGAAGGGATCCGAAAGATGCGGAGTGGAGCGGCCCGTTGCTGGAGAGGTTGAGGGAGAGGAGGAGAGGGGGGAGGGAGAGGGATGAGCTTTGAGTTTTGGGGGTTATTATACTATAAGAAGCTTGGAAGGTACCTAGATACATACAAGAATAAATACAGTACCTAATCGCGTACACGCTCATGGTGACAATGGGTACTATGTGTGGTACACTAATTATATTTGCTATAATTATACACTCCCATCCGGATGAGAGCTAACTATTTATTATTCAGTTACGGCACCGATCGTGATCATTGGAATATCATCTCTCAGGCACTACATACAGTAGTGTCTAGGAGTCGAGATTCTCAGCCCCTTACCAACCTGCTTTGTGGGTAGGTAGGTTGGAGGGCTTTTAGGGGGGATTAAATACACCCTGATGAATACCCTGGCTGCAGCCTACTACATAGGGAGGATACGTGCTGTCGGTAGTCGGCGAACGAGTACACACCTACACAGGCCTGTATACCACTCGCTTAAGTAGGTACCTAGCCGTTACCTAGGGACTAGATCCGTCCGCCCACACGCATTCCCCCCTCATTGCACCATGTAGTAAGTATTCATCAGGGCCGCCGGTCATCCATCCATCCCCATCCCCTCCCCCCACCGCCCCTCAAACTCCCTCCCCACCCCCTCCGCCTCCCCCTCTCTCCCCACCCTCCGCAGATACCCCCGCAGCGCCGCCAGCACCGTCACCGTCGCGTTGTCGCTCCTCCCGAACCTCTCCTCGCAGACCGCGAGGCTCCGCCGCAGCAGCGCGATGGCGTCCGCCGGCCGTGTGTGCAAGGGGCTGGCGGGGAGGGTGCGCAGCATGGTGTAGCAGCTGAAGCGGACGAGGCGGGGGTCGCGGGGGGCGGAGGGGGAGAGGAGGGCTTGCGCGGCGGCTTGGGCTTCGGTGGGCTGGTTGTGCTGGGTCTGGAGCCAGGTGAGGTGGTAGCGGAGGAGGGCGAGGTCGGAGGCTTTTTGCTGGGGGGCTGGAGAGGAAGAGGATGCTGCTGCTGCTGGCGATGTTGTTGGCGAGGAGAAGGAGGAAGACCTCGACGACGAAATTGAAGATACTGGTGCTGCTGCTGCCGTTTCCAGGTCAGTGAGAAGCGCCTGCATGTCCGCCGCTGCACTCGGCCCCGAGATAAAGTTGTTGTTGAGCATGGCCCGGTAGATCGTCGCGAGGTACGTTGGCTTGAGGCGGCTGCTGAGCTGCACAGCTTTGAGGTACGACTGGATAACGAGCCTCATGATCTGCGTGATGTCAGACGGGCTGGCGCCTTGGAGTCGCACGAAGAGGAGGTGCAAGGGATGCCGCGAGCCGAAGAGGATGCGAGACATCCCGCACGCGTAGTTGATCAGGGACTCTGCGAGGCCGGGCCCGCAGTGTAGGAGTGCGCCTAGCGCGAGACAGGTTTCGACGAGGAGCGATGGGTCTTGCCGCAGCATGACGGCCCGGTAGTCTTCGAAGGTTACTTTTATCAGGCGGAAGCCCTGCTCCGTGAAGCCGTTGATGAATAGTTGCCTCGCAGACGACACGGGGTCTAGCCAGGTCTTGCCCCGCTGGGGAAACACCAGTTCGTTGTCCGGCGTCGTCTGGAACAGAGACGATTCGAACGCGCCGCCGACGTAGCACTGGACAATCTGCAGGCATTCCTCGGGGAGCCGCAAATTTTCGGGGGCTTCGATGCGCCTTAGCGTCGGCTCTATTCCCGGTTTGGGTTCGGGGGACGGGGTTCGGCATATGATGACCGCTATGCTGCGCTTCTGCGGTGTGGCTAGCTCTACCTTCCCTTTTAGGATCGCCTCCAGCTCTTTGCGTCTGGCGGGCGAGACACGTCGTAGATAAGTGTTGAGCCGCTCCGTGTCGATCTTGCGGCCGTGGACGAAGGAAACGGACGTCTTACCCACGGCGGCTCGCTTGCCCCGCTGGACTAGAAGCTCGGCGACTTGGTGGGCTCGCAGTTTTTTGTGCAAGCCCCATTTATTGAAGCGGATTTTATACATCTTCTCTCTGGCCGAGGGTTAGCGGATGGGTGGCACATTGGTAAGAAGTACAGCTGGAGCTTACGTTGCAAAAAAGTAGTATTCTTCTCGCATGATACGCATTACGTCTTTTAGACTCTTATTCTGGTCGCGATATAGAGACGTTATAGTGTCCCGGTAGTTGGCCCAGTCCCCATCCTTTGCAGGGCCATTATATCTCTGGGGGGTAGCCATTGGTGTAGTTGAAGTTGATTGGAGTGTAATTTCCTCTTGCGAGAGTGCCATTGTACAAAATAGGGCTCAACAGTGCTCGGCCGTGGAGAACGGGGAAGAATGCTGCTGCCTAGCTGATGGATTCTTACAGGTATGGCCAGAGCTTTTATAGCCATTATGTGGCAGCGTACCTAGATATGGGAAATAACAGAGCAAAGGGTTACAACAGATACAGAGTGTTCCCGCTGTTGAGGTAGGCTATTAACCTTACCTCATCGTCATGAACTAAGTCGCCTCCTGCTTTACCATGTTACATTACCTACAACATACCTATACTACCCAACATATCCAGTCATGCGCTTCTGCAACGAGACTGGCCTACGGGTTAGTCAGGACGTATCAGCTATCTTGATTCGCAAGTCGAGCGATCCTTGTTGCATCGTAGGTGCAAAAATGAAGGGATTGTGCCAGATCGTTGATGTCGAATGATACACGTGTTCTGGCAGTGTAACAGTAGTCGGCTTCAACCGTTTAAAGATTCAAGTTGTAGTAGTGTGGCATATTAATGACACCGTGAGTAGTAGATCTTATCTTCTTCATTCGTTTTGGGTCTCATGAGGCTGTAGTTTGGTTCATCGAAAACTTATTAATGTGTATGCCTAGATAGGATGTGACCCTGAAGTGCCAGGAGGATGAAGGATGTAAGAAAGTGTACAAATGGGAGGCTTCTCGTGGATTGCTCATGGACCTAAAGGAGGTCAATATCCCACATAGACTGGCCCTATTGGTGGAGCATCCTTACCTAAGGGCAAGTCAATTTTATACTACTGCCTAATTTCATGTACTGTAAGTGGGTAGGTAGGCTTGGACTGTCAGGGGTCAACTCTTATTGTACGTAGCATAATATCTCTCGGCTTCGATGTTTTACTTGATAAACTACGACGTAGCCTAAGAACATCATCTGCTTGCATACCATCTCCCTACGGCATGAGAATACAAGGGCACAGGGATACCTACCTTTTTCTTTCCTAGGGGTGCATGCCCCTTTTGTGTATGTCCCGGTGGCCCGGATGGTGCTTCCTGGACGTTGTGCTCCGAAGCTATAACCATACCGGCCGAGGCTGGCTTACCTCATGCGCAACAAGTTCGGCCCGGAATAAATAAAGCTTCTCGAACGCAAGGCAACCGTAGTATGGGCACAATAATTCTCACCAGCTTTGGGTATTCTAGTTTACGTAATCAAGACTGACAGGCATTCTGCCGAGTGGCCACTAGGAAAATTGAGCAATTACGACAAGAGTCTTTATAACTACATGCCTACATATTGGGGTGGATCAAGTTAGAGTGGCGAGTGTTTAGGTATCTAGTTAGCAACCCCCCAGGCCTGTGGTGACTGTATACATACCTAGGTACCTTGGGTAGTAACAGACATGTAGGCGGGATTTATTCAGCTTCTCATAAAAGTGAGGGGGGGAATAGATAGAATTTGCACTTCCTTCGGGCGTCTCCAAAGTTGGAAAGTTACCATTGAATCCTGATGCTGCAAGTGCAATCTCGCCAAGCCAGGCTGTAGTGTCCTCTCTGCTAATCTGATCATGATTGTATAGGCTTGGCTTGTTTCTTCTATACCATGAGAATATCGGATTTAAACTATCGCAGTATATCTGGACTGGACAATGGACTAGGTATATACTATATAAGTAGGCAGGTAGTCATCATCTCCATACCTCCAAGCGAGCCAGGTGCCAGGTCTGGCATTGGTCGAGTCAGTGTTAAGGGGAGCCTTTGAATAGGCAGGCTAGCCTTCATATAAGTGCGTGCTTTTCGTCACGACACCAACTTGGAATGCTTAGATACAAAAGCCAATAGGATTTAACGTGATGAAACAGCACAATAGAAATGGTAGTGGTGGCGTGACATATGCAAGTGTTTGAAACAAATGCACTGGCATTGACTGCTTGAAGAATGGAGTTCTAATCGCATGCCGTCCATTTTCATGAAGAGTTGCATTTGGGGGCCGGGTACAATATTGAACCTCATTGTATTCGTACCCATGGATGTGGCTCATCATTATGTATTCCAAAATACATACCGAGAACTGTGGCTATACACATTTCATGCTGTTCGGATAACTCATCCGTGGGGCGGAGGTGAGTGAATATGTGATATCATGTTTAGCATGAATGTAAACGAGATCTGATACACTTCAGCAGTTAGACTGGAGGCCGTGGAAGGGACCTTTTTGGGGGTAGGTATGGGGTCAAGGGGTAAACAGAGATGGAGAAATAGAGAGATGGTGGGTTGGGGGCGAAAAAGGGTATATTACCAAGATGAAGAAGATTGAAGAAAATAAGGTAAGAAGAACATTGGAGGTGGTGGAAGGTGGTGGGTGGTTTCACATTGAGAATTACATACCTAACCTAGGTAGTTACATGATACTTTTGCACAGTGACTCCTTACATAACACATATGACCCACTATTGTAACACACTTGATAGGTTGACTACTTTCTATGGTCTTTTTTATTAATCTTTCTTCTCTTCTCTTTTTATCGTCTGTTTTTATTAACTAGTTACACCACATTTTTGTTACAGCATCCACATGCATGCGTCTATTTTCATCTCCTTTGTTAATATCGACATGCATGTAGTACCTACATCAATGATCCACCTCACTAATATTAGTATACACACGCAAAAACCCGCCTCAGTACCTACCTAAAGTATCACAACACAGAGTCCAGATGGCAGACACCTCAGTCGGAGTCAGTCCGTGCTGTGCTGTGCCGTGCCATGCTAGGTACATAGTCAAGTGCTTGCCGCCATGCATGCAGTAAGAAGAGCAAGGGGAGCGGGAACTGTGGATCGGTAGGGTTGCAGCCGCGATGCAATGACATTACCGCCCAACCATTCTTCAAGTTGTATTAGCGAATGCTTGGCTCGATATTCACTAACCAATAAGCATCTTCAGCCACCACTCAATCCGACGCGTCGGCGGCTATGTCGAACATTCATCTGCTTCAACCCTCATCTTCCACCATCCAGAAGCTTCAATTTTAGCCTCTCATCACCAGTAGCCGCGAGACCTTGCCAGCCCCCCCAGACTTTATTACCATTTTCTTAAGCTACCTTTACTGCCTTACCTTGCTTTGGCTTGGTGTCGTGCAACAAGGTTGTCTCCGTTTATTCAATAATCTAGGGACTACTAGCCACTCAGGTGTTGAGTTGTGTTGTTCAACCTATCAGGCTAAGTGCTGGTCGATAAAAATGTCCGTCGAATGGGTCGCCATCATGTGTTGGCTGTCGACGGGGTGGTCTCAGCATGGCTTACACCTTGGCCAGTCGTTGTTCGGAATACATTTAACACTAGTCCTTGCCAGCCGTCGTCTCGATTTACAATCATTTTTTGTACCTACTTAATTTATTCTGCTCATATTCCAAGTTCCGTTCATTGTTCTCAAATCGAGCCTTTGTTCGCGTAGGCCGGCCCTTCTTTCATCTTGACACAACAATAATTCTCGACTCTTTCATTTGGGATCTATAGATGATTTTTAATGACTTGACATCCTCTGTTCATTCACTTCGTGAATTCCATATGTGCCAACTTCCGCGGCATTTCTTTTTTCTTGACAATCACATCTAACTTCTAGAGTCACTCATTATCTGTTTATTCTTTTATTTTTCCCCTTCTTTTTTTGATTTGCAAAACTTTCAACGCTGGTACTTTGAGTTTAGCAGCATTACAGAGCATTTCTTGTATTCTTGACTTGATATTACTATATTCATTCTTTTCGCGGTCGGTTCATCATGAACTACAGCAAGCCAACCATACAAAGCCCGCCCGGGGCATCCTCGAACCATCCCAACCAGAAGGACGAGTGGGAAGACTGGGACGAGGAAGGAGAGGATACGCACGAGGAGGGAGAAGATGGGAATGGATTCCTCATTCAGATTTCGGACGAAACAGGACAGGTACCAACCAGATCGACCACCACCCAGAATGGTACGCGCAATGCTTCACGCCACTCGGTCCAAAGACCAGTTCGCCTCAAGTCTAAAGGCAGACAAAAGGCCCAGAATGCGAAAGCCGGCATCAAACTCGTAACAGACATGTCGACATTTCGACGTCCGGTCAAGTTTGTTGACCCCACTGCTCTTCATGCTTTAGAAGGGTCGCCTTCTTCTGCCTCGATAGGCAGTTTCTCGTGGCTGAAGCGAAAGCCAGGGAATGCTGGCAGCTCTAGACTTGGCGATGAACTTACGAGGGGCACGTCCGCGGACCTTTCTCCAGCGGCTCGACCAATCGTTATCGGAATTGCAGTACCTTCCGACAACCTATCGGAGCATCAGGTCAGTCCACAAACGGCAATTATTGAGACTCCAATAGACATGCGCAAATACCCCCAAAAAACTATTACAACTACAACTACGGGGAATGCTACATATCTCACGTCGCAACAGCAGCGCTCTGTTTGGTCTCCAGACACAGAAGCAAGCGAATCACCCCATCAGGCCTCTAGAGCTGCATCGAGTGTTTATTCGCAACCGAGCTTTTATGGTGGCCCTGTACCGAGCACCGATGTGCCTCCTGTGCCTGCACTACCGGCGAACTTGAAGCCTAAACCAGCACAGGGCACATGGCTTGACGATCCAGATGATGACGATTCTATTGGAACTCCATGCACTCTTTTTGAGGAAGATGGAAGCCCCTTGGCAACTCGCAAGTCATTGAAACCTAAAGCAGTGACAGTAAGCCCTGGGAGCGCTGGTAGTCGGTCCCATGGCTGGTGGGACCATGTCACTACCCCGTTCATGCAACAAACCAATCCCTTCAAGCAGCAAACACAAGAAAACGGACACGGTCAGTCATCACAGCAATGGAACCCATTTAACAAGCAGCAAGTACAGGCAGGACCTAGCGCGTCACCACCCACTCAAGATTGGTGGGCTGGGGGTAATGAAAAGGCCGGTTCCTCAGAATCTCCTCTGTCCAAGCAACAGGGTAAAGAGGCCACTTCAAATCCTTTGAAGGTATCGGGCTTAACTAGTAACACTGTAGTCCCTGCCCCTGAACAGCAGGGCACATCGCAGCCAGTGGGGACGTTGTCTCGTTCAGCTTCTCCAGGGAATCGCGAGACACAATCTGAGAAGGGTAGAGTTCTGCTCGAGGAGAACCGAAGACCGAGCGAATCGCCACCTCCGTATTCACCTCCCAAGAAGACTAATCAAGTCAAGTTTGGTGTAATATTGCCGCCTCCAGACTTACATATATACAACGCCCAACCAGTTCCATCTCCCGGTCCAATGAGTTCGGGACTACCGGGGACAATGACTTCACAAGGGGCTATCGACATGGCGGAAATCCCTCTTACACCATCTATGCAGCGCTCAGCAACAAATGCGGTACTTCCAGATCGTGCCCCCGGGTCATATGTGCCTGGTGACCATTTCTTCGAAGTTCGAGGACAGGCCAACAGGACCGAAAAGCAAAGGCGCCGTCACGAAAAGGAAGAAATAGCTGCAAGAAAAGCAGGTGGCTTGTGGAGAGGCCGCGGTTGTATCTCTAACACGGGTTGTTTTGGACGTAGCGGCCGAGAAGGCAGGAAGAGGAGGCGTGTCTGCCTTGGGGTTATAGCTGGTGTAATCATTGCTATCATTCTCGCAATTGTATTGGCTGTTGTCTTCACACGACAGCATCCAGTGAACGACAGTCAGCCTTTTTCAATTTGGCTCAACCTGACGGATTTCCCTCCAATGCCGACCGGAGTTGTGACAGTGGCTGGGCCGGACAATAGCGAAGCTAGATCTGGCTGTATGACTTTGACAGCGGAAACAGCATGGTCATGTTCTCTGCCAAAGGAACAGCACGACTCAGTCGCACCTAACCCGCCCAACAAGCCCGAATTCATATTCCAGATTCAATACGACAACAATACCAAGGCACTTTGGCAGGTCGCAAACGATGGAGAGGGGTCCGATAAGTTCTTGACAGATGCCGGGTTTACTCCCAACCCACAGCCACCTTCGATCGCAGAGATGCGTTTCTTAGGAAACACCACTGATCATATTGAAGCTGATGAGAAAGCCGGAGAAGCCACGCCTTTCTTCATAAGCCTTCTGAAGTCGGTCAACGAGACCATTGGCCCGAACATGCTTACCCGCCGTCAAGGCGCTAATAACGCTATTGGTTCGGCAGACGGCGATGGGTTTAACCTGACGAATATTCTTCCTCCCCCAACGTTGAATGGTGATGGCACCGGTGGCCCAGCCCGATTATTCCCGCTGCCCGTCCAGCAACCCGTCCGTTTATTTGACCGCGGCTTGCCCACCGAGCACTATGGTTTCTACAGCTATTTCGACAAGACGATCTACATGGTCAACACCGTGAGCGTGGACGCAGCAGACGATGACGGTGGTGCGAGAGAGAGCGAGGCCAAGTCGCTTGTTACGTTCGCGCAAACACGCTTCCTCGTGCAGATCTGGACGCGCAAGGAAAACACGACACGACTCCTCGGCGGCTCTGCTGTCCCCTGGACCAACGGCTCCGACGCCTCCGCCTCCCCCGGTACCATGCCTTATCCTGTTACCATTACCGAGGACATGCACGGCGGCGACCAGAGTAAGAAGATTGATTTCACTTACGGCGTCACTCCTGCCCAGGAGATCAACACCACCGATGCCAAGCTCATCATCACAAACCGTGGTTTCGCGGGAACGCTGATCAACGGCATGAATAATAGCCCTGATGAGTCCCTCGGCGGTATCGATGGCGGTACCGGTGGATGTAGGTGTCAGTGGATTAATTTTCAGGGGCTGACAAAGACTGGGTCGTAAGCAGTCTATGAAGGTGAATGTCGTTGGGGATTCTCCCTCCATCCTACATTATATCAAGTACATTAGGTACTTTCACTTACTTTATCTTCTTTGCGTTGCATTACAGCAATTTACTAAGTAATTGCGGGCGTTGACACAAGGCGTTTTATGGAATTTGGGTTTCTTTGGATCTGCTTGGCATCGCACCGGCAGGGTGGTCGGGTGGGAAAAAAAAAGGTCGGTCAGAGGTATATATTTAGGTACCCAGGCAGTTAATGGTTTCTCGAGGAGGAGTTGCCCCCTTTATATAAGTATAGTCTAGACTTTTATGGGGCTGGATTGCTTGGTTAGGGGCCAGGTGAAGATGGGCTTTTCTATCCATAGGTTGCAAGGAGGAGAGGCGGCGAAGGAGGAATAGAGATGAGACAACGTATTTGATACCCAGATCCTATGAGGAACAATGGAAAAGGCTACTTAATAGAAGGGGTTTTTAACTCATTTTGACCCGAGGTGACGATGATTGTGAGCTTAGAAGATCAGCCTGCGCTTAAAATAATGATGATTTATACATCGCGTGCGAAAAAATGATAAGTACCTAGTAGGTGCCTACATAACCTGACCCATGCTACTGAATACATGTATCCATTCGTTGAAACATCTGTATGAACCCTTATTCCGCTGCATAGGTAGGTAGTAGAAGCTACTCGGCAACCACATCATTGTCATCGTAGTGCCGGTAGAGGCCCCAGTCCAGGTACTTCTGTCTCCTGTTGCAGGCAAGGTACGCTGCTATATTCGGCCGAGCCTTGACGTCCTCCCATAGCTTGAAAGCCCGGTCGTGTTTCGCACTGTTCCTGGCCTGCTCCATTGCATTGCCTTGGGGAAAGCGTGCTGGGTACCGTCCGTCGAGACACTATAACTGGGTGATCAGATCCCGTGGGGTCGTGGGAAACCCCCAGAAGTGTACAAGGAGCGAAACTCATCAAGGTCACAGGATTCCATCATCACCGGATCTCGATGAAAGAGGGGGAGGGTGGAGAAGAAGGAGAAGAAATGAGAGGAAGGTTCGAAGCCAGACGAAGCGCGGTCGAGGGGAATATGGGCCTTCGCATTTTCGATTAATTAAACAGCCCTCTCTTTTTGTTTTTTGGGGTTTCTTTTCGTGGAGCTGAAGCGTGATAAACCAGCAGGAGGCAATATATTGACGCAGAAACTAGGATCAGGCCAGAACAAGCAAGCAAAGCTCATCCCCTATACAAGATTTTGCCGATGTTGGATACTGCTAATACTACCACCACCACTATCACCACTACTACTGCAACCAAGACGTTTCCGGGGATGGTTGCAGGTACGTCTGCAAAGGTTCCTGCCGATATAAAGCCACTGCATGCAGTCGATGCGGTCCGCTGATTCATATGCTGTTCGCCGACTAGAACTTTGTTGCGGGATATAGGTAATCTGGGGGACGGTTAGGGGGGACGATAGCTAGGCTGACGATTTTCGTTAGCAGTTCTGAGGAGGATGGTACTACAGATCTCGATATATAATAATGTGCAATAAATCATGCACCGGGTAAGTACCTAGGTAGGTCTGCGTTTGGCCTACTTTAGGTAGCCGAGGATTAATGTTGGAATATCCTTGGCCTCTCTTACTCATAGAATTCGTTTAGCCTAGCATAGCGGACAGACCGGTTTGGCATCCTATGTAGACATGAATATGCATGCTAAGAATTCATCTATATTCTTCAATTAATATATGTGATCGGGGTTGATGCATAGCTCACTCACCTTCATTCCACACTTTAGGTATATTACAGATGTGTCGGTATTAGTTCCTGTTGGCGGAAAGTCCATGATTGTGATGGAAACAAACGCGCTTCACCTCGTATATGATATTATTTCGCGGCCTCTTTGGCGTTGGTGGGTGAAGTCGAATTGAGCCTAACAAGGCAGCTAACGATGACTATAAAGATGAGCAGTGTGAAGGGCGTTTTTGATTCCCAGAGTCTAGTACATACCTGCCTACTACCAACCCTTATTGACTTCCAGACAATTATCAAAACCCCTTTACATCCCCTTCAAGCAATAGTCAGGATGAGTACAAGTGAGCACCGCAGACCACATTCACATGGCTCCCACCCGGGCAAGTTGGTGATTGTCGGGTCCGGGATTCGAAGTATGTCGCAGTTTACCTTGGAGGCAGTATCTCACATAGAGCACGCGGATAAGGTGTTTTACTGCGTCGCAGACCCTGGAACGGATGCCTTCATTGAGCACCATAACAAGAACGCCGTGGACCTGTATAATATGTATGATGATGGCAAGCCCCGTCATCAAACATACATCCAGATGGCCGAGGTCATGCTTCGGGAAGTGCGGAAGGGCTTCTCCGTTGTTGGAGTATTCTATGGACATCCAGGAGTCTTCGTGAATCCTGCCCATCGTGCCGTGAGCATCGCCGCCAGCGAGGGATATGAAGCCATCATGTTGCCTGGCGTGTCCGCAGAGGACTGCCTCTTTGCCGACCTCCTCATCGATCCGTCTCGCCCAGGGTGTCAAACGTTGGAAGCAACAGATCTGCTCTTGCGGAAACGCCCCATCGCCAAAGACTGCCACGTTATCATATTCCAGGTGGGTGCCGTTGGCGATTTAAGCTTCAACTTCAAAGGGTTCAAAAACACCAAGTTCCAAATCCTTGTTCAGCGACTGCTTGACTCCTATGGCCCTGGCCACCCTGTCGTGCATTACGTGGCATCCCAACTGACGTTTGCCGCCCCCATTCGGGATCGATATACCATCCAGGACTTGAAGAAGCCGGCGGTGGCAAAGCGAATTACCGGCATATCGACCTTCTATCTTCCACCCAAGACTCTGCTGCAGCCAGATCAAGCAGTGGCCAAATCTCTCGGACTCATCACAAAGCCGGCGACCACGGCCTCTTTCGGGCCCTACCCGCCCAACAAGCCATATGGACCACGCGAGCTGGCGGCTGTCAAAGCCCTAACCAACCGCAAGGAGCCTGCCAACTATCGTAAGACACGGGCATCTCCGGCATTTTACAAAGTGCTCGAGATGTTGGCTTTGAACCCCAAGGAGGTCTCCAAGTTCCGTTCCTCACGGGAGAGGTTCATCGCGCGCATAGATGGTCTCACCAAGCCTGAACAGAAGGCCCTCAAGTTTGCTAACTCCGGGCTGATCCGGCAAGTGCTGAAGAGCTCTGCCGACGACGTTGCGACGAGATTCGTCCAAGATGAGTTCCGCAACCCCACTCTGGCAACGCAGTATGGGCAGATCTGCAGCCAGTACAGGAGCCAGCCCGACGGTATCGAAAAGATCACCGACTGGCTGAAGGAACAAGGATATGACACTACCCCGGAAGCGATCGGGACCGCCTACCAATATGAGCTGTCACGAAATCTGGACAGCTACGATGGAAAGTATACCACCAACGTGAGCGGCAAGGCCGGTCCGCAGATTCTCGTGCAGAAGGGGACCGTCACAGTGGACGGTGGCAATATATCGAGCTGGCAGTATAGTTCAAGCCAACTAACCTGGTCAGCCGATGACGGCAACTCCTCTTCTGGCATGCTTCACTTTCAGCTGCTGACTGATGACAACGGCAAGCCCTTACCCGCTGGATCATATGTCGGCCCACAGTTTTACGGCCTCTACTGGCTTAAAGTCAGCTCCAAGCCTACGACAAATAATATTTTAGGCAAGATTGGGGAAGTGCCGCCGCCAGACCCGGCGCCCCCGGTCAAGCCTACGCCCATTACTCCTTGGCTGGATACGTACCAGACCTACCTCAAGTCCTCGTCGGGCACCTGGGACAAGGTGGGAGAACTGGCGATTACCGGGGACGAGACCAACCCAAAGGTGACCTTCAAAGGCGCTACGATTCAAAAGTACACGTATTCAGACGAGACGCTCAGCTGGTCGTCGGCCGATGGCAACCCCAACAATGTCAGCATCTCCTTCTTCATCAACCAAGCCCCAAGTCAGACTAATCCCACGGCCGGGAACCAGTTTTCGGGCAGATACTGGGAGAGCGGCGCTACTCCGCCTGCTGATGCCAACCTGTTCGGCCAAATCGGCAGCACGAACTCCCCGGGCAGCGCTTCCAGCGATGCGGCGGTTGCCCAGGAGTGGAAATCTCTGGGCAAGAATCTGGCGTTAGGTGTTGCAACGTGCATACTAGGCGACGCCGCGATCAAGGCGATCAATGCTTTGAAGAAATGGATGAGCGACCCTTCGCAGGAGAACCGCGACGCGTTAGATGACGCCAACGCCGAGACTGAGGCGGCGGAAGTCCAGCAGGAAGCTGTTGAGGCAGAGGGTGCAGAGCTCAACCCGGGGGGAGAAGTCGTCAACCCAGGCGAGATACCCGCGCAGACGGCTGAAGCAGAGGCTGCAGAAGCCGCTGAGGTCGCGGAGGTCGCGGAGGTTGCGGAGGTTGCGGAGGTCGCGGAGGTCGCGGAGGTCGCGGAAGCTGCAGAGGTTGCTGAGGTTGCTGAGGTTGCTGAGGTGGTCGAGGTGGCTGAGGTAGTTGAGGTAGTTGAAATTATTCTATAAGTTAGGAATTGTGAAGGATATCATCAGATGCGAGGTAAGAAAAACGGAAAAGTGTACGACGCTCTTTGTATTCAGGTCTATCTTGTCAAAGATGAGCTTTCATACTGTTGAAGCCAAGTTTCGGACAACATTCCAGCTTTTTATAGGTGATCTCATTCCTGGATTATCTAGTGGATAGAGCGACCTCCTATACTTTGAAGCTGCACTGTGTTGTGTTAAGTTTTAATGTACATACTACTAACCTAGGTTAGTAGTATGTAGTAACCTTGGAAATGTTCCATTTCTCGAAGCTCCCCATATGATCAGTGCACGGACCATCCAGCAGGACTGGTACCTGTTGAATGGAGGCAGGTACGCCGGAGAGGAAAGTACGACGCAATGTAATCTTGTATTTATTTATATTTCCAGCCAGTAACGAAAGTTTATCCTTGGATCTTAATTGTGAACATACACTGCCAAGTCTATCAGTTGTGTGGCAGGCTAATCCCCAGACCTCCTGAGCCAAAGTTTAGCGGTATTTAGAACGAGCCCAATACGCCATAAAAGAGCATAAAATATATAGGCACTTGCGTGTAATCGACAATCCCGGGATGGCCGGGCTTCTAGAATCGTACCCGTAAGATAGAATGGCAACTCCTATAAGATGCAAGATATGTGAAACCCTAGGTACTCGTATCCTGATTAGCACGGTAGTTCCTACGAAAGTAATGAACAAACCAAGAAGTTTTTTCAGAGAGCAACCTACACATTGGCAGCAAAGATCCCACAGACGAGAATTGGGTAGAAGCTCCAGCTCGCTCCTTTGTCCATGATCTCCTGCGCCATCCGGAACACGGTCGGCATCCAAACAATGGTCGAAAATAGCTCCAGGGGCAGCCGCCAGCGAGACGTATTTAATTCCATGAGATCTAAGACCAACAGGATTAAATATGCAAAGGAGAGGATGAAGTTGAACTGTGAACTTATATATCAGTCATCCGTCCACTTCCAAATTCCCACTCACGTAATTCATAGTTTGCGAAAGGAGTCAGGCGAGTTGCCTAAGAGCTTACCGTGACGGGATATTTAACTGTCGAGTCGTCAGGATACTTAGACCAGGCCATTGCGACTGCGAGGACCATAATGCAAAAGTAAAGACCGCTGACACCGCACCATACAGACTCTATCGCCAGCATCATTCTGCGACACGGCGGATGAACGGTGTACACATACACGGGCCAGCCGCAGAGCACACATACGTGGCCGCTCCTGCCGTTGACAAACGTAACCATGGTGTCCGGCTGGCTATAGAACGCGGGACTGCGCTTGACACGCCAGCAGCGGAAGCACATGGACCGCCATGGATCGCGCTGTCGCGAGTCGTCAAGGACGAGGTAGCCTATAACGGGGGTGGCCAGACACTCGTTGCAGCAGTTCAACAGATCAAAGGTGATGTAGCCGTTTTCAGTGAATATCTTCTGGATGACGGCCGGCGTGAGGTACTGGTAGTACAGTCGGCAGGTCTGGCGAAGGTTTAGAGCGGCTCGCACGTCGAGTTGCGATATGATCATGAGCTGAAGTTCCCATGGTAGGAAGGCGAGACGAGATTTTTCTCTTCCATGAAAAACTACCGAGGATGTTGGGGTAGGCTTTGAACGCTCCCTTGGCTGACTGCGACGTTTCCACGGTAGGGCTTGGTGACCCTCGTGTTTGGACATGACTGCTTGCGTTAAAAGTGTAGGTGGACCAGCTGAACTTCTTGACATCTACCTAGCAGCTTTAAAGGTCCCAAGTAGGATGCCATCCGAGCCACTAAAAGCAGATACCGAGAAAGGCGAACAGACTATTCGCTGTTTCATATGACGCGTCTTCTAGATCATTGAAAGAGAAAGATTAGGCGAAACAGGTTTGATTATCTAGATATTCATCTGACACGGCTGGCTAGGCAGGAGAACCGTGCCGTTTTGTTGGTGTATTGCGCGGCGTCTCCTTATAACTTACCTATCTATATTAGCCAAGGCAATGGGCAAGTTACCTACTTTCTAGTGAATGGTTAAAAAGCTTTACCGTACTGTTCAACTTGTTTGCTAGGTATTTCTGGTCATCGCAATATGAGAAAAGCCGTAGCAGTTCAATACCCACTTAAGTTAGCTAGGTTAGCTCACTTTGCGTTACCCGTCATCGTTCAGAAGGGGTGGAAAATCATAGAAAAGACCACAACTATTAGACTGTGATGTTATAGCACACGAGCTCTCATATGATCGGCTGGTAGAGTTTGTAGAAATCGATTTCCTCGACATAAAAAAGCATGGACGTTAAATGTAGGGCAAACTATGAATTTGCTCCAACCGCGATTGCCTCTCTGAAGCGGCTTGTCTTTATTCTAAGTTTGGATCCTTGATGGATCCAGGTTTTGGAACAGAGTTGGCGATTTCGCCGCATTTCTTGCACTTCCGGTTCTCCTCACTTGACATGAACTTTTCGATTGCGGCCTTGATCTGGGTACCTAGATCGGTACAGTGGAAGGCGGCTTCGTGGACAACCTCGGAGCACTCCTGGCAGTACCAGCGCATGCGATCAATGGTATCCTGAGGCCGTTTCTGCTCAAGCACGACTCCGACAGTGTTGGCGAAGCGCACGGGATTGTGCGGGGTATTCCCCGGAAGCAAGAACATATCGCCCTCGCGGATAATGATGTCTCTAAACTTGCCATCATCGACGACCTTGAGCATCATAGCCCCCTTATACTGGTAAAACCACTCAGGGGTTTGGTTGATGTGGTAGTCGGTCCGGGAGTTGGGACCACCGACGATCTAGAGACCAACGATGATAAGTCAGTTATGAGACTGTAAGAGATAACTTCTCTTTATATGGTAGGGTTTGGTAAATGTATCTGCGCACCATGACGGTGAAGTCTTCGTTGTATACGCAATAGTTATTGACCGGCGGTTTCAGGAGGTGAGAGTTCTCCTCGAGCCTTGGCAGCTAGCTATTAGCCTAGACCCACGTCATACCCGTACTTTCACAGTATGGTATTGAGGGCTTTACTGGCTTACCATTTCGGGAGGTTTACTGGCGGAGAAAGCATTTTGGTTGGTTACCTGGGCACCTCGGTATGTATTTGATAATTCTTGTATGGATGTGTCTGAAGTCAATAAGAAATCAAAGTGAGTGAAGTAGAAGTAGAAGAAGAAGAAGCCGGGTAATAAGCACAGATCCCTATTACTTAACTTGATCTAACTTACTTCAATTTTCCTTATAAATCACAAAAGACTAGAGAGATAAGTGACTCTGCCGCGAGATGCCGCTGCTATCCTGATCCTAACATTTATCCTAACATTTAACTAAAAGGGAAGATTGAAAGAAAGGAAGAAGCTTCATGACCCCCACCATAACTATATCACTGCATGCTTACCTCATTACATGTACATTGTATCCTCTTGGGATGTCATTACCTAATGCCTACAGGCGACATCTGGATCTGTGTATCCACCAAACGGGACAACCCCTACCACTAACCTACCCTGGTTAGTACGGTCTACTAGCGCAGGCTCGTACCTAACTCTGGGGACGTTTTAGGTTCACCACCTATCAACACCGAACCATCTGACACCATCGTCACGCATCTCAACGGGGATTGAGCACATTTAAGCAAGTTTCCAACTGTTTATCAAGCATCAAGTAGCATCAAGCAACTTTTTTGAATACTTTTCTTTCTTCCTTCTTTCTCTTGTCTTTAGATTACACATATTTCTTGATATCTATTGTCATATACAACTTTCAATTTGATTATTTTCCCGTCTTTGTCATTCAATTCCACCTCACTTCAACGAATTGTATCTCGTAACTGATAGACCAACGATCGTCATCATGGACCACTCGCATATGGATCATGGACACATGGGCCACGGTGATATGGGGCATGGCGATATGCCAATGCCAATGTGCAGTATGAACGTGAGTACCGTACCTACATTCTTTAAACAAGCATTCTCTAGCCTTATGCACGACGACCTGCGCTGAGCGCGCATCCGACCTATCTCGCGCCTCCTTCTCGACGCCACGATACCCCTTCCCTTTCCTCCCATTGGGTACCGATTATAGGGACCCCTATACCTAGAGAAAATCGCAAGACAAGAAAAGAAAAGAAATACACTAATGGTTGGCTTCTATCGATTTTAGATGCTCTTCACCTGGGACACCACCAACCTGTGCATCGTCTTCCGTCAGTGGCACGTTCGCGGTCCCACTTCCCTGATCTTCAGCTTGCTGGCCATCATCGCCCTCTGCGCCGGCTACGAGGCTCTCCGTGAGGCCATCCGACGATACGAGCAGTCAATTGCTACCAAGCAGGATGCTTCCCTCAGTGAGTACCTACTGTTTGGCCCCACAACACACACATACACATACACATACACACACTCCAATCCCCGATTTACATACATCCCCTCCTCCCTTACTTGCCTAAGCTGGTAGCGGTCGGCATCTGTCGTATAACACATAGAAATGTGTGACACGGCATTCGCCAACCGCTGTTGCTGCATCTCGAGCAGCCCAAATGAATTTATTTGTATTCCTTTTTTTTCATTGGAGCTCCTTTTGGGGGAAGTCCTAGGCTAAGATCTTACCGTTGCGAACGATGGAGGCGAACCAAATACTGAGAGCGCGACATTGCTTGGCGTAGGACGGAGTGGCCAGGCCGATGCGATTGGGCGGCGGGCCCATTTGGTCAAGTCTGTGCTATACGGCGTGCAGAACTTCTATGCGTTTATGATTATGTGAGTAAAAGAAAAGCCCTGTTCTATGCCTTTCCCGCCCCATCAATCAATGCTGATGTTCCGGGTAAACGAACAGGTTACTGTTTATGACCTACAACGGCTTCGTTATGTTATCCGTCGCCATCGGCGCCGGCCTCGGATACTACTTCTTCGGTTCGCGTACGAAGGCAACTAAGGAAACGGCTTGCCATTAAAGAGAATGAGGTCCTGGATTTATCAGAATGCGAGTTTACAAGTTAATAAAGGGGTGTCGAAGCAAGAAGCATGAAATCGATTAAGAAAGCATGATGAGGCTATTGGAAAGAGGGAGACGACGTTAAGCGGTTCTATTGAGTGAGAGTGTGACCACAAGTTTAGCGATGTTTAGAATTACGGATACGGACGGCTTGAGCCTAGTATGAATCTACACTGCAATGTAAGGACAGCCAAAAATCTATGGGTGTACTTTTTACATCCATCTACATTTTTGCGTCCTTGACCTCCTCGTCTTTGATCGCGTCTAGTCCGACTTCCACCCTTTTCTTCTCGGGGAGCAGACCCTTCGTCTCTAAACTGTCTATGAGACCCTCGTCCCCAAAATGAGCATTATGCTCGAACTCGGGTTCCTCGTCGTAGGCGATCCTTGCAGTATCGACTAACATACGCCCCGTGAGACCCCATACCAGGAAACGCTCAATGGTGTCTTGCTCTCCTTCTAGCTCATCGGCCAGGGCGGCCTGCCCGCCATCCCGTACTTTCGGTTTCGTGACTCGTTGATTGTTCACCGGCACGCTGAAATTGTGCACCCGCCAGGGGTTCTCATGCCAGTATATCCAGCGCCCGCTGTACCACTCGCCCGGCGGTATCGTCTCCCCCTCGCGTTGTTCATCCTTCGTCTTCAAGAAATTATGGAGCGGGGCGCTGAACACGGCCGCGACCTCCTTGGCGTCCAGCCGCGGAATCATGCCCTCGTCCACCATCGCCTTCGGCTTGCCCGCCTCGTCGTCGGCGTGCAGGAACGCCACGCACGGCCGCACTGCCAGCTCCGTCTTCGCCATGCTGCACGGCAGGCAGCACAGCGGCTCGATCCGGAATGGCTTGGGAATCTTAGCGTCATCCATGGGGAGCCCGATTTCTTCCCAGGCTTCGCGGCGCGCTATTTGATCTATCGTCGTGGGAAAAAAACCACAGTAGGTTAGTTCACCTGGTCGTGCTAAACACTCCCCCTCCCTTTTTTTACAGGTACACGAAGCTACACTTACACGGCGACTCTGATAGAGAATCGGCCTTTCCCCCAGGAAAAGCTGCGTGGCCTGTATTTTTTCAACACGTTAGAAAATAGCAACCAGAAATGCAGTACTTCTCCTCCTCCATCGGAATTATAGTGTGTTTGTTGGATAGGTAGATAAGTAGGCATCTTCTAGGGGCCAGGGGGGGCATACCGGAGAAGTTCCGCAAACTAGCAGCCCGCATTGTGATGACGACTCGTAGATCACCTCGGCGGTCCGCGAACAACAAGATCAGCACGGCGGCGCGGCGGCTCACCGGGAGGCGGTCCCAGGTGGGGAAGGGTGCGGGCTTGTAGGCGCGCAGACGCGCGATGGCGGCCTTTTTGATCGCATGAGCAGGTACTTAGGTAGTTTTGGGAGTAAATGGGTTGGAGATGATGGAGTTGGTTTTGCTCTTTATTGATAGCATTTTCTCATCCCTTTCTTGTCCTGGTGTAGTCCTATTGCTATTTTCTATCGTTTGGATGTGTAGGGGTAGGTAGAGATAGGTATGTTTATGAATATGTAGGTAGATAGATAGGTTGCAACTATACTAACCGCCGAGATTGCATTGAGCGGGGCCATCGTCGACGCATCCCAGTAGTACGAAGCCCGATCGGGATATTCTTCGGTCGACGGGCGTTCTTGTGGTTGTAACGGTGGTGAGTGTGGTGGCTGTTGGCGGTTCAAGTCGAGGGAGAAGGCGAGGTCGGCGGGGAGGGTAGCGGAATGTCGGATGCTTTGTAGGATCTCGGCCGTTTCGAGCTCCGTCAGAGGAGGTGAGCTGTCTCTCTCGGTGGCGTCGGAGGTGCTGTGGTTGACGATGGTCATCTTGAATGGGGAAAGGTGAATAAGGCACCGTTTAAGCCCCCGGCTAGTTCCGATCGCTCTCTTTTGAATGTTTCTTTCAGGTACCTGCCTAGCTGTCCTAGACTCCTAGTAGGGCCCTAGGGGCCGGACTGACGTATCATAACCCGCGGGGTACTTACCCCACGGTACTTTACTACTTCGCACAAGCTACCTAGTACATGGTAATGGTTGAGTTGCACGTGATACTTTAATTAATCACCTCCCATTTCCCTTTCAATTGCTTCATATCCTTTTCTTTTCTTTTCTTATGAGTACAGGACCTGACTTTTATCTACCTTAGAAACCTATATGGCCAGCCACAGCTGATTAGAATGGAGACACTCCATACACACCCACTATTCTCCCAACATTGGCATCCCTTTCTCCTTTCACCACCGATGCAACTCGCTTACCACCCTCCCAAGGCTCAGCAGCACCCCTCTGGCGTAAAGACTCGGCATCGCCGGTAAAGTCGGTTGCGCAGAGGCCTGGGTCAGCACCAAACACCATAAAGCCCTCTAGCTTCAGCCGCGCATAATACATGACCATCATCATGTTAAGCGCCGCTTTACTGGTACGATATTCTACCGCGCCGGAGATGTAGTATGGGGAGTTGGGGTCAGCAGCGTGTGTAATCGAACCCGTGCTCGAGCTCACGAAAACGATTCGTGGTGTATGTTTTGCTTTACGAAGTAGACCCAAAAAGGCCTCCGTTACGCTCATCGCCCCGACGACGTTTGTCTCTAGGATTCGTCGCAAGACTTCTCGTGTAGGAGGGCTAGCCGTGGAAACTATGCCTGCATTGTTGACGAGGATATCAAGCCGTCCAAACTCATACGCGATGCGTGCCGCAGCGGCATCGACCGATTTGTCGTCCGTCACGTCGATCTGAGTTGAAGATACTGTGCCTTTGACTCCCTCGACTGCCTGAATTTGTTTAACGGTAGCTGCACCTTTGGAAGGGTCGCGACTCCCCAAGATTACATGGTACTCGGAAGAGAAAACAAGCAGGTTCTTCGCTGTTTCGTAGCCCACACCCTGGTTCCCGCCTATGCTGGTGTTAGTTCTATCGGTATACAATTTACCATCTACCACATAAGTCCAAGGTCGCTCAGCTCATATGCTAACGACTTACCAGTAATTAACACAATTCTCTTGCTTGATGAAGCCATATCTACATGGAATGCTAATAATGAATTGAGCTGGTCCATTCTAGATTAGAAGTCTTGTACCTTGTTACAGTATGTCAGGGAGAAACAAATTCCATTTGAATACTCTTAATAAAGCACAGCTGCACTCATTGGAGCCTCATTTCTTTTTCTTATATGTCATTTAGGAGCTCGGGAATAAGGCTATATGATCTTAACTCCGCTAGGACATTAAGACATTATGCTTACATGTTGAGTGGTAACTATGTCCTATTAGTTAAGTCCATCGGTGTTATTAACACATTTTATGATCGTTAACCCGAGAACACGATACGCCACGTTTGGCCACTTGGCTAGGGGATCTAATGAAGTCACCTCAAGAGTGGAAAGACACACCTCCAAAAAGCTATATCACGTGACTGACCCCCCTTTCCCCCCTTTTCCTCCTAGCCCTCCTACTTCTCAACAATGATATCCCTCACTTTTCATCCTCTTACAATATAATATATTTTATGAATTTCAGTTATTACACCTCGCCGTCTTCGTCTTCGTCTTCTTCGTCACGCCATATTTCGTAACTTTTCGCTTCACCTGATTCCCAATTCCATTTGGAAATGAACCTATACTGCTTTTAGCATTTATTCTCCTTTGGGAGTAGCTCATTGATGTATTCGTGAAATTCTTACATTGCCGCAGCAAAGAAGCTGATTGAATCGGCGTTGTGACAAGGTGTATCTTGGTCGAAAAGAGCCAAATTGATTATCCGACGCATGCTGTGAGTATATTCTTGCTGGCCGTCCGCGGATAATAAGAGGTCTCCATGATCATCGAAGGCAGGATCTATAATAAGAGTTAGTGGACTGATGAACATAACTTTGGAAGTTTCAAGGTTCCTAGGTTACCGCTGGGTACTTAACCTAGGTAGGCAGATTCATGTACTTACGGTCGAGTAGATCGCCGATTCCTACCGAAAAGGTCAGCCTGGAAGTACCTACAGAAGAAGTGTGAGCCATATCCTAGTGTGTATGATAACCGTCCGTGTCATTTAGCATTGGCTAATATTTGATTGAGGCTTCAGTGAGGAAGAAATTAGGGGCTCTCGATGATAAGAAGGCCACTAGTACTTCTGAGACTAAGAAGACTACCACAGCTTCGGCGACCAAGACGACCTCCAAGATTCCGCAGCGAAGACGACTTCCAATACATCAAAACGATTCTCAACTTCGACACCCGCACGGTCCACCACCTCAACTCGACAGTAGAACAAGACGTATCATCGCCTATCATCCAGGAAGTGGTGATTTCTGTGTTCGAGCCAGCTAAGAAGCATATCCTCGCGAAAGCTAATTAGACAGTAGTTTAGCTTGGTGAGACGTTTGAGATGATAATTACACACATGATTAAATATATCAATAGGTACCTTCGTAGTTCCAATAGACGATATGAAAAAACACATAAATTCTGAGGAATTGGGATGAAACTACCCGTTCAAGCGAAGTTACCAATTAAGAGCACGTGACATCCCCAACGTTAAGCATGAATTCTAGAAAGGGGGGTTCGACCGGTCGAGACATCCGAGTTAAAGTGGGTACTGCATCCGGGATTTCGGGAGGGTATGTGCGACCGGCCTGGTACCTCTATACAGCCTTGCCAATTGCTCGACGTGTGATGACTGATAATAGATAACATCCTCAATTTCATCCTAGATATACTATCGAAGTTTACAGTTTGTGATATTGTAGGATTAGGAGTTCATCGTCTGCTACAGCTAAACCCTACTAAGTAGTCACCATGTAAGAGATAGGTGCACTAAGGGGAAACGATTCGTGTCACCAACTCGCACCAGTATATATTACTATACCTCAATGTTTAAATGTTATGTATCCTATCTACCTATATCTAATTCTAGTCGTAGTAATAAGTACCATTCCAGATTTGCAAATAGGTACAGGTAAGCTTGGCGATATCACGGTCGCCTACACCAAAAGATCAATGCATATTTTCTTACCTCAGATACACAATTTCATTCAACAAGAAAACGAAAACGGTATAATATCTGCAGGACCACGATATATACAATTAGCAAACCTTTCCCACCGCCCCAGCCAAGCCTCTCCGTCCTATAATCTGTACGTAACAGTAACCATTCGAAGATCAGGGTTTCTCGCATATACGGCACCGCGCAGGGCAACCTCTGACCGGGATTAGCGAGCCACGGCGAGGTTATTCGCAATGATTTACGTTTCCAAACCCAACACCCGTCCAATCTTTTCCTCGAAAATTCAAACCACCCCGGTGGGGAACCGGACGGTTCTTAGGTAACAGGTACTGACGATGCGTCTTGGCGTCACTCCTTTTTCTTGGGGAGTCGGTCGCGAGAGACGAAGACTACCATATAAGCAGACGCATGCCTGCCTACAATTTATCTGATTTACCTTTCATCACAGAACACCATACTCCCACTTCCCCTGTACGGAAATCGAGACCGCTCAATGTCGCCATCCGGGACGGAAATTGTCATCGCGCTGAACCCTATGGAACACATGCCCATCCACCTCGGAATCCCTTGCCAAGAAGTCCTCCCTCCAGCAGAAGGCCAGATCACTCGCTAAGAGAGAAACCCCCCCCCCCTTTCGGTCAGGTTTTCTTTTCACAAAATGGAAGACAAAACAAAGATGCACGTATTCATACGCGCAGCCTCCCCATGGCTCGACTCGCACCTGAAGGCGTTGATCCAGCGACACGTGCCTTCGTCCATCTTCTACGACGACTTCTCCGACTTCCCCCTGGACGCCTCCGTCGTCTTCCACTTCTGCGACGGGTGGGAGCTCAACCGGAACTTCGCCGTCGTCAGCGCCGCCGACAGGGCGCTTATCAACGCGTACCCCAACAGCGACGCGCTGGCGCGGAAGAACTACCTCGCGCGCGTGGTCGAGCACTGGACGGCGAAGAACCCGCAGAGCATCCTGAAGACGCACGCCCCGCCCACCGTGCGCCTGTCGCTCGACTACGCCGAGTATGTCGACGATGCGCTGACGGCGGCGGACGACCTCTCCCTGCTCTGCTCGCTCGAGGAGAACGAGAGTAGGCCTGCCGAAGAGCGCGAGTGGTGGATTCTCAAGCCTGCGTTGGTGGATTGCGGCGCCGGCATCCGACTATTCAGCACCATGGAGGAGCTGGCGAGCCATCTTGAGCTCGCCGAAGATGAAGTCGAAGACGAGGACGAAGAGTCGGAGGAGGAGCCGGCGGCCGAACGCGACGTAGTTGCTAGGCTGACGACAGCCGACAAGATGCCAGTAGATGGGAGCGAATTCTCGCCCACTCTAGCGACCCCCGGTCTTGACTCCCTAGACGGTCTTTTCACCGCAATAGGAGGCAATAAGGCCAACCACAACCCCCCCCCTCCTCCTCCTCCTCCTTCCGCCGCCGTTACCCGCGCGCCCAAAAAACAACCCTACGTCTTCAAAGAAGGCGGGCGGATCCCCTCGTCCGAGATGCGCGAGTTCGTCGCGCAGCGGTACATCACCTCCATCACGCCGCTCGAGAACCGGAAGTGGCACATCCGCGCGTACGTGCTGTCGATCGGGCGGCTGAAGGTGCACGTCTTCCGGGAGATGCTGGCGCTGCTCGCGCTGGAGGACTACGCGCCCCCCTGGCGGAACCCGAGCCTCGGGTCCTCGCTGACCAACACCGCGCTGCAGGACGAGGAGGACTTCGTGCGGCGGGGGTCGATGCGGGACTTCTGGGCGACGCCCGATGACCTGCTGCCGGGCAAGCGCTGGAAAGAGCACGTGTTCGACCAGATCTGCGAGGTCTCCGCCGAGCTGTTCCGCGGCGCCGTGCACACGATGGCGGACCGCTTCACGACGCTAGACAAGTGCTTCGAGCTGTTCGGCGTCGACTTCCTGGTCGGCGCGGACGGGACGGCGTGGCTCCTGGAGGTCAACGAGACCCCGGCGTTCTACGAGCAGGGCGTCGCGGGCCCGATAGCGCTGCGTCTGATGGAGTCGGTCATACTCATTGCGATGGAGCACATGGGCATGGTCGAGCCGGGCGACGAGCGGAATGGGGAGGCTAGGAAGAGGATGGTGGAGGTGTTGGACGAGACTAATAGGCTGGCGAAGAGTAACATCACGGAAATTACAGCGGGAGATTAAATGGTGGTAAGCAGTTCTATAGAGTTAGATGTGATATTTTATAGACAGGGACCTAAATATAAGGTTTAGAAGACCAGCTATATGAGGATAATCTTGCAAATGATTATATAAGAGTTGTATAGGAGTTGCCGGAAAAGGCGGTCCGGAATGGCAGAACCCGAGAAAAGGGGGGAGTGACGGCTAAGAATTAGGCAGCCAAATAGCTCGTGATTTGATGGTGACTATTGGTCGTATCGTTATTATACTATATTATTTTATCGACAGTACGAATGTCTACCTTGATTGGTAGGTACCTAGGTGTCTAACCGTGGCTATGCTTGAATAAGCCCAAGGCACAAAGTCCCCCTTTTTTTTCAATTCAGCCAACCGCTAACCCTAATCTCTGAACGATCGCAGTACCAGTCAAGTTTGTCAATGCCCTTCCATACAAACATCACGACATTTTGCTCATATCATAGTCTTTTCCTTACCGCGACTGCGGCTCCCCAACCCTTATCTGACGTTTAATCTCCTCCCTCCGCCTCTCCTTCCTCGCCTCTTCCGCCGTCGTCCCAATGCCCAATCCACGGCCCAACCCCAACCTTTTCGCCTTGGCCAGAAATTTCCTGACCCTAGGCACAGGACTTGTCTTCCTGCTCCCCTTATCCTTATCCTTGGCACCGGTGGTAGTAGTAGTAGGGGCGATATCAGCACTCCCACTACCACCCGCAGCGCCAGAACCACTACTACTACCCACAGCATCAGAACCAATACCCTCAGACCCCCTCTGCCTAAACGACAACGACCTCGCGAACCCGAAGCCCGGGAGACTCGAAACACGGTTCCGCTTCTTCGCCTCCTTGTTATTACTCTTCCCACTATTACTCCTACTCGGGTTCTCCCCTTCCTTCCCCTTCTCCTTCCCCTTCCCCTTCCCTCCCTCCCCTTCCTTCTGCTTCTTCCTCAAAACCTGCCTGCCCCCTTCATCCTCGCCCTCCGAAAAAGTCGACGTCAGCAACAGCGGAAACGGCGTCTTGACGTACGTGTCGGCGAGCGGCCTCTCGCTGAGCTTTAGGGGTGGCGGCGCCGGCGCCGTGCGCGGGCGTGCTGAGAACCCTTCGATCCTCTGCTGCGGGTTGTTGTCGTTGCTGGCGAAGGAGACTTTGAAGGGGAGGAGCATGCCGCTGCCGCCGCTACTAGCGATGCTGTTGGTGTCGCCGCTTGTGCTAGTACCCGCTATAGGTGCCGAAGGCGATCTGCTCCGCCGCCGCGGCTCCGCGTAAGCATCATCATCATCACTGCCCTTGTCCCGCGAATTCGGAGACCGCCGCGCAGACCTCAATGGCAATTGCATTTGCGGCTGCTGCGCTAGTGGGGAAACCAGAAACGGCTCCATGTGCACCATCGTCGACCGCCGTGTCGGGGAGCGGAGATTCGGGTCGGAGGGGAATGAGGTCGGGGGCCTTATGACGGCGCCGGTGATAGGGCTGCCGGGGTCGCTGTGGTGGCGGATTTGGTTCTCCTCCTGTTGCCGGGACCCATACAGGCTCCCGGAGGATCCATGCAAACCCCCATCTCTTGCAGCGAGTAGGCTCCTAGAGGATTGGCTATCCGCGTATATCGATAGCGGGACGTGTATCCGTCCTGGCTGCTGGCTCAGATTCGCGCCTCCGGCTGTGGTAATGGGGAGGAGGGACGAGTGTCGGCTTGCGACGGAGCCGGTGTCGCGGATAGATGGCGAGACGGTGGCGGAGTGGAGGCTGCGCTGGGAGTCGCCGGGCGAGATGGGCGAGACCTCGTATGGCTGAATATTGTTATTGTTGTTGTTGGTTCCCGGGAGGGGGGCAGAGACGGGACTGACCACGTAGTCCCCGCTGTCTCTGGAGCCGCCGAGAATGATGTGGGTAGGATGCCTAGGCTGCGGTGCAGCTATCTCCGACTCCGACGGCCGCCCCTGCCGCAGGGGGGGTTGTGATGGTGAAATTCCCGCAATTGACTGCTGCTGCTGAAGAGGTTGGACCAGAGCCAGTCCCGCCTCGTCTAAAATGCCGGCAGGGCCAGGACTACTGGGGTCATCGTCATGATATTGACTCGTCGAGGCCTGGAAGAAGGGCGCTGGCTGTCGAGGGGTTTCTCCATCGGGAGAGTCATATACCGACGACGAGCTTGAGTTTGGCCGTCGTGGGAGAGCCCTATTGATGTATTCTGGCAAGGCCTCCGGTGGTGGATATTGCTGGTAAGAATTCCATCCTAGAGTTTCCTGGCTGTTCACATTATTTTCCCCTCCTGTGATGTTACCTGAGGTCATTTCGTGGTTTCGTGCTGTAGCTGTTGTTCCATCATTCATCTTTTCGAATGCTTTTTCATTTCATTCGACAAGCGACCACATTGCGTGCAGTGAAGTCCTGCTTGATATGTTTGCTTGAGGGGTAAGACAAAGATTTTGGTTGAGAATGTGCTCGGTTGTTTCCGGCTCACCCGGACGAAGCCTAGCTTCTTTGTCAACGGAGCACAAAGACGATGATTCGGATCACCTACCTGCTTACCTTGGTACCTGGTAAGTACCTACATACCAGGTCAAGATAGTTTGAAGATAATATTGATAACCTGTGCTATAAAGCTCCTAGATCAAGAAGTATTAATATCATATGCGGTACAAGCATAACTGATCAAGTGCGATACGAACTGCGAGAAGAAGAAAAAAAGCCTCCCTATTTTTTTAAGGTCCGAATCTTGAACCCGTGAACCCCGGACAATAAATGATGCTATACCTATACACCGTCGAAACAGTAAATCAAAGCACAAATCAAGAGGTAAAGAAAGAATCCCCCCGGTGACGCTACGATGCACCAAATACCTGACATGGTTGGCCTTCAAAACCTCAGCAACTCGCTATATATCATTACCGCCCCGTGTGATAAAAGGCCCAGTATACCTTTCGACACGTTCAACACCACCTTCTCGACATCCCGTCATTACATAGGCCCCATTCATCACCCTCCATTATTTCCCGTTAGCCTTCCCCTTCCCCTTTCCCTTTGCCTTACCCTTGGCCGCAATAGCTTCAGGTTTGGAATAGAAACTCATCGAGTCGTCGCCAAATAATTCCTGATCACCCTTTCCGCCCATTTCCATAAACTCCTTCGTGGCACGCTGGTCCGCTGGCCGGGCTTCCTTCGTTGCCGCCTTCTCATCTGCCGTAGGGTTTTTGGCGTATAATTTCAGAGGCCCCTTCTTGGCATCCGGGCCTAGCGGAATCTTGTTGGCGACTTGCACCGAGTTGATAGAACTGAGCAATGTCCGTTCCCGAACTGCACCTCTACGTTGCATTTCAAGACCGCCAATACCAGCTACGAGACCGTCTGTGCTATCATTAACGCCTACCAGCTTTTGTGTTATCCAGGGATGAGCGAGACACTGATCAACTGTGTAACGCTTATCCGCATCCGGAACCAACATATGATCAATAAGATCCACTAATACGTTGAAATTAGTTCACCAAGTAGTGAGATTCAAGGAGGCAAATACTTACATGCCGGATCGCCTACGGAGTCCCAATAAGGCGAAGGATAGTCGAACCGACCACTCTTAATCTGCTGTTGGAGGGTCAAGGGAAAGTCGCGACTATAAAGTTCATCCGAGAACGGGGGGAATCCACATAAGCAGATATATAGTACCACTCCGAGCGACCAGATGTCAACCGCCTTAGTATATTTTCGATTTCTCCCTTCGGCCAATATTTCCGGAGCAACGTAGCTAGGAGTGCCGCAAAGAGTGGTCGTAAATGATTCCTCTCCAATAATTTTAGCAAGACCAAAATCAGCTAGTTTGACGTGAAGGTCTTTGTTGACCAATAAGATATTCTCGGGTTTGACATCCCGGTGAACAATATTTCGGTCATGCTATTTCTGTCGTCAGCTATGCCAAGACTTTGGGGGATTAAGTGAGCCATACCAGATACTTGATGCCCTGGAACAGCTGGATGAATAGTTTCCTCGTGTCCGCTTCCGTTAGTTTCTGCTTCATCACAATGAAATTAAACAGTTCCCCTTCTGGGGCAAGCTCCAGCACCAAGTATACAGCATTTTTCTCGTTAAAAGTGTCCTTTAGACACAGAACGTTAGGATGGCTGACACCCATCAGCACTGCAATCTCTTGTTGCAACCCATCCGTTTTGGACCTCTCATCCATGCCTGGATTCTTCGTGAAAATCTTGACAGCGTATCGTAGGCCGGTAGATTTCTCTACGCACAGGTATACCTCAGCAAAATGACCCTTGCCCAGTCGATCGAGGAGGGTATACTGCTGTGAGAAGGCGCTGGAGGCTCGGCTTCGTGGGTAACGGAAGATGAATCGGGCTTTGTCCATAACAGCGATCTCATCTTGTTCTTGGAGTTCGCGACGTTGGTTTCTTCCAACGATAGCTTCGTTCACAAAGGTTCCGTTACTTGACAAATCTTCGAGAATAGCGACTGTGTCATCTCCCTTATTTTCAGTGAATATCAGACAGTGCCGATTGGAAACAATTACATCGTCCACAATGATATCTACCAAGTATTAGTGTATTAGTCCTAACTCCTGGTGCTAACTCTGTAGCAAGGAAGTGGCCGAAACGTACCGCATTCAGGATGGCGGCCAATCAAATACCCGCCTGAAGGTATCCCCTTGGCCTTAGAGTTCTCATAGCTCTGTTCCTGTTTGAGAGGAGGAGCAGGTTTATTTGTCGTTAAGGCGCTCTTGACATCCCCGGTCACAGGACATGTCGATCGTTTCTTCAAAACCACACATCTTCCGCCATGCCTTGCGTCAAGTGGGAATAGATATCCCCAGACACCTTCCTTTTCCTCATCCTGGACCTCGTCAGATAAAGCCGCAGCAGTAGTATCGACTAATTGAGAGAAAGCTTGGGTGTCCTGGGGAGGCGACGAGAGTATTTGAGCCTGGGAAAATGTTTCTTCGGCAGTGCGGTGGGTGACTTGACTAGGTCGTCCATCGGGCGGTTCGGCTGTTGCTTCTTTGTATAGCTCATCACTATCGGTTTGGTGCGTTAGTGGAGAGGGTAGCTTCTGCTTGTTGGTGACGACAGGGGTTTTGATTTGTTCGGCGTTCTCTGACTTTTGAGATAATCGGCCAGAGCGTCGAGGTTTCTTGGACGGATCGCTATCATCCTTCGAGGGAGGAGATTCCTAGCAAAACTATGTTAAACTAAAGCAACGAATCAAGGACGGGTATAAGTACTCGGCCTCGTTTTAATTGGCTTTTCTCGCGTGGAGCCATGTTTGGTTGCCTGGCGCGGGAAGCTGCTTAAGTATGGTTGTCACTTGTCGCTGGTTGACAAAGAGAAGAAGGAAAAAAAGGAAAAGAAAAGCGAGGGAGATGGGACGTGATGCCAATCTCTCAGGGATTTTCAGGCAACCTATACTAGCCTTCTACAATGTTGTAGAAGAAGCGCCCTTGGATGCTGTGAATGCTGTGAATAGGTAGGTAAATTGGAAAAGAAGAAGTAAAGGTACTAAGGCAGGTAGGCAGCTGTGAGATGTGGATTTAAAGATGTGAGTCGACAATCATTGAATGGCCAAGGTACTATAAGTTGTACGAAGTACCACATGCAGTACTATACATACCTACTAGGTGTATGTACCTGGTAGACCAACATGCATGTATAGTACAATACTTTTGGCACTATCACCTATTACAAGAATTGCCTTTCCATTTAAAATATGTCAACTTCAAATCATTACTCTATTCACTTCAGGACAAGCCTAAATAAGTTACTTAAACTTAAAGGGAGTCAATGGCCACATGCTGTGTCTCTTATCAGCCAGAAAAGTCATAAGAAATAAGTCAAAACGTGCGAAAGACTGAAAGTTTGAGGATGGACCAGCTGATAGTGCCAGAGGTCATCCCCATTCCCCAAGCTTTCGAATGTTCCCATAAAAACTCAATCCGTTGCTGCAGCCTGTACCTACCTTAGGTACCTAGTACTGTATTGTATTGTACTAGGTACTAGGTTAGGAACATTTGAACCTTGGAAGTAATCGGCAGGTGGGGAATCACCCCGTAAATACATCCATACTACATCCATACTACATCCTAGTAGTCCCCTATTATTATCTCCATCATAGATACAATAGGTAGCAGTTCGTTGTAGGGCTGTGCAATAAACTTAATCCATCCAATGATCATTGATATGTAATATGAGTTCAGGGATATTACATAAGTACCAGATCCTCCCTATCCCTTGTATTCTTTTATGTAAAGCTCCGTTTGATCTGATCTCGTCACATAACACTTTAAATATTCCTAACCTCCACAGTAGTGCTACACCTGGGCATACTTAATAAGACAGTATAACATTGTGCCACAATGTCTTTAAACTTTTACCTCGTAGAATCCTATATACAATGTAATGCTAATATGAGAACGTATACCTCCAGAGCTTGCATACATCATTGATAATATGTAGGTAATTTGTAAGGCTGATGAGTATATGTCACGCGCAGCTTTGCTTCAAACACCGATATCGATCGACACCGACCCGCCTAGGTTTCAGGTGACAATGTATCAACACCATCTGCAGGGCCTCACATGCGTGAACAATACCCACGGGATTCATTCTTTACGCCATATATCATATACATGTCGCCGCCCCTGGGCAGCTAGATAGGTACATACCTAGGTTACATAAGTAAATTTCATACATACTGCTAGTAGTACCTAGTAACATTCTGATAGTGCCCAGTCATCAATAACAATATTTATAAACGAAAAACTACATTTTGAAGAAATGTCATGTTGATCATACTTTTTACTAGCCCAAAAGTCATAATAACCAGCCGTGCTATACACCATTAAAATTACGAGTCTATTCGTACATGTCTCCGCCCTTAACAATTGACTCCCTCCTGTCCCAGGAGTTAGGCTGTGTGTGCCTTGGTATTGTGTGCCCTGGTATCGTGACTGAGAAAGCCCACCTGATAATGTTAACTGCTGCTCAGAAACAGTGCTGGCCTATAAATTCCACTAATAATGATGCTCAAGGCCGACTTGGTATTCCTCACTACCTATGCTCCATAACGCCCAGGGTAAAGGAGAGTCGAGCGCTCCTTCGTACCTGAAGAGTAATATAAAAAGAAAATCCAGATATTCTTTGCCAACGAATGCCAAAGCGTTCAAACGCAACCCCAATTCCCTTCACATAGGCTTATCCTCGTCAGTTCGTGGTGCAAGAAGCGTCATTGAGTCAATCGTACAGTGAGGCGAAGGAGACGTCACAGTTCTCCAGGGGGAACAGAAGATCGGCGTGCAGAAGGGCGGTAAAGTTATAGACATATCCAAACGAGGTATCTGGAAGAAGGAGCGATTCGATCGCCGTTTCTACCGTTCGGAAGTAGATGAGGAAGAGTTTGACCCTGTTACGTTGGACTTCCGTCGACTGAGCCGGTTCTTCTGTGAGTGAGATGGCGAAGGGGATGAGGACGAGAGGGAAGCATTTGACTTCCGCCGTTTCTACCGTTCGGGAATCGGTGACTTTGCCAACCGTCCGCCAGCGCTGATACGCTTTTGCAATCGTGCGTCCTTATCGCGCTGTAGTCGTTCGCTCGGGCTATGACTTAGATTAGTCGACACTGACGCACCCAGGGCCTCGACGGCCGCATTCCGACCACGCTTCTGCTCGATGTACATCTGCCCGCTTCGGCTTAGAGGAAAGGCAGGCATCGTTGAGGGTATTTCAGCCCCATTCTGTATCAGCATCTCAGCAATTGGGAACGGAACGACTCGAGCTTCAGTATCTTGTCGCCCATTTCCAGGAGTTGCAGGGGACGGCGATGCTGGATCTGCGGCTGCGAGGGCTAAGAAGACCGGGTGAGTTCCACGAACTTTGTCAAGAACATTGGGGTTAGCCTTCAGTGCCAATGCGTATATGACTTGCTGGATCTCATTTCGTTTGATAGCTGCGAGAAGCGTTTCATCAGCTGTTGGGTACCGCGAGAGAGTAGGTGATATCGGCTCCACGTAAGCTCTATCCACGTATTTTGCCGTAATGAACTTCAACCGTTGCTCCCGAGTGGCCTGGGGGCCTGGCTTGAGGTTTGGATCAAGTTTTGACTCCCACACCATGTTGGATACTCTATTTCCGACTAGAAGCAATAGCTCGATTATATCGGGCGTAAACGATGTGATGTCGAGTGTGAGTGACCGGACTTTGCTGATATGTGTTCCGAGGGATCGATGAATACCACTACATTCAATACAGAGAATGATCGCGAGGTTGATCGAAACCCACTCAACCTTAGACCCGCTGCCGCAATCAGCACACCAGCAATTCCCTTGATCATTGTCGCGAAGCATTTGGAGAAGTTTATCAGGATTCTCGTCGTAACTAGGCGTTCGTGCGTTGGCAGGTCGCGCCCCAACCGTAGTGCGGCGAGAGGGAGGAGCAGACGAAGTGTTGTTGTGAGAACCGTGATGAGAACCGTGGTTTACGGAGCTGCTCTTTCCAGTCAGAATCGACCCAATGTCGCGCTTAAGGCTGGTAGTCGACTCTCCCGGAGACGTCGGCTTCTCTTTGAGACCACGGCCCTCTACTGCGCTCTGGAGGGCGTTGTTGATGGAGAGGATCCAGCTATTCATATCATCGCCCGACGTTGCCTGATACACTCTCTTGTAATGAGGAGTAATTACTTCGAAACAAAATCTTCGTTCTGCGTTTCTCGCTTCACGAACGGAAGCCATGCGAAGATCGATGGGGTCCATGTGCAGATCCAGCTTTTGCTTCCAGTTGCTATACTCCGACAACTTGCCTTGGTCAAGAACGACCCAGAACCTACGTTTGTTAGTGCGGTGCCAGTGTTCAGTTAGACCTGACTTAACGTACTTATGCCAACCCTGCTTATTTAATGAAAGAGGGTCTACGTGAGTACCCGGTCGATTCAAGGCCCATAGAAGTCCTTCTTTGCGATGTGTCGAGTTCTTGTCGGCATTGGCGAGCTGAGTAAAATCCCTTTCCTCCAAATCACGTATACCCTTGAACTTCGACGTTTGCACGGGACTATTTAGTGAGGTAGGTCCAAGGCTGCCTGGGGACCTTGAGAGGTCCGTCCCTGTCGAGACCATAGGCCCGGAATTGCCGGTAGGGGTAGGTTTAAGCTGAGAACTAGTGCTGTCCGCCCGGCCAAGTTCAGAGTCGGAAGTGTGTTGGTTGCCATTGACATTGTGGTTCGGAGTTGTGTTGGCCGAGGTCACGGTGTCTGGCTCGTTGTACTGAAGGTTGCTCTTTTCGAGCACGCGCCTTTTCTCCTCTCGTTCACGTCTCTGGTACTGAAACTCTTTATCGGCATCTTGAACCTCACTGGCCAAAGCCTCCAGTTGTGGGAGCAAGCCTTCAACTTTGTGGGCAGTAGCTAGAAACGTTCTTGCCTGAACGTCCGCGTATTTGGTTAAATGTGATAAGACTTCCTGTTCCTTGCGGCCACCATGCAGATCTTGCATGAACGATGAATAGTCAAAACGTTTGAGCTCAAAATTTCTTCTCTTCGTCTGGTATTTTGTATCGCTTTCGGCCAGTTTCTTGGTCTTTGCCGAATCTTGTCGTTGGCCGAGGTAACGAGATACGTAAGAATAGTAATCCTTGCTCTCCTCTTCAAAGTCTCGTCTTTTAGATTCTGCTTGTTTGATATCGTACGTATACAGTTTACCTATAGGGTCGATAATAATCTTCTGCAAGTTTGCCGTATTTTGCCGCTCATAAGCAAGGATTTCCCTCGCAATTTTATCAAAGTAATGGTCGATAGCAGGTTGAACTGCATTGGCATTCGTACCAGACGCTTCCCGGAGGGCTTCTACGAAGCTTAGGAAAGCATCGTTCGCCTCAGTCTGAGCCGCGTATGCATGTTCAGCCCTTTTTAAGACTTTCTTCATCTGAGTTCTCATGTTGCCGGTCTTCTGCTCGAGGGCTTTAATGGTGGCCCTGAAGACTGGTCCATCGTCGCTCACAGTCATATCTTCGCCAGGTCGAGGGCAGGCTATGTCAACCTTGACTGATTCTCGCGAGCCTGGCACAATAGTAGGCGCCACGGATAATGGGTCTTGCTGAAGGTTTACCGGAGAGTTAGGCTCGTCTTGTTCGCTAATACGAGAATCGACGGATTGAGATGAGGGGACTCGGATCCTCGGCGGTACTGCTAATTGAAAAACGGGAGAGGGGGAATTTGGTTGGGTTGGGGTAAGCGAAGTATCTAGAGCACTCTGTTAGACGTAGACGGAGGTGTGTATGAAGTCGGCGGTAGACTCACTGGAAACCCAAAAGGAAAACCGAGCTAATGTATCTAGGCGGTGTGCTCTCTGATCGTACTCGACAAACTAAATATCATCAGCAATGGAACTTGTAGGCAGCTAGATTCACATACGCTGCAGACATTCCTCCACCCCCCTCCGGCATCTTCTGTGGGCTTCGGCGGCTTCCACTTCCACGACCACTCGAATGTGACTGACGCACTTCCTCCTGTTGAATAGTCGCCCACAAGTTCAACATTGGCATTTTTATGTAGGTTTGGGTCGGCGTGGAATTCGCGAGTGACTAGGTTTTCAAGTTCTCTGCTTGTCGAAGCATATACATAAGTCAAGCCGTTGATGAGGCTGTCAGTACCACTAACGCCTTCTTCTTGACGAACCACAAAGGTGAAATTGAAAACGAGCTCGTCTTCATTATTGAGTTTGAGGAGAAAGTTCGGCGTGTTCGAAGGTTCGTTGTCCTAAAAAGGCGCTATTAGAGACGACGTACAACGGTATCAAGGCTGAACAATGTCGGCCCCTTGTCGAATTCGAGACTCACCTGAATGAATTCGACCGGGCTGGAGTCGCCCAAGGATCGCAAGGCTGTAGCCCGTGTAGCGGGGAAGGCATTAGGAACGACGGTAATGGACGTGCGCCGTCGAGGGCAGGTAATGGTTAGGGATGCAATTGATACTATATTTGATCAGTTTAAGTTGCGCGCATCGCAAAAGGAGTTGACGAACATCGATTTTGATCCCTTAGATAGATGGCAGCGCCATCATCGGGTCTGCTGCTCACGATTCCCATGGTGAGAATAGCGGGCCAGATGAAAGGCCGCGCAAAAAAATAAAGGTGATAATCCAGTCAAGTGTATGGTATATGATAAAAGGGTAGAAGAAGTATGGTATAGAATAAGGGTGTGGATGATATATTAACGAGGTTAGTGACGTTGTAAGAGAGATAAGTATCAAATTGGGGAAAAGGTGGTGTCGCAATGGTCGCAGCAACCGCAGTACTGATTGTTGCGGGCAGCCAATCCGATTGAGTTGAAAGTTGCGCTATGGACAGGTTTTGGCGGGGTTCAAAGTCATTCGCAGGCAACTGAAAGGGTACCGTAAAAGGGGGCTAAGGAGTGGGCGCTCAGCGTTGCAACAAGCGTTGCAATAAGCGTTGCAGGTGTTGCAGGTGTCAAGTCCAGTCGTGTTTGCCTTGCGCCGAATATAGGTACCTCAACCTGGCCAAGCATAGGTACTAGGTACCCTAGTATGCAATAGATGCAATAGATGCAGCCCTAGAGGCAATGAGCCCCCAACTTTGAAGGTTTAGTCACCAAACGATGCAAAATATAGGTAGCACAGCGCAATCTACATGCAAATACGTTAGACCCAGGAGTGGCGCAATTGTAAGTTTTCGCAAGCTTTCATCACACGAACAGGCCAAAAAGAGATCCGACGGAAACACGAGGGCGGCAGGGCAAAAACAGGGCAGGGGGGTGTCTCTCTCGTCAAGACTCAAGTGACAATAATAAAGAACAGAATCGATTTATAGCTGAAACAACTTTGCCTGGTTGGCTGAAAAAGAATGACCCGTACCTTTTCTGACAGGCACACGCCAGCCTGTAAGCACTCGTGGACAATAAGGCTGAGCTGAGCGTAGACTTGTCCAACACTGCATATGATGTCTAGACTAATGCATAAGTAGGTAGGTAGACAGGTAGGTATCCAATGTTGTATTCGGGTCAGGATCGCGTGCTCTTGGAGAGAATATGGTGTTTGGTCTAAAGAAGCCTTGTGATTTAAAGCAAGTGTAAAATGCGCCGTAAACAGCTCTCCTGTTGTATACCTCGAGCGTTGTTGTAAAGTATACCTAGGTAAGTAGGCAAGTATAATATGTGACAGTAAACGATTTGGAGTTCAGATGTTGATGAACATTGATGTTAAGTTAAAGAGTTGAAGTACCAGAGGTAAGTTATGAATTCAAGAAGAACGAGAAAGGAATATGTAGAAGCCTACCCTAGCAGGTAGAATCTACCGTGTACTAGGCCAGCCTTAAGGTTCAGCCAGGAAAGCGCTACGTGTGTAATGGATATGTAGTAGCTTTGCTAAAGGCAGGTACGGTACGCAGTCTTTGGCGCACCCAAGATGGCCTACCTAGGGTACACACTTACATAACATAACATTATGTGCACACTTCATACATCCATGGATCATTGATGTGAGTATAATTCTATGTAGGTCTATTAATGTACATATGTAGGTTAGGTATGTCAAGTGTTATCAGCCAGTCTCAACTTCCTTTAGCAGCATTTGAACATCCACCTGTAGGTATGTAGGTATGAGATAGATACATCATAATTCCAATGTCACATGTCACCTGCGTTGGTGAGTTACCAATACCCCAGGCAGCCAGCCTACAGTACAATACCTACATATGTACAATACATTAGAGGCACGCACCTCGTCTTATGGTGACTAAGAGGATAACAGTCTGTAACGTCTATCGTAGATATGTAAGACCTGAATCGCATTTCCAAAGTCACGAAACCGTCCAACTCAATTTATACTAACCTAACCTAGGTGTTTAGGCTTTCTCTTATGTCACAAGACCCCCGAACGCACTCGTAGTGAACGGAGGATCGGGAACACACCCGCAGAAGAGTTTTAATGACGAAACTCAATCAACATCAAGAGGTTAGTGGCTTGGTGCGTAGGTAAACTAGCTATGTTAGTTGATTTGTTTGTTCAAGTTAGCTAGAACCTATCTTTGTGCAGCAAGATTATAATATGACTGCTACAGAAGGTCACATAGGTTGCCCCAAAGGAGACTGGCTTTGTTCTGAAGTTCGGGCTGTGATCCAACAGTAAAGTAAGGTTTGTCATGCCGTTACAAAGGGCTTTCGGAATTCCAGCTGGGTTACCAACAACAAAACACCAGCAACCATCACACATGCCCGGGACGTTGGAACCTCGTATATGTATATACAGACGCAAAAGAGAACCTTAAAATTGTGTCTTACTAATATGTACATGCGATGTTGTGGATTAGGCGATGGAACATTTCGAAGTTTGTAATATCTCTCTTCCAGCGTTTTAACACTGGCAGATTGGTGAGACAGCCATTCAGATGGATCCATGGATGGCATTAATGTGTACAGGCCCATAAGCCGCCACTGGAATCAGACACCAATGGCATTGTGGTAGATGGATACAAACATCCATAGTTTGGCACACCAGACGTAAAAGAAACTACATATTATTAGTAGATACTAGATACATACATATGTAGTAGCAATATAGCTAATATACCTAGTAGATATATCAGTATGCATCAATCTATTGAAAGTAGGTATTACATGTACATTAGGGTAGTAAAAGATTGAAGAGCACATGTGCAGGAGAGGGAAAAGACAGCCAGGGATTCAGGGATTCAGGGATTTCCCACTACCCTAGTTATCGATACCCAGATAACTACCATAAATACCATATGCAATTGTACAATACATACAACGTGACATTACCTTCCCTATTGGATGGAAATTAGAAGGGACCCCTCATTCAATTTAAGTATTGCATTCTAAAGGAATGTACTCGACCAAATGACGTTGTTAATAGTAATGTTTATAAAAGGGAAAAGAGAAAATGAGAAAGGGATATTTGGAGAAAAAAAATAGAAATAGAAATAAAAGAGAAATGTACGACGAAGAAACCTTCCAGAGTCGCCCAAACATACCAATAATAGACACTCATATCTATTTCTATTTCTGGTGACATAGCCGACACACCTTTAGCGCCAATTGCCGGCATCGTCACCTGCAACCCACGTACCTAGTGGTACCTAACTACATACCTAGTAACCTAACCTTATTACTACCAGGTACCCAGCTACCTAGCAGTTATAGGTACCGCCGTTAATTGCCAAACGTCTTATCGTCCATCATCTATCAATAACCGCCTGACCGACCAAACTCCCTCCAGTGCTGTCGCCTCTTCCTACACATAACAACTACTCACCTCTACTCACCCAGCCTGAATCACATACCCTACATACATGTACATAATCTGCATGTGACTAAATAACTGAACTTTTCGACTACCACAGTACTTCCCAAAATACTACAGGAAATTAAAAAATAAAGATTTTTAACCCCAAAAACAAGACGGTTTAGACGTTTGGACTATAACGCTAAGAACATGCGGCGAAAGTAATTTGACAATCTAGACCGAGACTACTAGCTCATGAGAGACGAGTCCAGCACTTGGCTTCACCTTACGCCATGTCATCGGCTTCGAGAAAGTCGCTTCAACAGCTTCACAGCCGCATAAACAGCATACAGGGTGTCGATGGAAGAGGTCGATCTGATTCGAGCGCCAGGCAGTTAGCCGTAAGCCACGACGATGCCTATACCTATGCCCTACGAATCGCATATCTACATTACCTTCTCCAACCCAAAACGAAACGAAAGCAATGGGTTCCTGCACCGAAGCCTGCGGCCCGGACATATACGTCCAATGTCGGGGACTTGGTTAGAGAGTTTGTTCCGGGCAACTCTAGTAGCGTAAAGCTTCCCCATAACTTTCGCACTCCGCTCGAGAAGAGGTTAGAACGAGTCATCATGGGTGCCGAAAAATTGCCTGGATATAATGAACCTGCTGTTAAGAAGACCTTCGCCCAGGCCTACACAGCATTTACGGAACAGGCCTTCCGCAAGAACATGGATAAAGAGCGCAAGGTCGAACCACTGGTGTTGATATTTTATTCAGCTGCTACCAAGGCCTGTAGTCTCGGCCACGAGCGAAACGATGATTCGTGGAAGCTTCTGGTAGACCGGCATGTTGCCCTCTTTATCAGGCTCCTAACCAGCATATTACGCGATCAGGGGCATGAGCGAGATAAGCCGGACCTCATGACCAGGCTAAATACTCTAGAAAATAAGCTCCTAACCAACGACCAGAATCTGTACATTGATACCGGTCAGAGCTCGGGTCAAACGATTGAGGTAGTGGTGCCGCTAAGTTACGATGTCAAAGATATGCTTATGGTCCAAGTTGTTGCGAGGATCTTCGGTCTTTCTCATTCTGACGTTCAGGGCCATATCGATGCCCAGCGTCAAGTCTGGACCGAGGAGGCTGCTCTGAAGGATCTTAAGTCATACCAGCATCGACTAAATTCTAATGCAAGCGGCGCCTTGGGGAGCCAGGATTTTAATACCGACGAGGCCTACCAGGAATGGAAGAAGGCAGAGGCGCCTTTTCTTTCCCAGATGATGATGGAAGTCCTAACGACTCAGCCAGAATTAGCGAGGAGGTCTACCGCTTTCTATGCAAGCTCCGATAAAGCGTTACCTTTGAGCCCTGGCTCGGCACATCCAGATGATAAAAGAGCATCCATGTTTGGCATTGACCACGCATTGAATCTTGGATCCATGTCCCTTGAAGATGTTGGCAGCATCAGGACTGTAGACGAGCCTAATTATACCTTCATCCCCCCTGATCCCCGGGAGTTTTTCAAGGTCATCACCAAATACGCCCTTGAGTTCGATGCTATGCACGACGATGAAACTGAGCAATCAAATCTATTCTCGAAGTCATCAATGGAATTGCTAACAGAACTATGCGTCCGCTGGCGGATTCCGCAGTTTACTCGTCTTGTCGTCTTCTTAGAGGTGGCGGCCCGCAGGTTTACTGATACAATGTTCACTGTGATTGATTTGGATAATGCTTTTGATCTGGTCAAGATCCCGCCGCCAGAAGCGAAAAAGCCACCACACATCTACCTCCATAATGAGAGCCTTGAAACTATAGATAGGAGCAAGTGGACTACCACGGACTACACTGTGTATCAAAAAACCCTATATACACTAAACGACACACTCCTGCGCGACCTTTACGATACCTTGATGCATTGTTACGAACCCAAACCTCCGTCCGTCGGGCCAGCGCTACACGTGTTACAAACCCATATATTTGGCGACCCTAGTTTCTCGCGAAGAGATGAAGACGCACAGGAGTACACCCGTATTCTGCAAACCGGCTTACAGGAGCAGGCGGCACTCGTTTACCGCGGATTTCTAGATGCCGAGATCCCACCAAAACAGCAGGACTGGAATTTTAGCCATGTAGTTCAACTTGGAAATTCAGTCGTGAAATTATGCGAAAGGATTCAAAAGCGATACAAGAAAAACCCAGAGATATTGGGCGTCAACCCACTGACCGTGCTCGTGGAGACCATGTTTCCCAATTTCGAGGACGACGCCCATGATCTAATAGGGAGAATTGTGCAAGTCGCCAAGGATCGAGGGGAAGAGCTAGCAATTCAAGATGGGTTTGATTTGTACAAGGAACTCGTAGAAATTCGACGTATCCATAGAACATCTCTCCCGGGCCGACCTTTCACGTTCGATGTTGAGGAGTTACTTGTAGACTTTGTTTGGCGTTGGATTCAGAATGCCGAAACTCGGGCCGAGGAGTTCGTTGTGGAAGCCATTAAGCAGGATCCATTCCAAGTACGAGGTCATGGGCCGGGTCATATTTCGTTAGATTCGGAGCGTCACAGCCATTCAATTATCGATATGTTTCAACTCTTTCACCAGACTGCGGATCAGGTCTTCCAACTTGGATGGGACAACGATATCCACCACGCTAGATTTATGACCACGCTGTCCAAGATATTCGCCAACAGCATTGCCCAGTATTGTGAGATTGTGGACCAACGATTCGTGAAAGAGATGGACACGCCAAGGCCAAACGAGAAAGAAGCGGCAGCATCAACCCAAACGACGCAAGGAAGATTTATGCAATATGCTAAAGATGCCTGGAATACCAAGGACAAGATTGAGCCCTTCCAATTTTACCCAGAGGTAGGGTGAATATTGTCTACTTTATTTTGGCTTGATGCTAACGAATATACCTACAGTCTTTAGTAAAGCTCAATAACATCGAATGGGCAATGCAGGAGCTTGATAAGCTCGAGAGGTCCATGAATGTTGATGCTTGTGCTGATATACTTGAAAAAGCTGATGCGCCTAAGAAGCAAGTCAGACGGCCAGCCAAGTATGTCTTTACGATCAAAATAGTCGAAGCCGAGGAAATTAAGGCCTGTGATCCGAACGGAACAAGCGACCCATACGTAGTACTTGTGGACGAATATCAAAAGCGTTTACACAAAACACGAATTGTCATGAGAAGTCTCAATCCTCGATGGGATGAGTCTGTCGATGTCACGGTTTCAGGGCCTCTTAACATTGTAGCTACGATCTGGGACTACGATACTTTCGGTGATCACGACTTTGTTGGAAGAACCTCATTGAAATTAGACCCCATACACTTTAGTGATTATCTCCCTAGAGAGTTCTGGCTCGACCTTGACACGCAAGGCAGAGTTCTTCTAAGAATCAGTATGGAGGGAGAACGAGATGACATCCAGTTCTACTTCGGAAAGGCATTCCGACATCTCAAGAGGACAGAACGAGATATGGTCCGTAAAATTACAGACAAGGTAGGCCAACTTCTCGACACACCAGGTGCCCGCTTGAGCAAGCAGCTAACTATGTATCCAGCTCACGCGACACATCAACGCGTCGCTCTCTTATGAAGCTTTACGCAACCTACTTGGGCGTAACATCACTTCGCAAGTCGGTTCGTTCTTCAAACGATCGTCGACGATCCCACAAGTCACGGGCACTGAAATTGAAAACGCGTTGCAATCCCTCTTCGCATACTTCAACGACAACTTCGCCACGATGAAGGAGACATTGACAGAAGCCACTATGGTTGCAGTTATGACGCGTCTGTGGAAAGAAGTGCTAATGGCCATCGAGTCACTTCTCGTGCCACCCCTGTCAGAGAAACCGTCTAATCAACGGCCGCTCAGCCAGCGTGAGCTCGACGTAGTCTACAGATGGCTGGAGCTCCTTTTCGAGTTCTTCAACGCCAAAGATGAGGACGGAGAGGTTCTCGGTGTGCCCATAGAAGTCCTCAAATCGCCTAAGTATCACGAGCTCGCCTCGCTCAACTTTTTCTACTTCGACACCACCGACAACCTGATCCGCACATCGGAACGCATGGCGGCAGCTACAGCACAGCGCCAGCAACAGCAACTCCAAGGCCAGATGAGCTCGAACCGGCTCTCGGCACCCGCAACGTTGGGCACGTCACTAGGGACCGGTGCGCATGCCGGCCCTGCCTTCGCCAGCATGGGCACTATCCGCAGGGGCAAGAGTATCATGATGAGCCGTAACCTTGGCACTATGCGCCGCGCCAAAGAGGAGAAACGCAAGGAGGCCCAAGCCGACCCCTCCGACGACATGATCCTACGTATCCTACGCATGCGACCCGAGGCCGCCGGTTACCTCAAAGAGAGGCACCGCCAAAAGGAGCGCATGGCTGCCGCCGCCGCTGCCGCTATGATTGTCAAGCAAAGCGTCACACAGGGCTGGAACACGCCCGGTAGTAATTTTGGGCGAGGTGGCGTCCCACGGCGCTGATTTACTTGTCTGGCATGGAGCAGAATCATAGAGAATCGAACATATATCATGCCGAAGCCGAAGTTTAGAAAGAAAGAAGTTAAGCAAGGTTAGAAGAGCTCGGTTTTTTGAGGACTTGTAAGAGGCAGACGAGCGAAGACAGCGGAACTATACATAGGGAGAAACAACCGTGGTTTTTCTATCCCACTTACAGTATCTATACATGTCTAGGTACCTACATGCCTACAGTATTTGCCAACCATGACCCCTTCGAGTTGCCTATGGCTAGCTAGGGACTCGACCGATATCTTCCCTATGGTGTCTTGTAGCAAAGCACAGTTCTATAGGTATGCCTAATAAGTAATGGAAGGCTTATTCGCCGTTGAGGAGAAAGGGGGGAGAAGGGGGGCAGAGCAGAGAGGAGAGAGAAGAGCAAATATGATGAGGCGTTTTCTAAATTTGGCTTTAACTACCTACCTAGTTTTATTTTATGATTGATTTTATACCTATCTTGTTTTTGTTTTTGTTAAAGTCAACCTTGGAAAGCAAGCAAGCAAGCAAGCAACAAACTTGAAGTTTCGGTGGCATCGGCATTTTTTTTTTGTTGGCATTGGCCTTTTCGATTGATACCTTTGTTTGCTTGCTTGTTTGATTTTTTTTCTCACGCTCCTCCTCTCTACTCACTACTTCCTCGTCCCTCACCCCTCCCTTCCATGGATGTTACCTGTCTGCCTTGCTGACCCTGCTTGAGGCTTTTTATCATCGTCTACTTACCTACCTTGGTTCTTCTGGCTACGGCTACCTTTACGTTACCCACCTGGTATGTTTCTGGTCGATTCGTTTTTCGTGGCGGGAAAGTGGTGGATATCTTGTTAGTCAGGTAGTAGTAGGTTGTTGGCTGGCTGGCTGGCTGGCTGGGAGGTTGATTTGGTTGTAACTAGAATACCAGAATGAAGCGAGCGAGCGAGTGAGCACCTTGGATTGAAATTGATATTGATATTGATATTGAGATGGAATGAAATGAGATGACTTGTGGGAATTTGCGATATAGAGGTAGATGCCTATCTAGTTAACATTGAATAGAAGGTATCCACTAGGTAGGTAGTTACTTGGCACCTGCCTGGGTATGTGTATGTGTATGTGACTATGTTGTGTGGGCGATGGATGGTCTCGAGGTCGTATAACAGACGAGGTTATATTTGCGTGTATGTAAGAAGGTGTGTAGGTATGTAACACACCTACCAAGTTACCCAGCTGATAAACTTAATATTCATGTTAGAATACGAAGGGGAATGGTGGTGGTGCTCGCCGTGCTGACGGTAACGGTTACAGTGGCCGTGACAGCGACGGGTCACGGTGAGTAATCAAGATGCGATGAGATGAGTTGAAATTGAGGATTGCATACCTAAGCAGGCTCAACTTCCTTCCTTCCTCCTCCTCCTCTCCTCCTCCTCCTTGTTCATTGTCCCCTTCCCGACACCTCTTGCGTCCAATGAAAAGCGCAGGCGCGCGGTGCGTGGTCGGACGGGATTTCTAGTTGTCCACGAGACCTTGGTCAGATGCAGGCCGTAGGCAGGCCGGGGCTTGCTTCCAAGGCTGGCTGGCTGGCCTGGCCTGGCCGGCTACCGTACCTACCTAGGTATCATCCAAAAAAGGATGGATGCGAAATATTGGTAGGTAGGTAGGTAGGTATGTAAGATAGATAGGATAGGGAACACGACGTCTCACTTATCTAGGTAGGTACCTATAGCACCTACAATATCTACAAAGCCTGCTAGGGACTCTACTGATTATGTAAACCATCCCGCCGTGCCCCGCGCCTATTCCCGGGTATCGCGATTGTGATTATATTTCTTCCCCGTGGTATCTGGTAGGTAGGCCGGTACGGTACCTACATGCCCACCCCATACCCTACATACATACATACCACTTTACGTGCCGCGGCTTCGCAGCTTGTTTCAAACACCAGTAGAAGCGCCCGCCTAGCCTGTACCTACCTACCTACCTATCTATGTGATACCCACCCAGGCACGACAGAGATAGAAACGTGATCAAATCAAAAGAAAAGGCCTGGTCGCTTAGGTAGGTAGGTAGGTAGGTAGGTAGGTAGAGAGGTGGTCACCTGAGTTGCCGGGGTCCTATCACGGCAATACCAAGCTAAGGGCGGGCCAAGCACCGCGAATAACCTCAAATTTCGCTTCTGCCTACCTAGGCCAGGGGCCACGGAGGGGCAATCTTTTCTTTTCGTGTGTCTTTCACGTTTAGTCACTAGATACTACTTAGGTAGGTATGTAGGTACCTATACACTACATATATCATCCATGCTAAGTATCTACATATCTGCCTCTGATATCTATACCATCACCGTATTATTATTGTGCTACACCTCTTGGTGTGTTTTTTTCGATGGTATCGTTTCCGTCATACATACACCTAGGAGGTATGTATGCTGAGCTAGCTACCTACCCGTGCCTGTAAGAACTCAGAACGTGTTTCGCATAACTCCGTACGGAGATTTTAACTATTAAGTCCTCCACCTCCCACGAGGCGAGGCTGTCTGTCTGTCGTCGCTTTTCTAGGGGCAAATGAATGTGTTTCCTCTCCCTGTCGCTCTCAACCAGAGGTTGGATGGGAAGCACATCACATGAGTGATGCCCTGTACCAGACTTTTTTAGGGCAATGGGGTAAAATAGGTAGGAAGATCGCCAGCAGCGATCATCGCCCCCCTCTCTCTCCCACCTCCCCCAAAGGTTTGGCCTTTTTTTTTTTTTTTTTTTTTTTTTGGTTTTGGTTTTGGGCTGCGCACCCTTTAGAAAACAAGGCAAGGTTAGCTAGGTAGGTACTTAAGTTAGATGATCTCGACCCCGGAATTTCCAAATAATCGCCCCATACCATACCCTCCCTCCTTTCCCCATGCCCCTTCACCCCAAGATTTGTCACGGTTAGATATCGGGGTTTATTAGGTGCCTATCTTATTGTGTGGCTATTGTGTGTAATCACCGCAAGGCCATGCTGGGCATGGGTAGCAGATCGGGGGGGGCGGTGGAAAGTGTCAAGTCAGTGCAATATAACTACTAGGGCAGCTACCTAGGTACCAGGTAGGTATGTAGTTAGGTATGTATGTATGTATGTAGTGTTAGTTGATCTCCTTTTAGTCTGAAACACCGAGAATTGTTCTGGCAGATCAGACGAAGACAGGACCCTGATTGCCGGGTCAGCTCATGGTCAGCTCGTGAATATCTCCCGCCGACCCTTTGATTATCATTAGGTTAGATCGTGAAGCTACACAAGCAGGTAGGTTAGGTGTTTAGGAAGTAGCTTCGCGAACATACGCAGCAATCTACGTAAAGGGCTAGATTAACATTAAACTACCTACATACCTACCTAACCTACATACATAGGTGGCCTACCTAGGTCAAAAAATGGGCTCCGTTTTTTAGCTTGGCGGTTTAAGGAGCTTTTGGCCCTGGCGAGAGTTTCCGCTCCGAGCGGGCGGGATATACTTCGAAATATGCCATTATGGTAGATTTTTTATCATCAAAAGCCGAAAAGAGACAAAGAGGACGGCAGGCTAGTTCGTGGAGACACTACCGGAAATGCCACCACACACGTGCTAGACAATTTCGTGCTTTGTGTGCACAAGCGAACAAAAGACGTGAGCCAAAGAATAGCCTTCTCGCGTGCTGGTGGAGTCTTCCCGTCTGGCGGTGTCGGACTGGTAGAGTAGATATGTACATGTAATAGTTACAATAGTTACAATACAAGTACAGGTCCAGGTTAGGGCGGCGTAGTTCTATTTTTTTGATGGATTTAAGGGTCCTCGGCACGGCTATGATAATCAGCAGATCTACCGTGGAACATACGAATTCGGTCCTCAACCTGCAAATCCCGATCCTTCATTTCTTACGAAAAGACGATAGAACATTGACTAGAAAGTCTGGCCCTGATCAAGAAGAAACGATTTCTCCAAAGATTGCCTCATTCGAGCTTTGGTCGATAAGTCTGTTCCATGATGCGAAACACTGGCGTGTATACCCGACATCTAGGTAGTCAGTTTTTATTTTATTTTTCTATCGAACTGTTCAACTGCTCAACTGGCTTAGCCTCCGAGACTGCTGCGGGAGTCGGGTGGCCTAGTCCCATGTACATACCAGGTATGTAAGTAGTATTAGCGCTTGTGTCTCTAACGAGGCAGCCGAAGGCACTACTCTACACTCGGCAGGGGAATTCTGGTACGATTTCATAATAATACGGTGAGTTATACCAGAAGATAAAAAGAAGCTTTAAAAAAAGGTCTTGTTGTCCGTGGACTAAGTAGGTATTAAGTGGACATTTCTTCGGTCATTCCTTGTGTATCACCGGCGAGACTTCTCGAATTGCCCCTCTGGTGGGGTTGGTGCTGGTGCTGGTGCTGGTGCTGGTGTTGGTGTTGGCGTTGGCGTTGGCGTTTAGATGCCGAAGAATGAAGAAGTCAAAAAAGGGGTCCATCTGACCCTCCTACCCTCCAAGGTTATGGGTTATGTAGGACCTACATAGGCACCTGTTTTCCATATTGGTTTGGTTAGTATCGTGGCGACTGTATGGTGATAGTGAGTATATCGCCAACTATCGAACGTATTAACCGTAGGCTGCTTCATTTCCACCCTAAAACATCGTGTGCTCCGTTGCTTAATTTCGCCGCTAGTGTTTAATAGCCCTACGTGGAATCCGGGCATTTTGTGATCTTTACCTAGGTACATAAGCCGATCATCCGGGTTTTCCATACATGCCTCAAATGTTTACTACATACCTAATGTAGGTAGGTAGATAGGTAGGTATAGGTAGGTATAGGCAGGTATACAACTTACAGCCATAAGTCGTAGATGTTGACCTCAAAGTGCTAGTAGTACTGTCCCATAGTACACATGTAGTCTCAATCTTAGTGGCCTTCGGACTCGAGGCGATTTTGGGGCAACATTAAAGCTCACGCACACAGGTACGGGACAGCATCTGATTGCCTCGTGTGTCTTTCGAGGCCAGTACACTTTATGGAGCAAGGACCCCTGGGAAGACCTCCTGTTGGGCCCGGCTGGGTGCACATGCAGATTTGCAGATGCTGTGACGTCACCCAGCAGATATGGGGGTGGAAGATAGCAAGATCCTGGTTGGTTTTTAGGCCCATTTGTTTACATGCATAGTACTTAGTATCTACATACTAACATACCCAGTATGTATGTACTATGTATGTACATATATGTAGACCACATGGAGTCATGGACTTCAACCAGAGTCTGTGCATTGCACTTAGGGTTGTTGCTTTGGGAAGATGAAGAAGCATCTCGAACACTTGTGATGGTAAGTCACAACTTAGTGTTTGAAATGTTGCAATGTCCTGTCGATCAATGTTAAGATGGAACGAGAAAGGAAAAGTGATCGAAGAAGAATTCGAATCTTTGTCGTCCCCTTTAATCTAATCCCCAAGGAATTGCTTCTGTGTGTCGATTATGAGATTCGTCCAGGTAGGTATGTATACTACTAGTAGTAGATATATCTACCTAAATATAATAAATTGGGTGAGATTTAGAACAAGATCGATCCTAGACAGTACCTAATAACCTACATATGTAGTTCATAGATACTGACTGACATATAGATATACATGCCTACCTAAGGTAAGTAAATAGATACATATGTATTAGATCAAACAAGTGAGGCGACAAAGCGTCGTGTCTTTCGTCTTCAATGATCGCTCTTTTACTCCGTAGTACGTACCCGGTACACGTACTATAGCAGTCTTGTGGGGAGCCCGACTTGTTGGCACTGGGCAACAGGGTTCAGAGCCAATACCCAGAGCCCGTAACAATGTCTTGTAGAGATATTGAGTTTGTGGTGGTGAGACAAGACGGGAACATCATTTCTTGACTGGCAGATTGGGTGGAAATATGGTTCCAGCAGACAAAAAGAGTATGGGGAATCCAACCTTGGATCCCTAGAAATGCAACAGTACTGTAATAGTATGTGGTACCTACTACCTACAGCATGTGCGACTTTCGGTCCAGAAGCCAGGCCAATCAAGAAAATTGAAATCGACTTACATACTTGAATCCAAGTAAGAGTGACTTTTGGTGCCGAAATCGAAGGGTTGAGGCTGGAGAAAGCAGTAATGTACACATAGCACACAGCACACAGCACACACAGAAAAACAGAGAGACAGAAAGACATGGTTAAGATGGACAAGATGGGCAGATGAATAGACGAATGAGGATAAGATCTAGAGATGAACTAGAATTAGTATTACCTAGGATATGACGTCACAGCCAATTGCTTGTTTAAAGATAGCACCATTAAATGCACCGCTTAATGTACTACGATGTATTTATGTACCTACAGGTAACAGGTTACAGAGTAGGTTAAGGTTTATACCAGCAGGTACCGTTGACGTACGTTTGATAGTAAAATATAATTACAGAGCTAAGCTGCTAGCTAAGATGCCCATCTGCCACTAATACTTCAGATTGGTAAATCGAAATATCCAAGTCCAGGTACTACCCTTGGATCATTATGATATAACATGTAGGTACAAACCTTAAGATAGTAGATAACTACCTACTGAGATGCAACTTCCCTGGCCTGGCGCCGTACATACGTAGGGGTTCTAGGGGCTCTACTAGCCTGCTAGGTGCCCTAATCTAGTGCTAAGCCTCTAGTTAGCAGTGGTACTAGGTATGTAGTCTGGAGATAGCATTGAACCACTTCAAGTTCATATTAGCAGTAGTATATACCTAGCATTCAGACTCCATCATGAGATGTTCTATTCCCTGGCTCGGCGGCTTGAATACGAGAATATCGCTTAGCCCCAAACCTGCCTCCTTGCAGTAGATGTAAGATCACAGATGCATCCATGGATTTGTATGTCTATATAATTGTATGTAGGTATGTGAGACTTGAGTAGCGTCAAGGTACCCGTTAATCCCATATGGATGGAACGTTAAGCACCGTCCTTGATACTAACAAGCTTGGACCTTGTAGATTTACCATCCACGTCCCGAAGGTGCGCAGTGCAAATGCATACCAATAATACCGTAATACCGGTTACAGACCTAGGTATGTGGGAGGGAAGATATCAACCTTGCTTTTAAGTAGATAAAGGATGTATGTACTTACATAACAACATAATGGCAGTACTATACCCCACAAACAACTTGACGCCTTCTCCCACAATGCGAAAATATACATGTGTGTAGCCTTGGAAGTTGTTGCATCCTTGAAGTATGCGTGTGTATATGTAGGTAGGTATTGGGTACATGTAGAACTCCCTGTATGTACTTCGAACTGACCGCTTACATTCATGGATCACATATGTAATACGATTTGTACATATTACTTACTATGTAGAGGTAACGTGCCCATGATTATTGCGAGGCCTTACGTACTTAGATACCGCGCGGCACATGCATACATAAATGTTTGGAACAATGATCTGTATTCGTGACATTGATGAGCAGCAGTAGCTGTCTGTGTTATATTGTCCGTGTGGGGGGTAGTAGACATCATATAAAGCGACTGTAGGGCAAAAGAATGTTCAAGTCGCTTGTCTTCAATGTTGGTATATATGTGTGTACCTTTATATATACATATAGATACTTGTACGTACGAATGGGTAAATTTTCTATTTAGTGTGTACTACCTAGTACATACATACCTCTAGGTACAGATAGTTATGTAGCTTCAGTGTTAATGCGCCCGCGCTTACACAGAGGGGGTAGCAGGTACTACAATATAAGAACCTTGAATGCATTGGGTAGGTTAGATCAACATACAATGATAAGACCGTTGCTTTTCCCATACGTGCATGTGTGTATGAAAATTGAACATACTGTATCTGTATTTCTGAATCAGGAACAACGAGAGAAGGGACTTTTGAATTCTAGATGTCTTGACAAAGGATGAAATCAATGAATTGAATCCATATATGTATATGTAGGTCTATACATAGGACACATAACATTCAATGAACATTGAAAGGAAAAAGGTGACTATTAACTATAGGTACATAGCTGTGGTACCAGTTACAAATACATGGACACTTTAAAGGTAAGGTGACTGGTAAAGAGCATTGATGGCTGGTCCGACCCGGCTATTTCCTTCGTTCTCGAGTCGTACAGACTACAGACAGAGTACTATGTAAGAGTACTATGTAGTACATAGCAGTAGTATTAACGACCAGTCAAAAAATGAGAAAAGTGGCTAGTTCGTAGCGTGGCATGTAGGCTTTTTCTTGACCTCTCATACCTTTCCTTCCTTCAACACCCCGACCCATCGTCCCCGCCTAATCTTCGCTTTTCCCTTATTGCATCTCTTTTTTTCCTTGCCAGGGTTCCCATTGATTTCCATTGATTCTCATCTTCTTATTGGAAAGCTAGGGATGACCCAGGATGACCCACTAGTCCTGTTAGGTTAACGTAGCGGCCCTTGATATACATCTTCTCAAGTACACACCTCCTCACCCCCAAGCCTGAGCCCTCGCCTCTCCACCCGCTCGCTTTCAAGCAGGGTCTCTCCTTAATTGACCAGAAAGAGACCTCCAGGGCTACCTCTATTTTTTTTTTATTCTTTCAGTGCCCTATCTATACATACTCATCAAGTCAGATTATCCGACCTATCGACGATCCTATAGTTAACTTTTGCAATCGAATGTCTCCTGTTCTTGTAATACTATTGTTATAGCCTCCACCTTGTTGTTATCCGACCTTTAGACAATTAACGTGATCGCTCCCTTCTCCCGACCGCCGTCGAGGCGGGTAACGCCGCGACCTTCCGCGATATAGATTTATTTTACTTTTATCAATCTTATATCTGATTTTACCTACTCTCCCTCTCTTATCATTTGCTCTATCATCATCATCAACATCGGCCTCGATCTCGACCTCGGTCTTGCTCCATGCGTTCGTCATAAACCTATCCAGCGCCTACCAAACGCTGGTCCCGTTTTCTCCGACCGTTTATAATAGACAAACTACTTCCCACCTTCTTTGACGATAAAGCACCGAGGTATAGAACAATGAGAGTCATGGCCGACGAAGAGACGTTGGTAGCGACTGCTACTCTCGTCAAATCATTAGCATGCTCTCCCAAAGACCAGCCATTCAACCCGGTTCCTATTGGTACCAATTCCGAAATTAGGCTTCCCGGACATGAAAGCCATGCCAAGGAATGCCTTGAACGTGAACTTTCCGCCCTCGTTGTGAGAATTCAGCAACTCGAGGCTAGGGCCAACGCTTCGAATGGCGGAACCTTCCCCGAAACACCTAACGAGACAGCTGAGTCTCTGTTTGGTGAAGAATCGCCTAATGCTCAAGGTCCTAAATCGGCGCGAACCAGAATTCCGGCTCTCCCTACAAACCGGAATGGCTCTGGTGAAGAACGATCTGGCAAGATCCTACCGTTGACCGATGAAGACCTTGAGGGACTTCGTGAACATGTCGTTGATCAATCTAAACTACTCGATAACCAGCGTCAAGAGTTGACAAATGTTAATGCCCAACTGATCGAGCAAAGACAGCTACAAGAAAAGGCCCTTGAACTTATCGAAAAAGAGCGAGTTGCCGCATTAGAGCGAGAATTATGGAAACACCAGAAAGCCAACGAAGCCTTCCAAAAGGCACTACGTGAGATCGGCGCGATTGTCACCGCCGTCGCACGGGGTGACCTTACTATGAAGGTTCGGATGAACACTGTAGAAATGGACCCGGAAATCACAACTTTCAAGCGAACTATCAACACTATGATGGATCAGCTGCAGGTCTTTGCCAGCGAGGTGTCTCGTGTGGCTCGCGAGGTCGGCACAGACGGTATACTCGGCGGCCAGGCTATGATCGAGGGCGTAGACGGAACTTGGAAAGAACTCACGGATAATGGTACAACGCCCGGGAAAATACTTATTGATACATGCTGACCTTCACATAGTAAACGTTATGGCTCAAAATCTCACCGACCAAGGTATGTTTAGAACGCCTAGTTACTCTTCTTATCTATACCTTCTAACGAGTCCCGTAGTGCGAGAGATTGCTTCAGTAACCACTGCCGTTGCTCACGGAGACTTGACGAAAAAGATTGAAAGACCAGCCAATGGTAAAATCCTTCAGCTTCAGCAGACTATTAACACTATGGTGGAACAGCTACGTACATTTGCATCTGAAGTCAGTCGTGTCGCCCGAGATGTGGGTACCGAAGGTATATTAGGTGGCCAAGCCGACGTAATGGGAGTCCAAGGTATATGGAATGAGTTAACGGTAAACGTCAACGCCATGGCAAACAATCTTACAACACAAGTGCGCGATATTGCGAAGGTCACTACGGCAGTTGCTAAGGGAGATCTTACCCAAAAGATTCAAGCGGAATGTAGGGGCGAGATTTTCAGGCTCAAGTCGACAATCAATTCTATGGTTGAGCAGCTGTCACAATTTGCGCGAGAAGTGAGCAAGATTGCTCGTGAAGTCGGAACGGAAGGTCGTCTTGGTGGCCAGGCCACGGTGAACGACGTCGAAGGCACATGGCGTGATCTCACCGACAACGTCAACGGTATGGCCATGAATTTGACCACGCAAGTGCGAGAAATATCCAAGGTCACCACCGCTGTGGCAGCCGGAGACCTATCCCAAAAGATCACTGTCGAAGTCAAGGGCGAAATTCTAAGGCTGAAGCTCACGATCAACTCCATGGTGGATCGACTAGGCAAGTTTGCTTTCGAGGTCAGCAAAGTCGCTAGAGAAGTCGGAACCGATGGCACACTAGGCGGTCAAGCTCGGGTTGATGATGTCGAAGGGAAATGGAAAGACCTCACCGAAAATGTCAACACTATGGCCTTGAACCTAACCTCCCAAGTGCGGAGCATATCAACTGTTACTCAAGCCATTGCGGATGGCGACATGAGCCAGAAGATCGATGTGCAAGCGAAGGGCGAAATACTTGTCCTAAAAGAAACCATAAATAACATGGTTGACCGCTTGTCTGTGTTCTGCAACGAGGTGCAGCGTGTGGCCAAAGATGTGGGTGTGGATGGTAAGATGGGAGGTCAAGCAGATGTTGGGGGCCTGAAGGGACGATGGAAGGAGATCACGGCTGATGTCAACACGATGGCAACGAACTTGGTAAGTTTCCTGATTTTGTCTAGTTGCTTTATGCTTTGTCCAAAACTAACAACTTAACTTCACAGACCACTCAGGTGAGAGCTTTCGGCGATATAACTAACGCTGCTACCGATGGAAACTTTACCAAGCTGGTTGACGTGGAAGCCTCCGGTGAGATGGATGAGCTCAAGCGCAAAATCAACCAGATGGTATACAACCTACGAGGCAGTATTCAAAGAAACACCCAGGCAAGAGAAGCGGCCGAGCAAGCAAACAAGACCAAATCCGAATTCCTAGCGAACATGTCTCACGAGATCCGAACTCCCATGAACGGCATCATTGGAATGACTCAACTGACCCTCGACACCGACCTCACGCAATATCAAAGAGAGATGTTGAATATTGTGAACAACCTGGCCAACAGTCTGTTGACTATCATCGACGACATTCTGGATTTGTCCAAGATTGAGGCTCGGAGGATGGTGATAGAAGAAATTCCGTATACGTTACGGGGCACTGTCTTCAATGCCTTAAAGACTTTGGCTGTCAAGGCAAACGAGAAGTTCCTCGACCTGACGTATCGGGTTGACAGCTCTGTGCCCGATTACGTCGTTGGCGATTCCTTCCGTCTGCGACAAATCATTCTAAATCTAGTGGGCAACGCCATCAAATTTACGGAGCATGGGGAAGTGAGCTTGACGATTCGGAAAGCGGAAGGTGCGCCACCGAAGGATCCACGCGAGTATGCGATCGAATTTGTCGTTTCAGACACGGGGATAGGAATACCGCCAGACAAGCTCGACCTGATCTTCGACACTTTCCAGCAAGCGGATGGATCCATGACTCGCAAGTTTGGTGGTACTGGTTTAGGTCTATCTATTTCCAAGAGGTTGGTCAACTTGATGGGCGGAGATGTCTGGGTCAAGAGCGAGTTCGGTAAGGGCAGCTCGTTCTACTTCACCTGTGTGGTAAAGCTAGCGGATGGTGAGGTTGCATCTATTGAGAAGCAACTGAAGCCGTATAAAGGACACCAGGTACTATTCATCGACAAGGGACGCACTCAGTATGGGAGAGAAATCGTCACCATGCTCACGAGACTTAGTCTCGTGCCCGTTGTGGTCAACACCGAGGGAAATCCCAACATTCCCGGCTCAGACGACCCCCCATACGATGTTATCATTGTCGAATCCATTGACACCGCCCGTAAGCTGAGGGCCATCGAAGACTTCAAGTACCTCCCGATTGTACTTCTGGCCCCAGTAGTCCATGTCAGCTTGAAGTCCTGCCTGGACCTAGGCATCACGTCTTACATGACTACTCCCTGCAAACCGATCGATCTAGGGAACGGAATGGTCCCTGCCTTGGAGAATCGCGCTACGCCGTCGCTAGCTGACAACACGAAATCATTCGAAATTCTTCTCGCAGAGGACAACAGGGTTAATCAGCGTCTAGCTGTGAAAATCCTAGAAAAGTATCATCACGCAGTTACTGTAGTTGGAAATGGTTTGGAGGCCGTGGAAGCGATCAAGAAGAAGAAGTTTGACGTCATCCTTATGGACGTTCAGATGCCTATAATGGTTTGACTCCATTACCTTGCCCAATATCATGATTAAGCTTTGCTAACTATACACAGGGCGGTTTTGAGGCCACCAATAAGATCCGCGAGTACGAGCGGAGCCTGGGCTCGCATCGAACACCGATCATTGCGCTTACGGCACACGCTATGATGGGAGATCGAGAAAGGTGTATCCAGGCCCAGATGGATGAATACCTTTCCAAACCCTTACAACAAAACCACTTGATACAAACCATCTTAAAGTGTGCCACGCTTGGCGGTGCACTGCTTGAGAAGAATAGAGAACGGGAGCTAGCACGTCAAGCTGAGCAAAAGAACAACAATGGCCAACAAAACGGGGGCCCGGCGCTTATGAGGCCTGCTCTTGAGGGTCGCTCGATAACGTCGAACGAACCCATGATGGGAAGCATCGACAGCCCATCCCTTGTCGCAACGAATCAGGACGATCCGTTACATAGGGCACGTTCAACCCTCTCTGAACCTTGCGTTCACAATGACTAACTTTCAGTCAACTGTTCAGCTCCTGATAAGAGCCCACAGTAACTAACCAGTTTCCAATCCCGAATGGGCATTGGGTACGGTCCCCCCGCTCGGGGGTTATGTCCCCTGGCACTGTCCGATTATCCGTGTTACGATCAAGGGGGCTATGCATTCTTGATGATTTTCACGATACCCACGGCCTATTATAGAATGCCATCAGTTCTGGGCATCACCACCTAACTTTCTTGTACTCTCGTTATCGCAAGCTCGATTCCGGGTGGTGTACACCTCGGCTGTTGTTGCCCGTTCTCAGGTCATAGCTATGCATTATTTTGACGACGCACGCACAAAGGGGGATGGATATGATGTGCCGCTTTTGGGGAGGAGCAAATGCAATTGGCTGGTGTTTCATTGGGCGTTGTATCTGATTCATTGTTTAAACATTGGTCATGCGTCTGCGAAATATCCTTAACCGCGGGTAGGGGGTTCCAGTCCTCGGCATTGGTTCTGGTTACAGTACATCGGGCCGTCGAAGGGCAAATACACACCCCTTACCCAAGGAAATTACGAAGCTCTTGGTTTGAAAGAACAGCATGCAAGGATTTTTGTCGTGTCGGGAGTTTTCGTAATGACTCACTATCCTATAAGAAGTACATAGTGTTTGGGTCCTGTATCATGGAATTTTTAGTCGCGTCGGTTGCTTCCTGTGTTTTTCTGTCGGTTACTGCTACCTAGTACTTACTATAGTCCGTGTTCGAAAAGAGGTAGAAGAAGAGCGCAACCCTTGGTGTCCTTAGATGGAGCACGGTGTTTGTTCAATGGATGAGCGGTCACGAATTCCCTACGTATTAACCTGGAACTGATACTATTTACTTGATGTGTATGATCTTGCATGTTTATCTAGGTACCTAGGTAACTGCCTAGTATCTACCAGTTATAATGTTGCCCAGGTGTATAAGCCAAATAGGAGGTACGCGGCTATTGATACTATGACAAAACGAAATATAATTATCAATCTGGCTCAACACGTGGTACCCTATCTGTCTAAACTGTCTGAACTATCTCAACAAGTGGTTGTTGTACTCGTCATTGACATTGGCAAAAGACGGATCGAGCCGCATCTAGACATCTGCATAGTACGTAAAACGTTAGCGATCTAGGTTAGCTGGTTAGATAGCGTTGGTCTTAGCACGGACGGGGGGGGGTCTGTTTTTTTCTCTGGGAAGAATTAGCATCTGCTTTACCTAACCTAGGTAGGTGTTTTATATAGTTCCTGGAACTACCTAGAAGTTGCATCTGGGTGGGTAGGTTCTATTATTGAAGATAGGTAGATGGTGCCTGGTAGCTTCTCGGGGATGGTATCGGGATTAGGTTTTCTCTCTCTCTCTCTCTCTCTCTCTCGTATATTGATTTTCTCACGATGCTAGCTTCTCCTCGGGGTCCACGCATCAGCATACTATATTAACGGATGTACTAGATACCAAGACTAGCTAGCTGCCTAGTAGCTGCCTAACACCCAGGCACACGATGCCACTATGGAGGAAAGGGAAGGCCTTGGACCCCCTTCCGTCCTCCTCTTCCCTCCTAAGAAGATGAGAAGATTCACGTGTATTACTAATGTATAAAGTAAAGAACAGGAAGGTAAGGAAACAATGCAATAGCAGACGTGAAGGGAAGGCGGAGGCGGAGGCGGAAGGGGTAGAAGTAAGTAAAAAGGGAAGACAAAGATAAAAAAAAAACCCCCAAAAAAAACATACAACACCGGGGATTCGCTGGTCGTCACCGACCCAACTACTGATCCGGCGGTATCCGGCTTGTCTAAGGGAGAGCGGACGGGATCCCGAATTCTCCAGATCCTATGGTCGTATGTGGGAGATTGGGCGGTTGTTTGGGGTTATGAGTATACCTGGGTAGATAGCCACCGTAGGGAGGAAGGTGTTGGGGGGGCTGGATGAGCTTTACATGTCTAGCTGCATAGATTACCTCACGATGACGGTTGTGGATTGCTTGCTGTTGAAAAGACCTTGTTAGTTTGGGAAAACGAAATTTGCTGGAGCCCTGAATATGGTGATGTTCTTGTGATGATGAGCAGAGTAAATAGAAAAGAAAAGGGGGGGGTGGTGTAAGAGCCTAGCTGTCGAATTTTCACGAGAATATAGTGAATGCTTGCATAAATACACGCATACCTACGTAGGTAGGTATATATCTCTATATCTTATTATATTAAGTCATATATGTAGGTAGGTACTCAGTAGAAGCGTGATGAGCCGCCTCGTGTTTAAAGTGGCTGCATTTTCGGGATGCTTCCCCGGTGCCACGATAGCATCTCTTTGATACGAACCTACCTACCTACTAGCCTTAGGCAGGTACATACCTACATGGGTAGATAAGCTTGGGGTGTGTATCATGACAACGTTCACTTGTCACTTGATTATTTGGTGGAAATAAGACTGGTCCGACTGTTGCCGCCACTGCTGTTGTTCACGATCGCTGAGTTTATCTAAGTTAGGAGGTCTTCTACATGGGCCGGTAGGTATCTAGATCGATCAAAAAAAAGAGGCCGACCTTTGCTACCATGAAGAATATGTAGGTGACAGACGCTAGCAGGGTAGGTAGATATGTCCAATATATCGATAGCCTTTTGCATTTACATATTCCTACCATGCTTCTGTGCGCTGGATGCATACATACACCACCCAAGGTATCTGCGAGATGGAGACATACATATGTATGTACAGTAGTGCAGTATACCTATGCCAGCTCCAACTCGCTGCAGGACGGGGAACGTCGCCAATAGCATCCTATGATATACTAAAACCTACCTACCTACCTACCTACTTTGCCTGCATAAACAACATGTCAGTTCTCACGTGGTAGATGACTTGTTCCCCATATGTTGCCTGCCTACCTATCTATATCCTAACGCACGTATGCATATGTATGTACGCTCATACATATATGGAAACGTACACACCTGGGCACATATCGTACATAGTCTCGAACCTCTAACACATGCGTATACCCCTGAACTAGCAGCAGCGCACACAAGCTTCTTGGAAAAGGGTGCGACGGAGTAATCTCCCTATGGATATTCACTTACCTACCCAAGTGCGTACATATGTATGTAGGTATGTGTATACACACCTGGGCATACGGCACATACGCACGCAAAAAAAGATCACCCAATAACAACCCGTCCCTCCCGAAGGCAAGGCTTGTCCACACAGCATATCGCCGCGTGACGTCAAAGGTCGGTCGATAGGAAGCCAGAACTTCGAGATCGCAGCTCTAGCTTCCGGGAACAGACATCTGGGAAAGCCAGCCAGGGGGAGGGCCCGGAGGGGAGGTCAGGAAATAGATTGGCAAGGTAAATCCGAGATAGGTAGGTCAAGTGTGTGTACCTACCTAGCTTAATAGGTAGGAAGGAATCTTGGGAAAAGTTCGTGAACGACGAACGAACGAAAAATGCAACGATACACCTACCTACTAAGTAGCAAGTGCCGATGGTAGATACATATTGTACCTTACTTGCTTACATACATACATCTTGCATGGTATGGTACGGTGCGCAGTCGACTGATAGTGGGATGACTCCAACGCGAGGACTTCCTACCTACCTAACCCAGGTCGTTGGAGCTTTCATACAACACGATCAGCAAGTAAATACACATGTAAAATACCTAATCTACATGGCGTGCGTAATCTTAAATCCAAAAAGCCGGGTTGGTCGATGAAAGCATCCGTTCACGATGGGTAAGGAAAGCCATGACCTAATGGATCGAGTACTGGATACTGCTGATCGTTGGGATGGCTGCGGACGACCGGGGTCGTCAAGGAACGGCAATGATATCCACCTAAAACGCCGCTTGGCTTTATTACTTCGCCGAGTTGTATCGGACCTCTTAAAGATCTACAGATACTGTGGTTCATGGAATACAGCACTTCCCGCTTGAGCTATAGTAGGTACTCAGCCATGTCCTACTTATTAGGTCGTTGGCATATCAGATCAGATCAGATCACGTCATGCCAATTTATACCTTAGCTTAAATTGCCAACCTCAAGCGGTCTTACATGGACAGGATAACCGGCGACTTACCGTCGACTCTCCTCATGAACCATCATTTACCGTTGGGTGGGTCACATCGTGCCTGTCACCTTTGGATCAAAGATCTAGATGAGTATGTACTAGTTTAGGAGCAACATGTACACTCTGATCTACATTGCTTGGTTTGGATACGAATGAATCTGTGTTGCTTGTCTATTCGTCCGCCCGTCTGTAATAATTATAAGAATTCTTCCTACCATCTTGCAATAATCTGTATGGAGCCAAATACGGGGGTCATTATGCGCGTGTTCAGGGCTGTGGTGACAGTGGAAATATAAGCTTATTCAGGGGTGAAAGTAGTAGCAACAGTACCAAACTATTCTGCTTAACTGATGAGGTTAGGAGTGCGCGAGTAATCCCTGTTGGAGTGAGCGAGCACATTATGGCTTGGTGAACATAGAGAAACACATGACTGTTTCACTCAGGTTCCTGGCCTAGGCTCGGATGTCTTCTCTTGATTTGAAATTGATGAGGTAGCATTGTCTTCGATTGATGCTAGCAAGGCATCGAGTCTGCTCTCTAGGCTTGTTAAACTCGCTTCTAGAGCCGCTGCCTGCTGCTCGCCCCTGTGGATATCACGAGTTAGCACCTCGATATTCCATTGGCATCGTATCCTGAGCAAATATTATGGAAAGCAGGCAATACGTGTGAAGCAGTGATATGTCGCTAGACTGTGGCCAGATGAAGACTAGTTCCCGATGGAGTGCTGTGAAGTAGGACTAGTGATAAAAGCTTGTGAGACTAGTCATCCGACAAACGCCGTGACAAGCAACACGCCACATGAAATGGGATTCCGAGACATCGACATCGAGATTCCCATCCATAAATAAGAATAAGCGGTGACCTGGCTACATATGCAACTAGGCTAGAACTTCGATGCGGAATAAGCTGCCTGCCTACATGGTGCCTACTTATTACTAGGTACCCAGGTAAATACCTACTAGGCTACTGGGCCGGCGGGTAGATACGCGTAGGAGGCAACACAAGCAAGGCTGTTACCTACCTAATAGGTAGCCATGGCTATCTAACACTCATGGACTTCCACAATGGCAGTGGTGGCCGGGGAGAAATGATAGAAATAAATTGCCTCCCTATGCAGACTTTGCATTTCAAGTAGGACTCGGCTAGATGAAGGTGTGGGTGGTTCGGGATGGGATTCGTTGTATGTAAGCGGGGATCTAGACCTCGGGGGCGGCAGGGGGGCTGCGCAATGGGCGAGGCTCGTGTTTGTTATCGTAAAGTAAATGCAGAAAGGGGTTTGGCATGATGAAGGATGGGCAAACTAGGGGTCCGAAAGGGAATGGCATGGCAAATGATGGGAGATCCCGAAGCGAGTTCGAGGATTCCCATGTGGCTAATCTTTTCGAACCTCCAAGTCGGGAATGAGGGACTTGAGGGGATCAACAGCTGATCTTTTTATCTTTTTGAAGGCGTTCCAGATGTCTGCAGAACCAAAGTCGTGATGACTCATGAAAAGCATTTATACGTACTTGGCAAGGTCCTTGAATGCCTGATCCAAAAGAAATCATGTTAGACTGGCCAAATTACCGAATAAGAAGACATATGAGACTTGATATGTCCTCTATTAAACAATGATGATAATAATAAGAAGAGAGAAAGGCTTAAAGCTTACCTGAGCCCATTCTGATTGTGTTGCTACAGCCGAAGCGGGAGCACTCACTTGACCGCCATTAGACTCTTGAGCCTTGGACATGGACGTGGACGTGGACGTGGAAGTGTCCTGGTCCAACGGTGACTTGGACATGATGAGGTTACAAAGCGGCCCGGCTTCGAAGTTGCCTGGTATGCTTGTTGGTCCGCTGGTCCAATGTTATTGTGTGATTGATAATAACCAATATTCCCAGTGGAGTGGATCTTTGGAACCTTGAACGGTGAAAGTTTGAAACTTGGTTGGACGTTCAATGTGAGGTAGATATAATGTAAGATACCACCAGTAGGCCGGTAGTTGATAAGGTTAGATATGTATATGAGCCGCCTCCACGTGAGATGGACGATAGAAAAAATATATGTAGGTCAGTTACTTAGGTAGGCCAGCTTGTGTTATGTAATGGTGTATATCTTGTTAATAGTCTTATTTCATAAGTGATCGACGGTAGAACGATGGCCTCAATTGTAGATCATCGCTTCAGCTGGAAATATATATGTAAGTCCGATGTCAAAAGAGTAGCATCATCGATTCGGCGCGGATTGGATCCAGCGATCTCTCGGCACTTTTTATTTTATTTTTCAATTGAATTGAATTTTCGCGAAGAACTTTTAGGATCAACCGACAAATACGGGCACAGTTATTAGAAACCGACAGCTAAGCTGAGATGGTATAAGATGGTGTTGTAATCAGGTAACTTTGAAAGTTAAGGGAATAAAAGAAACGGTTTCATGTCAACGTCTACGATATGTAGCAGCTACATAGTGCATGATAGCAACTTCTTATGCACCCTAGAACCACGTGTATGCGTACGTACCTACCGTTGTTTTAGTGCTTTCAAGGGCTTCTAAGATAGAACTAACCTAGCAACTTGTAGCAAGCGCTTTAGTTTAAGTTAGATTAGTTAGTTGGAATGTGGAAGGCACACAATACATATAAAATATGATTGGGAATGGAATAAGAAAAGAATTCCATCCACATGCACCTGCCACTACTACTTTGTAGATAGGTGCTATTCAGAAAGTCGGTCTTTCCGAAACCTCATCTTGTTCTGCTTGTGAACTAAACCCATGCCCCATGCTCCATGCCCCCCATGTCTTGGACCCGCCTAATCCACCTCGTATGCAATAAAGAGGGTATGCTACTTTCTTTTATGGGTCTCGGGAGATATTTCTGATATCCAAAGTTGCATGTACATACAATACAAGCATGCAAGGACCAAACGAGAATAGTTAGGTGATCCTCCGTCATCGCAGCGGGCAGGATCAAGTAAAGAACTCAAATTTGATTGGTGGACTCAGTTCCTTTAACGTACTATGGTCACTGGTATTGTCGATTTCTTCAATATTCCTATTAGCCTACCTTACCTACCTTACCTACCTACAAGGCTACAACTTAAACCTACCTACATACCAGTCGACCATACTATTTGATACCATAGCAACTTGACACTCACTCACATGCAACTCATGCACTACTTCGGATACATAGCACGCAAAGTTGCAATTGCCGTTGTAACGGCCAATAATCTACACAATAATTTATACAGTATCATACTGTGTAAATGACCTTTTTACAAACTCCAAATCTCGATCTTGTCCCACAATGACGACCGACTTGATATAATATAATGGGAAATCATCTACTTTTTCTCGTCTTCCTTCGATCGAATCTTGAGTCTGGCCTATGGCAGTCAAGCAGTTCAAGGTAACCGACAAGAAAACAACGGTGGCTTACGGCCTCGAAAGGCTACTCTGACATATGATGGTCGCTCAAGATACCACAGTACCGGGTTCAGATGCCTAGATGTCCAGATGTCTAGATGTTCAGATGCCTAGATGTCCAGATGTCTAGATGTTCAGATGCATGCTCCGATGCTCAGATGTCACCCATTCCTTTCCTCCCCTTTCTTTCTTTCTTTCTTTCTTTCTTCGGTGGGGTTACGAGAGGGGCAATCCGCCGTAGGTAATAAAAACAGCTGATGCAACTTTGAAGAAATCTGGGGTTCGTGAGCCTTGGGAGATAGACAAGACTTTCGATCCCGGGCTCAAATGTCGATTGCGGCACCCTACCCTCTTTTCACATTCTGAAATCTCATTGGAGAACCCGTTCCCAGCCTTCTTGGCTCCCGTCCCTTTTCAACTCTAGTCTTGCTGGCCCGACACCCCAATTGTGTCTACAATGGGGAAATGTACCTGAGAAAATTGAATGCCATCACGATGCACCACAACCACAACTGAGACCAATCCCGTTTAGGAACTTTCCAATCCTCTCTTTCAAGGAAAGTTCAAGGAAAGAACATGCGGCCGGTTATATATCAGCTATTCAAAGACCTACAAGATTCACCAGATTACAGTATACATTTCACTTTTGTGTAATCAAGCAAGCAGCAAGCAGCAAGTTGATCTCCTTGCTTAATATGACACAAAACACAACATCCAAAAGCTGCGCTGACGGCGGGCTCGGGAGGAGACATCCCAGCAAGAGACACGAGATGAAGCAACCCACTTAACAAGCGGCATTCTCATTTGTCCTTAGCCTCGACCTACGATCTCGATCTGTCCCTCTCCGTCTCTCCGTCTACAACGGTTCAACCCTCTCCTTTTTCTCTTACTACATGCGTATGTATTATGTACACATGGTTACTTTCTCTCTTCCTATACATATATTTATCCGTGGCTTTTTTGCGACTAGTGGTTCGACTCCGTTCTTTACATTGTACGGAATTTTCGATGGCAAGTGGAAATTCGATTATGGAGAGAACTGCCAAGGGACCGCTTCCTTAGTTGGCAAACTGCCTACCCTACAGAACACTAAGCTTTTTACCTCTAAGGCTACTAGCTCAGGGAGTAGCTCTTCAATACCTACCTACCTCCAGGCTACTTAAGTATGTAGGCTAGAGAGGTAAGTAGGTAGGCTTGTATGGCATCGTGAACGTGAAGTGAGCTTGATCTCTCGAGTGTTGATATTGCATTTATGGGGCTTGGGACTAGTCTGGATATGGTGTTTAAGAATACAACTTATACTTACTACGTAGTAAGTTACTACTTACGTTCCTGGAGACTCACTCAGTGGAGAGTCTCGCGCAGGTCCGGGCTGCAGGACGTGACCTCATATTCCCATATCCCCCGATAGCTACATACCCAGAGAGAGCCCAGAGAGTGCCTAGCCCGCCCAGGTACCGTCTTGGACCTTACCGTGTCCACCGGTTCCAACATATTATTGTCCATCAGTCCATCAGCCCATTTGTGCTTGCATGTTTCCAATGTTTCCATGGACTTCCCGCCGACTATCTGGAAAATGGGGAGCTAGTCCTGTAGGTGAGTAACGATTATTTCCCTTAAGCAAGCTAGCTTTTCTGGGTCTTGCCGCTGTCGTTATTATTTTTTTTATTACTAGTTATTCCTTTTTTTTTCCTCCTTCAATGTTCCTCACTATTATGATCCCCCCCTTTTAGTTGTCATACATCGATGTTCCTCGATTATTCTCGATTGCGCTACTCATCGAGATCTGGAAAATGCAGAGGGATCGTATATCACCACAACAGCCCAGGATCCAGAATGCCAATTTTCCACATTTCCCTTAAACATTGCCATTGAACGTTACGGGGCAAACAGACAAATTCGATCCTTTCTACCGTTTAATGCTACGACATCACGATCCTCGCAACCCGTATCACACACAAGTACGCGCACCCCTAACGTAGCCTTTTCCGTCTAGTATTTCCAGCCCTCTTTCTAGTCATCTAGGCATACCGGCATTCACTTCAATCTCTCGCTCACACGCCCTTCTGTAATATTCCAAACCCCACGCCCCACAACCAACCAACCCTCGCATCTTACCCACGACGCGTCTCCCATCCTTACTTCGTAGCTTCGAATGCCCCCCTTTGCTTGTGCAGACATTTGATATCGTGTGCGTTGGAAGGCAATCAAATCTTGGATCTCTTACGTCGCCCAAACACGCCGGTTATTAGACCGGTTGTATCGGCGTTGAAGGGCATTTTGTCCCTGGCCATCGGTGCATTTGTGGACGAGGTTTGGCTGCTCTAATACCTTTTCGAATTCCTAGCCGACGCCGATTCGTAACGATTCGATCGACGAAGTAGAAAATCGGCATCTCCAACTTTGCATCGTAAAACGTTACGCCCACAGACATTCGGAAACACCGATGCTGAATTGAGTCCTGTGAATAAGTGATCGGCCGAGACGCGGCAAAAGTCAGCTATATGAATTCCCTCGACGCAATCTTTGGCGAGCTAGGCATCTCTCAATACCTCGACGCCTTCATCGACCAGGGTTTCGATTCATGGGAAACAATCCTCGATATCACTGAGTCAGACTTGTGAGTTCTTGTCGTCTGTCGTAGTTTTCAATCAGTGACTGACGTGGTAGCGTTCAGGGACGCGCTTGGTGTGAAACTTGGGCATCGACGAGTAAGATCACACCTCCTTAAGTAATCTTACAGGGGATAATGATATGCTGACTATACTGAAGAAACTCCAACGCCGTATAGCCAACTATCGCGGTGTTGCGCCGGAGACATCATTAGTATCGCCTACACGCACTAGCATTGAAGATGCCAGACTCGATACGAATCGAATCGAACCGGTTAAGTCCGACAAGCCAGACGGATCGACTGTCGCGAAGCGCAAATATAGACGACACCCAAAGGTGCGCCATTCCCTCGCTATTGAACATTGCTACTTGCTTTTAAAGCTTGATGGCGTGTCTGGCCTCTACAATCGTTATACAACTTGTCACTAACTTGGGACAGCCTGACGAGAATGCCCCAGAACGTCCACCCTCAGCATACGTCTTATTCTCTAATAGTTAGTAATTTCCCCATTCCCCAGAATAATGGGAAATTGAACCTTCTATACTTAAAAAAGTATCTGCTAACGTATTCTAGAAATGAGAGATGACTTAAAAGGCCAGAATCTGACTTTCACGGAGATTGCCAAATTGGTCGGCGAGAATTGGCAAAATTTGAATCGCGTCGAGAAGGAGCCGTTCGAAAGACAAGCGCACGAAGCAAAGGAAAGATACAACCGTGAACTTACAGACTATAAGAAGACGAGCGAGTATAAGAAATATTGCGATTATTTACAAGAGTTTCGCAAGAGACAGGCAGCTCAGTTGCAAGGTAACATTACCATACCTTAATGATTCCAAACACGAATTTCTGATTTCTGTAATAGAAAAAGACGCTTCCAAACGCCTGAAGACGGAATGTGATAGTATTCGCGGCAGTAGTACGAGTGGCGGTTCAATAGGGGCTAGTGGTACGACCAGTGGTACAGTGAGCGGTTCTGATAGTCAACCCGGTAGCGAACCACCCCCTTCGCGTCAGCAGCGGATGGGTTCATCGGCATCCACAGCTGAAAGCTATTTTTCTCCAACGACAAATGGAATGCACCATGGAGATGAGATAATACTTTCGCCAAGGAATCTCTCATACGACGAACTCAACAACGGGCGGTCACGTGGATTGTCGAGTCCTACTTCTCGTGACACTCTTCACCACTTGGGTCGTCGACTTGATTGGGGGGATAATCAACGGATATTTGGGGAATCTGTAAATGGTGGCAGTGCCTGGTTTGACCCAAGAGGCATCCAAGGAACTATGGTACAATCGCCGGAGAACGGCCCACCTAGTTCGGCTCCGAGTCAAAGTCTAGGCAATGGATCTGGCCGTGGGTCAAGGTCATCTGGATCTGGATCCATGTCACGGCCGCCCTCTCTCAAGACCGAGCAATCCTCAAGCGGGAGTATAAGTTCGCTCGGCTCGTTTAACGTTCCCAGGACGCCAAGCGATGCGTCTCTTCCGATTCACGCTCTTTTATCGTCAAAGCCAGAACCTCCATATGCTACATCATCCACCGCGCAATCCCAGTTTCCCATGTTCCAGACACAATCCGGTCGCCCGCTAGGCGATCAACTACACGCTAACAATGCCGAGGCCCACTCTACCAGTTCGTATTAAATTTCACATGCATCGTTCGATTCATCACTAACACATACATTTAGCTATGGTTCCTGGGTCAAATACCCCAAAATACCCAACGCGGGGGCTTTCAAATGATGCCATGTTCGGCATGTCGGTAGATCCGAAACGACCTACCACTACAAGGATGGCCAACGGCGGTGAAAGTAACCTTGACGGTATTAGTGCTCTCTTGAAGGCTCGAGAAATCGTCGATAGGCGGTAGGGCGAGCTATGAGATTTTTTTTATCACGACTCTTCCTCGCCTGAGGATATCTCTCTCTTTCTCTCTCCCTGCAACGTTGAAATCCGCATGATGAGGGAAAGGGGGATTAGGGCAGAGCATGACGTATTTTTATGATAAAATGTTTTTATATTATTATGACGAACTCGGGGATCATTTCGAGACGGCGAGACGGAGCGATTGGAAATTGCAATACGATACGACACACCCACACACATCACACAACACACATATGATACATCATACTCTCACACACACGCATCTACCTACATATCTAGAGACGAATCATCGGCATATTGATATCCTCATCTCCTCCATGCTCTCTCCTAACTAAAGGGTTTAGGTTAGCTAATGGGGAGCTGTTTGCGTTTTATTTTTTTATTTTTATTTAACAAGTTTATCCCCCCAAAAAGAGAGACAGGGAGAGAGAAAGAGAACGAAAGAACTTGAAAGAAAGGAAGAGAGGGGGGGGGCGCGTGTCTGTGTTCGCCTACGCGCTATGAAAATACAGCTATCTATCTACGTATCTAGGTAGATATCTACCAGAAAAGAACGATCACAAATATAACTGTTTATTCTATTATTATGGCTATTATGACTATTATTACTACTTCTTGCAACTATAAATGTTCATAACTCTTGGGCATTAACACTTACCTAGGCAGGTAGGTAGGTACCTGGATAGCCTACCCTCGTATGTAAGATCTTCTCAGAGAGATTCACATTCTTTGAAAGGGTCCCTAGCTTTTACGTCCCTTTTTCTTCCCCATTCCCCAGCATCGGCAAGTACGCCGGTACTAAATCACTAGACACTATGTAGGCTAGACCATCTTACACCTAGGCAGGTATCTACCGATTGCCTCTGATGCTACTTATGATCTGCAAGGTATGGTACCTACCTGGGCAGCTTACGGTGCTTATCACTCACTTACCTACCCCTTTACTTCCATTCAGCCCATCTGCCGTATCTTTCTTGCTTTCTCCAACGAAATTGGACTAGACTTCATTAACCTAGATACCTAGCTGGCTAGCTGGTTCCTCCCTATGCGGTAGCTATGTAGACGTCCCACTGCTTTGTGACTCAGGTAAGCACTTGCTGCTAGGTAATATACCTAGGTATGGAGACCGATTTTTAATCGAAAGGGGAGAGATTCTAAGCTGGGCGAAATGAATATGTTCATCGAGAATAGTTCTATCTACCTACCTACCTACTTACTTACCTGACCCCTGGCCTAGAATAATTCTAGCTGTAAAGGAATAACTACGTTAATCAAAGAATGAACCCATGCCCTTAGGTATCCCAATTTCTATCACCGGGAGAAACCATTACAACATTGAGAATTAATTCCCCAGGTTGAGATAGTTTCTTCCAATTTCTACCATTGGGATACGTGGATTCATTGGATGAAGTCTAGTGATTCTCGGGAGTAGGGGACTCCCTCCACGGAGAAGATCAGAGCTAGAGCGTCGGTACTTCCAATCTACCTGGCCTTACACCTACGATACATCTCCAGGGCTATGAATATGAGTGTCATCATCAAGTTAGGTATACCAAGCACAATACAGAGGGTAGGCACTACTATTGTACCATTACACCACAATCAAGCACCAAGCGGAAACTCTACTAGAATCACATTATGTAGGTAGCCCTGGACCTATAGAATAATCTTATGACATTGAAACGGTAGGGGGTTTGGCTATGATAACATGCACTACGAACAAAAGCAAGCGTTCCCGCCCATCATAATGTATCTACCTAGGTACCTAGGCAGGTAGTTGAAAACTGATTCAATATCTCGGATCTCCCTCTTCAAACAAATACGCAGAGCAAGTGGTACGCCAACCACAAGCCCTAACAGAAATATGACAGACCACTCCACTTGTTTGCTTGCTATGGCTTGTCTTCTGTTTTGCAAAAGTCAATACAGTCCAAACGATCCCCAAGTCGTAACGTCACGTCATGTCATGTGTCATGTATGGATATATCCATCCCTTAACTTCGGCCATCGTATCTATAACTAGAGAAGAAGGGGACAGGAAAGGAATTGATTTGAATTCCCCCAACTAGATCTCGCCAGTGACCTCAGCAGACCAATCCTTACGGATTTCGAGCTCCATGAGCTCGGGTGTGTTCTCGATACTGAGACCCTTTTCATTGGCTAGATGCAGCAAGCAGATGAAGCAGAAGCTCGTCGAGATATCGTCGAGCGCGGTCTTGTTGTAGACGGTCTGTAGGTCGTTCATGACATCTGTGAACTTGAGCGTCGGTGCCTCCTGCTTTTGTGCGTCCGTTGGCGGGGTTGGAAGTCTCGAGCGGTTAGGGTCCTAAATAAAAGGGGTTAGTTTATGCCTAGGAAGAGAATTAAAAGCTTCTAGAAGATATATATAACTTACCTGCTCGGTGTCGGGGAGCCCTATACTCTTCCAGAGCTCCTCCTTTAGTCGACGTACATCGACCTTCTTAGCTACACGAGCATACTGTACATATTCTGGCCTCAGACGACGTGTTGACGTAACAAGTTGTGTGCCGAATCCGCCCATTGTCATACCGTTGTCTAGCATACCAGTAATACCAATATCTTGGGTCATGGGAACGTCAAGGCCAGGTGAGAAGTGATCCCTAGCATCCGCAAACTCCATGTCGTCATCATCGTCCAGCATGCCGCCACCTGGGAGCGGCATCTCATCATCGAAGAAATTGGCATCGTAGTCTCCCTTCGGCATAGCCGTGTCATCTTCGGTGCTTTGGAGTGGCTCTCTTTGTGCCCAGAAGGCCTCATCCATGTCACCCGGAGCCACGTTGTTGTCTGACTGGGTATTGTTATTACCGAAAAATCCTCCTTTGTTCCGGAAGCGGTTACGGCGGCTCAAGCGGGCCTTAGGCTTAAGGAAGAGGTTAAGAAGCTGTGTCGAGTTGAAATGCTTGTCGTCCGGGAGAAGGTTTCGAGTCTTTGACTTCCAATCCTTCTTAGGCATGGATATGGCGGAATTGTTCGTAGCCTGAGTAAAGATTGTTTCGCCCAGTTTTGGATCGAGCGGCGATGCGAAGTTTATCTCGAAAGGTTCCTTTTCCTTTCGTTGGCGGGTAGACGTCTCGGGTTTATTGGCATCTTTAATCTTTCGTATTCTCCAGTGCTCTGGGCCGGCCCAGTTCTTCTGCAGAGCTTGGTCGAAGTAACCCAGGATATCTTCGTGCATCTTATCGTCGTTCCTGGAGCGGTTCATAGATACGATGTAGTCGTTGTTCTCATCCTCAACACCATCCACACCATCCACACCATCACCGCCAGGCATGCCATCGTCTGCGCCTACATTAAATGGGCGCATCTGAGGCTCTAGCGCGGCTTCTCGTGCCCAGGCTTCACCACCCTCGCCGAATGCAACATCACCCGCGACGTCGAATCCTCCTATAGCTGTCATATCATCGAAGCCAGCCAGATTGTCATCATCAATAAGCATGCCAGAGTGGTTACCAACATTTCCACTCTCATCCCCGTCTTCGTTGTCATCTTCTAGGGCACGCAAGAAGGGAATATCCAAAGAACCAGATGGGTTACCAAGCTCAAAAGTTTTCAATGACGGGCAAATGTCTTGCTCGTCTAGTCGACCAAGGTCGGGGAAGAATTTAGCGCCCAGCGCGCCAATATCGATCTCAACGTCTTCCTCTTCTTGACCAGCCTGTTCGGTGATAGTCGCTTCATGTTCATCCTCCGCGTCCTCCATATCCTCGTCTTCCTCCGCGATAACGTCCTCTCTCCGGCGGAGTTTGATCCGTTCGTCGGAGGCATCATTGGCATCATCACTGCTATCGAACACAATACGGCCCTTGCCATCGATCATAAGGTGGTTTAGTAGAAGGCCCTTGGCACCACCCTCGTCGAAGTCTGCCGAGGCTTTTTTGAATAACGGATCGACTGCGAATTCAAGTTCGAATTTCTTGAGCTGGAGAGAAGCGAACGATGGTGCAAGAGTCGCTTCTGAGGATCGTTGCTGCAAAGGTCAATGTTAGTATAGTATTTCCATTCAATTGATAATACATCAAACGTACTCGCTTCTTCGACTTCCTCTTGACGACGTTTCCATCCTCGTCGACTTCCTCCTCACTCTCCTCACCATCGGCGTCCCTATCCTTTTTCTTGGAGTTGCTATCCGCTAAGCCGCTAAGCAGCTTGCCTGTCTCAGTTGCAACACTATCCACTCTGCTGGTATAGATCTTCACGCAGCCGTCCAAGGTGCAACTGGCTCGTTGGAAGTTGACCCCATCTCCATCCTTGAGTAGGGACATGTCATGAAAATAGTCGATCAGAGCAAAATTCCAGGAGTTCGTGGCGTTGATTTTATTGTCGGTGGCCATCTTCATCCATTCTTCGAAATTGGCTAGAATAGGCACACGCTTCATAGGGGTCACGCCGCTTCCAACAACAAAAACATCGTCATCGTCATCCCCGCTGCGTCGCGGCGTTCGCGGGTCGGTGCGGGGAGTTCCATTGTCGCCTTCCGCCAGTCTCTTCTTCCCAGGCGTCGTGGCAGCGGCCTGTAGGTCGTTGATTTGTTTTTCGTAAAGGGCTCTTCTTGAGTGTAGTCGGCCCCTTTTTTCTGATATGTCGTCGTTTAGGGGGATCCTATTTTTTTATTTAACGATAAGATTTCTAGTTCCTATGCTCTACTTGGGTATGTTATATAAATGAATAAACAGTGCACATACTTGAGAGGCGATTTAAAAGGAGAACCAGCAGAGCCAGAAGTTGTTCTACTGCCAGCGCTGGCGCGATGTTTTTGGCCTACACGAGTCATCTTGGGTGGTTTGTGTTGGTGTGAACATGTGGGTTGAATGGATTATGGTGTGGGTTAAAGATAGATTGATGTAGATTGCAGGTTTGCAGGTCGCAAAGTGTTGTTTAGTTTACTTATCGGTGTGTGGAGTCGTTTGGAGTGTGGTGTGTGTGGTTGAGTCGGTGTCGCGCCCTGTCAGTTGCCCCGGTCACTTTAATTTTTCCTATGGGCTTTACTATGCCGTACGCAAGTAAACAATCCCTATCGCGCTAGGCTTATTTTGGTCAAAATTATTAATTAACTCCAATGCTACAAGGTTAGAACCTTCCAAGAAGCATTCTGCAGTGGAGGTGGAGGAGGGGAAAGAGTCTAAGCCACACCCACTAGCGTCTACTATAAAATTATGTACATAGTACTGTACAGCCACAACCTTGAAGTCATGATGGAATTGCAACTGGCCACTGGGAAATACTATGCGCCGTACATAGCACTACTACGCCGTAGGGAAAGTTAACGCGTGGCGTTTCCCCCTCTTTCACCCGTCCATTTGTCTTGGCAAGTACCGTACGTTGACGTGTCTGTCTGACAGTCTATCTACTGTCAGACTCGGTAACCTTGAATGGGAACTGTTTAATCCCCACCCGGAACTTTTTACCGATAGAATTGAAAATCAATTCATCTTAATTGCTCCATCCAACTTTGTACCCTGTCTTGATTCTAGAATCAATTGAACCCAGAACCACTACCCAGAACCCATGCATCATCTCATCTTTCACCAACCTTGAAATCTACGACGTATACAAAGCGGTATAAGTAATACCTCGAAACTTCAAACTGCATAGATACCCAGAGAATCGAGATACCTAGTATCTACCTAGTAGTACACCTAGTACCTAGTACAAATCGATGTCTATGTTACGCGGTATGTCTGAGGGAGCCAAGTGCCAAGCTTAATACCTTGATTCCGGTAGTCTGGGAAGGAACTTGACGCAGTAGTTGGGTTACAACTTACAAGACCTTTTCCAGCGCACGTTTGCTTTGTTTTCATGTCGATCTAAAACTTACATATGTACCTGCCATGTGTATGTATGTACCTACATGTAGGCAGTACCACCTGGCAGTGCACAGTTACCAGTGACTAGGATCAATGATGTAGTACCGGTACAGTTGCAACACTGGGTAATCTCAATACAACATTACAAGTGTATTCGTATGTATTCCCTACCCTCACCTTACAACTCATACATGTATACATCATCTTAATCCTACTATTATATCCATCCAGACGTCCCATTTGAAGATCAGAGATATCTAACTACTACCTATCTACCAGCCTACTTGAGTAGGTACATATGTATCTAGCCTCTTTATACATGCTCTGACTCACTCGCTCGCTCACTACCTTTTCTTTCGAATCTATATCTTCTTCCTTTTATCACTAACTACCTAAGTAATCGACTAATATAATCCTATATCATTTTTTATAAGCTAATCATTAGCCTTGGAGCTTTGGAAATACCAGCTTGGGCAACCTGCCTATCCTTTCAAGCCCTTTCAGCACTTCTAACCCTTCTAGCTATGGAGTGTTAAACACTCCTCAGCTGGCCAATCCATGATGCAGACCGCCATACATAAAAAGAGGCGATTCAGCTTTCGGCCATTCTATACCACAGTCTTCCTATTTACACTCATTACTACATATTGTTTATTCATCCGGGGACCAACACCATCATCAAGAGGTCCATCAAGAAGTCCATCAAGTGAATCGCCCTTTCTGTCTAAACGATCTGGCGAAGAATGCCGGTTGGTTCACAATGCTCCAGACAAATGCGCCTTTGTGAAGCGCAACTGCCATGATGATGAGGCTGGCCTCATAGAATATCTCACATTCTACTATTGCCATCTCGAACGTGCCCAACCTGTTGCCTTCATCATCATGGTCCTCTGGGTCGCATTGCTGTTTGCCACTATCGGCATCGCCGCTAGCGATTTTTTTAGTGTCAACCTCAGTACCATTGCTACCATTCTTGGCTTGAGTGAGAGTCTTGCTGGTGTGACTTTCCTGGCCTTTGGCAATGGGTCGCCCGATGTCTTCAGCACCTTCGCCGCCATGAGCTCTAATAGTGGAAGCATGGCGGTTGGCGAGTTAATCGGCGCCGCAGGTTTCATCACTTCAGTCGTTGCCGGTTCTATGGCCCTCGTACGCGAGTTCAGGGTGGGCAGGAAAACATTCGTCCGTGATATCTGTTTCTTCATAGTGGCCGTTAGTTTTGCTATGTTCTTATTGGCCGACGGAAAGCTCCATCTATGGGAGTCCGCCGCCATGATCGGCTTCTATATTTTCTATGTCATTGTGGTCGTTGGCTGGCATGCAGTCACCAAGAGGCGGCGGGCGCGAAAGGCTAAAGAGGCCTCCTCTCGTGGCCACTTCTACACGGTCTCGAATGAGCACGGCAATGATGAACTAGAGCCTTATAGGGATGATCCCGACGACGAAGATGCTACGCCGGGGGAACGTCGTGGCTCAGAGAGAAGCGGGTCTACGGCTGTCGATATTGCAATTCTAGAGCGAGGACCTAGAATTGAGATTGGTAGCCCGGACGACGATACTGATTGTAGCCAGCATCTTGCTGCTGAAATGACGAGCAGTATGCGTGTGAATCGTCCGCGGGGGAGGAGGAGCAATACAACCATAACCGCTATACGGCCCAGTTTGGTTGGCGCGCTCGAGTTTAGATCAGTCTTATCGTCGCTGCAGGAAGAAGGAAATGTGCGCTTGAGGCCTCTGTACCATTCTCGCAGTACTTCCGCCGATCTTCTACACGGAGGGCGTAACGTGGTCCGAGGAAGCAAAAGCGCACAAACGATACAAGATGTTGGGGATGCTTCCATCGCGACCAGGAACCGCGCACGGTCATCCGGGTCGATACCAATTATTGTCGATGACGATCTCGCACCCGGACCTTCAGAAGGAAGAGGTAGAAATTCTAGCCCGCATACAGTAAGAGGGAAACTGGCCCCCCCACCAACGGACCACTTCGGCGGCCACTATGCAGAAAGCTCTGCATCCTCAACAGAGGATTTGGCGCCAAATTCCCGGCCAGAGTTACATCGACTGCGGATTCCCAGTCCCCATGGAAGCGAGAGATCCTCGCCTTCCTTATCGCCATTTCCTGCATTTTCGGATTATCCTTTTGGCGTTGTCGAAAATTCACAACAAACTCCACAATTAATTCTCCCATCTCCCGTGCAGGAGCGACGTTCTTTTCCTATCTTGGCTGAACCGGTAAATTCGAAACCCTACAGGTGGTGGCCCTATCAGCTTTTGCCTCCGCCGCACATCATATTCAATACTCTGTTCCCCACTCTGCAGGGCTGGAGAGCGAAATCAATTTGGGATAAATTTGTCAGCCTGATCTCCCTGCCGAGCATATTCTTGCTTGTCATAACATTGCCCGTAGTGGAAACCGAAACATCAGAAGATGACTCGGATAAGAGCATTGTTGATCCGCCAGAGTCAGGTCATCTAGGCAATACAGCACCGCCGGTTTCTTCGGAGCCAGGCGTCTCTATACAACCTGAAACTGAATGGCAGCGATATAGACGACGTACGAGATCCAGGGGATCCAGGGGATCTAGTCGAAGTCATTCGCCTGTTTCTCTACTTATCCCACCTGATTTTCAAGAGTCGGCACAAACTCAAGCTATGCCCACCTTGCCTCAGCCGGATGTGCAAATAAAAAGACCTGCTTCCGAACTTGAAGGAGACAGTTCGACGCTGGGCGACGAAGACCTTGGCTGGAACCGCTGGTTGTTGATACTTCAAATATTCACAGGTCCGATATTTTGCGTGTTCATTGTCTGGGCAAATATGGAGGAAGATCTCGAGCAACCCACGAAATTTCTCCTGAAAGCCATTTTGGGCTCTCTTGTTTTTTCCTTGGTATTGCTCGGAATATTATTGTTGACTACGTCGCCGGATTATCGCCCTAAATACCATTTCTTATTCTGTTTTCTAGGATTTTGCATTTCTATTGCCTGGATATCCACCATAGCCGGTGAAGTGGTTGGAGTGCTTAAGGCATTCGGGGTGATTCTGGACATATCAGAAGCAATACTTGGCCTTACCGTCTTTGCAGTTGGTAATTCCGTGGGAGATCTAGTTGCGGACATAACTGTCGCTCGACTTGGCTATCCCGTAATGGCATTGTACGTTGTCCCCAAGCTTCACTTCCACCACAGCAATCATATAAGCACGTTGTACTAACTAATATATTACAGATCTGCCTGTTTCGGTGGCCCCTTGTTGAATATTTTGCTTGGAATTGGTCTTGGAGGCGCTTACCAAACAATAACTGCAGCAAATAAACATAAGGCCAAGCATCCTGACAAGCCTATACGGTATAAGCCATATCACATCAAAGTCAACGGGACCTTGATGATATCCGCCATAACGTTACTGCTCACTCTTTTCATCCTCCTCACCGTTGTTCCAATGAACAAATGGATGATGAGCAGGAAGATTGGCTGGGGATTGATTGCGCTCTGGTCTATCAGTACGATACTGAACCTTGCGGTCGAAACGACGGGAGCGTGGCAGGATATAGCATAGAATGTATGCGCCTAGGTATCGACGAGCAAACACGAGGTTACGAATTATTGTTGTTATTTGTGAGAGCGACTTAGAAAATTTCAGTATACGGTTCATTTCGTCTGTCATTATAGACAATTAATGCATAGCGCGCAACGAATTCAAAATTGTTTCTTTGGATGGCAAGTGACTTGGTTTATGCTATGTTTTCCATGGTTGTCCCTTTCTGAAGATAACTCTAGCAGTCCTCCTATATGAAAGGTCGCGCAATCATACCTATCACACAAACCTACACAAACACGCAAGGTTTTATGAAAAGTAGGTATTCAAACTTCAAAATAGAAGATTGGCAAGACAGTAGTGCCTGGAAAAGGGATATAAATAAGGTTACTCTCATTCCTACCTTGAATTTGCCTTTCCCCTACCAACACCCCATCTGCAATCCTTTTGAGTAAGATCATCCACAATACCTACCAACCTAGCCACCTAGCTACTTGCCCCTATTCCAGCGTTTGCGAAACACCAAAAGAAGTAGAAATCGAGTAGGATACGAGATGGCGCCCCCCGGCATCCAAAGCAAGCCCGGGTCTGATAAAAGTATGCATAGGACGCCACTTATGATAGGTTGCTATGCGGGGGATTTTCAGCTGCCGAAGCAGTATCGTCACGGTGGGCGGAAGATACGAGAACCGACGAATACGCTGGACGAGCTGGTAGGAGGAACAAAGGCATCAGGTATGAATATGGGCGAGGAGAAGAAGGAGAAGGAGAAGAAGAAGGAGGGTCAGGATTTATCGCGAGACGGTAAGGAGGAGGCTCACCAGGGGACTCAGGTGGAGGATGGTGTCAAGTTGCATGTGAAGCTGGATTGCTCAACGACGAAGGGTTCTAAATAGGTCGTATTTTGTAAACGTAAACTTGGATAGTACATATCTACCTAGGTAGATAGAACATTGAACTCCCCCCTATTTCGGTACGTACTTATTTTAGGTAGTTATCTAGGGTAGGTATTGTACATAAATGTAAGGCAGCTAGTATGTGGAACATGTGGGCCAGATCTTGCTTCAATTGGTGCATGACCCCCCTTGTTCCTTTGACCGCTTTTATTGATTTCAACACTCAACATGATTTACCCCTCAACCCCCCCCCCCCCCCCCCCCCTCCCCTCCAAATATGCACCAAGTCATTATGCAGTGTTACAGTTGATCTTCCAGGGGTCCAAATCTTTTTTATTAAGTGCTAGCAACCGCCATAGCACAGTTACTCTACTCACTATTACGAAGTACTACACCTCCAGGATCTAGTAACTACAGTCAGTACCTTAAGTAACGACAGAGCTTAATTTATTAGATTGACACGCGTCACTTATAATTGTGAAGCTCGACTGACTTTCTTTCTATTTACAGTTGTCGCTGCACTCGCACTTATCACATTATATACCAAAAGAAAATCCATTTACTTATTTTTCAACAATTCCTCCACAAAAATAAAAATGGACGCCGGCGCACCCCCATACCCTCCTCTGGAGGACCGCCCCATCAAGAACACCATCGCCCTATTCGACGTCGACGAGACCCTCACCCCCGCGCGCCGCACCGCGAGCCCCGAGATGCTGCGGACGCTCGAGCAGCTGCGGCAAAAAGTCGCCATCGGCTTCGTCGGCGGTTCCAACCTCGTGAAGCAGGAAGAACAACTGGGGGCGGCGGCGAAGCTGCCGGTGACCTCGATGTTCGACTTCTGCTTCAGCGAGAACGGGCTGACGGCGTACAAGCTCGGCGCCGAGCTGCCGTCCAACAGCTTCATCAAGTGGATCGGCGAGGAGCCCTACAAGGAGCTCGTCCGCTGGATCCTCCACTACGTCGCCGACCTCGACATCCCCGTCAAGCGCGGCACCTTCGTCGAGTTCCGCAACGGCATGATCAATGTTTCCCCCATCGGCCGTAATGCGAGCACCCAGGAGCGCAACGATTATGAGGCGTTTGATAAGCAGCATAAGATTCGCGAGACGATGGTCGCGAAGATGAGGGAGAAGTTTGGGCATTTGGGGTTAACGTACGCTTCCCTCTCCCTCTCCCTCTCCCTCTCCCTCTCCCTTCCCTCCCACCCCCCTCTCCCCCCAAAGCTAAAAAGGAAAATCAAAAACTAACACCCAACCCCAACACCAGCTTCTCCATCGGCGGCCAGATCTCCTTCGACGTCTTCCCCACCGGCTGGGACAAGACGTACTGCCTGAAGCACCTCGAGGACGAGGCCAAGAAGCCCGGCGGCATCGCCTACACCACCGTCCACTTCTTCGGCGACAAGACCTCCCCCGGAGGCAACGACTACGAGATCTACACCGACCCCCGCACCATCGGGCACTCCGTCAAGGGGCCCGAGGACTGTCTGAGGCAGATTCGGGAGACTTTTGGTTTGTGATGATGTTGAGCGAATGGGTTTAAGCTTGGGTGGCTTGGGGGGGGGGGGGGGGGGGTCTCTGGTATGGTGAGGGTTGGGGGTTGGGGGTTGGGGGTTGGTGAATGAAATGAAATATAAAAAATTAAAGAATATGATGATGTGATGATAAAAGGAAGGGGGGGCGGGTTACCTATATACCGAAATAAAGTATAAAAGGGATGAGGAAAGTGAGGAAAGGGGGGGAATAAAAGAAAATAAAGCCTACCTACTTACCTAGGTTAGGTACATACATATTAAACACCGTCTACAACCATCCATCTACCCCCTTTTTTTTTTTTCGCGTGAAGACAAAATAGAACCGCGATGCTACATGTAGGTATGTACGTTCGCGCATGAAAAAGGCGGGACGAGAAAGAGAGAGGGTAGAAAGGCGGGAGACGAGAGATGGAAAAGAAACCATATGGATGCCTAATAAAGTATAGCAATGAAGTTATACGATTTATTTATATTTAGGTACGTACCTACTCAATCGTTGATGTTGTCCGACACGACTACTACTACTACTACTACTACTACCACCGCTACTACCAAGGAGTATATATCCAAACATAAAATACCTAGCTAGGTATGTACCTAAGTAAAATCACAAGTTCTTCTCCCCCCTCCTAGTCTTTCTCCTCTTGCTCTCTTCATTCTGCTCTGCTCAGGTGGACACGTTTTATCCTGCTCATCACTGCCGTCGTCGTAATCGTAACAACTGCATGGTCAAATCTACCGCCCAAACTCCAAATGCGGCACGATGACCGGGCCGTACTTCGTCGGCGCCGTGAACGCCCCGTCGCCCTGGACCACGAAATCCACCGCCAGGCTCAGCCTGCTCAGCCCCCCGTTACTCTGCTGCTGCTGCTGCTGCTGCTGCCCCCCCTGCCCTCCCAACGGCGTAGCAGCAGCAGCAGCCGCATCCGGATCATAAGCCACGATCGCGACGTAGTTCCGCCTCCCCATCAACTTCTTCAGCTCCCTCGGCGACCCGCTGGCGTCGGTGTGGAAGATCTCCATCATGTCTTCTTTGGTGTCGGAGACCTCGTTGGTGGACTTGTGGCCGTTGGAGGGGATGTAGTGGGTGCGGTTGTTGTGGAGCATCTTGAGGATGTAGGGGGCGGCGGGGGCGGCGACGATGGGGGAGGTGATGATCTGGTACATGGTCTTGTGGTCGTGCGGGTGCGTGGGGTCGTGCACGAGGCCGGCGCCGGCGGCGTTGACGTCTGTGGGGGGGAGGGGTTAGCATTGGTTGATTGGTTATTTAGGGGTATACTGGGGAAAGGGAGATTGGAGCTGAGTTAGGGAGGAAAGGGGAGAGAGAGAGAGAGAGAGAGAGAGAGAGAGGGGAATCGCATACCTCCAGACAAAAACGTCATGCGCAACCCCTTCTGGTGCGAGATGCCCTGCAGCGTGCGGATGAGGTACGTCCGCTCCAAGTCCTTGCTATCATGCGTCCACATATCCTTCAGAATCTCACCAATATCCAGGTCGCCAAACTGGTTCACCACATTGCCCATCAGCCCGGACTTGCCCACCGCCTTCTTGACTTGGTTGAACCCCTGCGCCACCATCTCCTTGCCGCCCACGATGCCTGCCACTGAGCTTGTCACCTTGCCTAGGACGTTGTACGTCGTGTTGACGGCCTTCTTGCCGGTGGCAAAGGTGTTGGCGAGGCTTTCCACGGTGTCTAGGCGCGGGTAGACGAGGGGGACGGACAGCATCAGGAGGCAGTGCTGGACGCTGGGCGGCAGCATCGCAATCTTCGGGAACAGACCTTGGTATGTCGGGCCCGCGAGCACACGGCTCTGTGTGCGCTCCGACCGAAGATCGACGCCGACTACCACCACGGCCGGGCCCAGGTACTTGACGAAGTGCCAGCCTTGGCCGGTGACGGTGAATAGATCTAGGTCGTGGCTTACATTCCGGAGGAGCTCTAGCGTGGTGTGGTGCTGGAAGAGCAGGTACATGTCCACGGCTATCCGCCCGATGTTCTTGAACATCTGTGAGTTTTGCATGTAGTCTGGGTACGAGCCGTAGCCGTCAAATCTGTTACGCGAATTAATTAGCTTGGGATCCTTTGAAAAAATTTCACTTCCAATCCTAAGTATGCGTATCTGGACTCACATATCATGATCATCAATCTGGCAGATATGTGGGATCTGCGCAAATGCCTCGCGCAAGAACGGCTGGTCGAAGTGGCTGGTGTAAAAGTGGAAGTAGGCGTGCGACACATCTTCCTCGTGTCGTGCCGTCCACCCAGAATTCTTTCTGTTTTCCTTTCCTGGCATCGCCAGCCATTGCTTTAGGAGCGGCACTTCTTTCCACAGCCGGTCCCCGTAGATCTGGTCACCTAGTCCAAGCTGAACGTGGAAGCCGTTGCAGTCTATGTTCTTCTGCAGCACGTCCTTCCACATGAATCCCAGCCCGCCAAGCTTGCTGCGCTCGTTCTGAGATGTGCTAGCCGCGAAGTCGTTGCCGGAATGCGCTATCATGCGCCAGTTTGTTTCGCTGCGGCCCGCGACGACGAACTCGTATCTGGTGCAGCCGAGATGCGAGGTAACTGCATATGTCCACCTCTCAGTTCCGCCCTCGCCCATCTGCAGATCGACATCGTATTTAAAGAACTGCCATCTTTGGTGTGTGTAGATCGAATGTGGTGTTAGCTGGCGAGGGTTTGGCGACAGATCAACGCTGCGGTGGATATGGATAGTGGGCGGCTGCGGCGCATCTGTAACTACGAGGATACTGCCCAGCCACATCCCCTTCTCAATGTCCATATTGGTATACCTGAGATATGGACCAAAATAGACTCCGTTCGTGGGTTGAACCTTGTACATATCCACACCGGCACCAGGCGGTGGTCCCGAAAAGCCAGCAGCGGTCGGCGTGGCGGTTGCGACACTCATAATACTCTCCGCATAGCCGGGCGTCTGAGGTGGGAACATAGGCGAGGCCAATGCGCTCTGCTTTCCAAACATCGGCGAAGCAAGAGGGTTCCCATACGTAGATGCGGTGGGAGACAGCGGCACAGGTTCATGGTGAATGGGATTCGGGCCCTTGGGGAACTCCCACTGCGTAGCCTGCGTGGATAGATGGATATAATAATACTGGCCAGAGTTTTGATCGAGGTGCGCAATCCAGCCCTCGGGCAGCGGCGGCGGCGAAGAAGGACCTTGCCCCTGGAAGGGTGAGGGAGTATGAGTAACGACTTGCGCTTGCTGCTGGGTAATCTGCTGCGATTCTGGTCTTGGATCGTTCGCAAACGCAGGGTGCCCTGGGTGCTGCAAAGCCGGGGATGCGAGAGCAGCAGCAGCTATCTCGGCTTGCTTTTTCGGCGGGGATGTAGCCTGGGTAGCTGGAGCAGGAGTCGTTGAGCTCGAGCTTGCCTGAGCTGGCCTCTGCTGCGGTGGTTGTTGTTGTTGCGGTTGCTGCTGCTGCTGCTGCTGTTTCTCGTTGGGGTATGCGGAAGAGCTTCCGCTATTACTGATGCTGGAGTAAGCCGGTGGAGGGCTCGGCGACATCTGCATCCGCTGGAAGTCTTGCTCTAATACACTGATTTGCAGCGCTGATCCGCCGGGCGCATCGGATTTTCCACCATTGCTCGATGGCCGCGCAGTTTGAGCACTAAACGACGAGCTGGTGGGGCTGACAGGGTTTGCCCCCTGATATACTGTAGGAGGGCCATGTGGTTGTTGTTCAGGAGTCTCTGTCGGCGTCCATGGGCGCGGAGGTTGCGAATGCTGCTGCTGATGTTGCTGCGCAGCTGGCTGCTGTCCATATTGCGCTATACGCTGAGCCGCGGCGGCACTCTGGAAACTATTGAGTGTCGCGGTTCCGGATATACCGGCTGCCGCATATCTTGCTTCGATACCCCCTCCCGGGATATTGCCCGGTTCGGCGACTGGTGTCTCCGGTGGCGGCGGAGATCCTCTACTCGCTCTTGTCGTTGATGTGGAGGCTGTAGAGGCAAAACGGTTCACACCAGTGTCCGCTGTCTTGAGGTAGTTGTCTTGGCTCGCTTGAGGTCGCGCATTGCTACCTGAGCTTGGAGTCGTGGAACTCCCTCTAGGCGGAGGATAATATGGTTTCTGATGATAGTCGGGGAATGATGTGCTGGCTGGGGCCGGGGCTGCTGCTGGCTTTGACTGATTGCCAAGAGGCTTTGCGAAAAGAGGACTTTCATCTGTAGGGGGGCTGCCAGGGCTTAGCGCCGCTGGTAAAGGCTTGGGCGCAGTTCCTCGTCGCTCGGCAAGGCCAGGCCTTTTCCCCTCCATGGGACTTGTATCTATTCGTGGGCTAGTATCGTTCGAATCAGAATGCGAAGAGCCGGTAGGGCTCGTGTAGATATTATGCGGGCGGCGCCCGTCGTTTTGGTATGGAGGTCGGCTCGACTGGGAAGGCTGGCCTATTTGATGGTCATCGTCATCCGGGTAAGGCAAAGGCGCAGCCGAACTCGAAGCTCCGGGCGGCAGGGGAAAGGTAGGCTTGGAGGATGCTGGTGTGGGATATCTGAACCGGTCCGATGCAGGTTTAGGGCTCTGGGGGTGAAATATTCTCAGAGGCTCGATAGTAGGACTGTCGCAATCATCGGAAGGTTTGCTGAAGAACATTTCCTCGTCGAGTCCTCTGTGGCGATCCATCTTGTTCCACGTACTCTCTTGTACTTAAAGCACGTTACAGCCGACAGGTACAAAAGTACGAAGATTATAAGCGAGATGACGCACGCAAAAACGAGGAGAGGATCAGAATAGGAGCTTTGCGACAAGCTGTACTTGGAGATTTTCCTGCGATTTTCCTTTGGGATTTTACTGGCGATAACAAGTTTGACCAATATCGCAACCAGGCGCAAGAAGGCGGGGTTACGATGATTGGGTTGGATCGATTCTGAAGCTTCACTGAAGCTGACGATATCGACCAAAGAAAGAAATGCGATGGGTATACGGCACAAGTAATGCAGATATGAGCAAATATGAGTAGATGAAACAATGTTCAAGAAGGAATACGATGACTTCCGAAGAGGCCTCTGATATGCGGCCAACCAACCATTTGGCTGTATGAATATGGCGGGGGGCTTCCTGGGGGGGAAGCTCCTTGTTCACAAACTCGGTGGGCTCATGCCGCTTGGCAGGTGGGAAGACAGGCCTGGTGATTGGCTGAATGTAGACAGGCGCTTAAGGTAAATGATATAGGGAAATATGTTTGAAGCAGATGGAATCTCTAACCGCCCAATCAGCATAATGTATCACAAGACTCTGTTAAAAGACGTGACATGAATACTGGATCCATCATCTTCCATCCTTTCTTCTTTCTCCTTTCTCCTATAAATAGGAGCTTTGCCGATTTGGTGGGCTTAATGGGTTTGTTTAATTTTCTCATAATAATTTACATGACCTACCAGTCGACTTGTGAGGCTTAGATTATAAGATTATATAATCTAATCCTCTGGATATCAAGGCCCAAGTTGTTTAATAGGGTTGAAATGATGAGTGATTTAAAGGAAAGATAGGTACCTAACGTAGGTAGGTATAGGTTGGTATCTGAAGGATGCATATCTCTTGTAAGTTGTAACGTATAAAGTCCACGATTATCGCATATGATGGATGGTAAGTTATTGTCCAAGGGAAGCCGTCATAACCGTACCGTGGGGCTAGTCTAAGCGGCTATTGATCCGAACTTATGAATCGTAGAATGTAGCGCTGAGATATGTGATGAGATCTCCATCCATGGATGTATGCATAATGTATACCTAGTTGGGCATGCGTGACATTGCGTGTAGTTGTATAGCCAACCTAACCTAGCCATATAGGTATCGAGATAAATCCTTCCCGTCGTCGCATGGCACTTCACTTAGCGAAGGCCTATAAAAAGACTTGCGGAAAGCCCCGCTAAGCTCGATAGATGTGGGATTAACACATGCATCTAATAAAGATGATATTAAAATGATGATGGAAGAGTTAAGAGGCTCGCTCTAGTGGAATAGTCTTTTAGTTTCTTAAACGCATGGACCATGTAACACACTACTATGCAGAGGCAGCCAACATTGAACCGAGGTAGTTAAGTTATGTATTAATGAAATGATGCTTCATCGCTCCTTACACTGTAGCGTAATTCCAATTCAGCCTTATGAAAGCCCATGACCATAAAACGACCCATAACTAATAAGTTATTCATTAATAACTATTCATTACTAACCTTTTAAACCTCGACCAATTTAACGCCGTTCAATTTCGGTCGCGAACTCTAAAACTCGGCGACGAAGCCAACCCCGTTCGTTCCGTTTTTGGCGGCGAGAATCTGACGCGGCGAACGATAGTATTCCGAGCTAGCTTTTAGGTATCTACACTATTTAGTATTACTACCAGCCTACCCGGTAAGTTGTGGTACGAACGCATAGGCTGCCTAGACCAAATACAACTTTGAAGTAGTTAGGTATTAACAGATATCGATGACTCTTCGTTAAACCCCTTAGAAGGGGTCCATACATACAGTCAGTGCCACCGCATGATGGAATGCCAAAACTTGGATTGTCTCGCAAGGCTCTTTGTTCGCCTCCGACCCTCCCAGCTTTCTCGGGCAGACTCGGGCCCGACCAATCACGACGCACTCGCCGCCCTCGACCTTTCATTGTCGAAATAGGTTGCGGAGAAGAACGCGTGGCAACCCTGGAAATCTTGCTATGTGCCGTGGTGACTTTTAGGCTCCCTATTCTAACGTATTCTGATATGTTCCTCGACTCGGGTTACGTACGCAATGTCTGACTGTTTTGCATGCCGTAAGTTGATGTTTTAGGTGTGTGGTGTGTTAGTCATTCGCCATCGCATAGCGTAGGCACATTGCGCATCACGGCCTGGAGCCTTGCATTGCATCGTGTATATAAAGATGACATAGCTACCCCCCATTAGTTATCCCATCTTCTACCATAGTATCTTCATCCGAACAAACACTCAATCACTACTACTTCACACATTTACTAAGCATTCAACATGGACAACTCGGGCAATACCAATAATAACCGTCCAGGTAACATCTGGGAATTCTTGCAAACATTCGCCCCAAATGGACCTTTCGCAGCTGGTGTCGGCATTGATCACGCCAATTCGATGCCTCAATTCCCTCCCGGATTCCCTTTCCATAACACTGAGTTCAACAACGACTCTTGGAATGGACAAGGCTGGGGCGGTTGGGGTGGCCCATGGGGTCATCATGGATGGCGCGGATCAAACGGACGCCCAAACCCCCGAGACGCACCCGAGTCCGGCGGCGAAGACGACCATGATATGGACGGGGAGACCGACACTATGAGACCGACTCCGGATGAGTCGGTGAACAGCGATGTCCCTCCTCCGCCTCGCGCCTCGGGAGCATTTTCTCCACCTCCTCCTCCTCCTCCTCCAGGTGCACCGAACCACCCACCTCGCGGTCCGTTCCACCACGGCCACCCACACCCCTTTGGCCCTCGTCGTGGGGGACCTTGGGGAAGACGTGGAGGACGACGTGGCCATCATCACCACCAGCCGCCGCCGCCGCCACCGCCCTTTGGTGGCCCATGGGACTTCCGGCCGCTAATGGAATCCTTCGCTTCTCACCCATACGCCCAAGCTTTCAGAAATTGCATGGACCAAACCCGCAGTGGCCCTTCAGACTCATCGGCCGAAGATCAAATCAATTCTTTCACCCCTCCTGTCGACGTCTTCAACACGGATAAAGCCTACGTGCTACATGTCTCGCTTCCGGGTGCGCTCAAGGAGGACATCGGAGTAAATTGGGATGGAGAGAAGATCAACATTGCTGGAGTGGTATACCGACCCGGCAACGAAGAGTTCCTTCAGACCATGGCCTCGAGCGAGAGGAAGGTAGGGATGTTCGAACGAAGCATCAAGCTACCGCCTGCTGGAAGCGATGAGAAGGAGGATATTGACGGCCTCGGCATCACCGCCAAAATGGAGAACGGTATTCTAATCGTGACTGTTCCCAAGACCGAGAAGGAGTGGACTGCGATCCATAAAATCGACATCGAGTAATCTTATGACGACTGTACAATGGGATAAGTAAACGGTAGGTATACCGTGAGGACCTTGGGGTATCATGGGCAACTTGGGTAAGCTGGGTGATGGGAAGGCGTTTGGGAGTATAAGCAGGAACATCTATGGATAAAATCGAGAAAAAAAAATAAGAAAAAACGCAATCACATATTATTTAGAATATAGCAATAAACATTTTTCTGTCGTGTCTGAGTCTTCAAGGGGTATCTACGTGAAAATGTTCAATAATGAATTCTTCGTTTTTCACGCGTGTTCACTCTGACACTCACCTATTAGGATCACATTTCTTAATAAACTATGACGTGACATGTCTGTACCCGTGCCACGAGGAGGAGTCTGTTTAGCTTTGCATGCTTTTTACTTATACTGCAGTATTATTCGTAGCTAATACATCCGTGTCGAGTTCTTGCATGACTTCAAGAACTAGCTGTAGGCTGTCCATGAACGAGTTGACAGCGACTCGAAGCATCCTGTTAGTGGTAGCTTTGTACTCGGTCCGTAGGATGTTTCCTCCTACATCTCCATTGGTGGCACTCTTAGTCATAGGGTTGATGGAGAAGGTTCGCTTCACCAATGGAGATAACTCCTTGTCCACTTGCAATGCATTAAGAGCAACGGAGGCAAGTCTAGGTGTTGGAAATGGCACCTCGAGAGTCCTTGAGTTCAGGTTAGCCCAAGATGATGCCTGGTCACCGATACGCGCGCAACGTACAGCACGCATGGAAATTGTATGTCTGTTGCGACCGTCATGGTGGCTGGCTATCTTGTGAGATATGACAGATATGACAGACTTGATGAATGTTGTTATGGTTTGTTTATGTTGTTTCAGTTGAAATGCTGGAATGTAGATTGCGCAATAAGAAATAATTAGATAATTTAGGTATGGATGTAAGTTGAGGTTCCAGTTTCTGGCGGGGCAGAATGGGTACTGTACAACGCATAAAAGCACTTGAGCCCTAGAGTGATGTAACGGAATAGAGGGGTTATCTGCCTACTAGGTAGTAGGTACCTAGGGTATGTTACCGTATGTAGGTAGTAGTTACCTAGTACACAATAACGATTAGTCCGAAATGATGATAAGATAAGAATTTGATTGGAATTCAGCTTGCGGCTTATGAGGCCAACGTTTCAGCCACCTAGGGAGGGAAGGCACTGTATGCTGCTATGCAAAAATTGAATAAAGAAAAAGGAAGGAAGAAAAAAAAAGACAAATGGGGCTCGGTGGTTGCTGAGCAACAGGTGGACCTACACACAGTTCCAGGGGTAGGTATAATTGTCTAAACCAAATGAGGTAAAGGGTCAAATGACACGGCCATGCAACGGCCAAACTTGGTCAAACTTGACCATAGAGACCATAGCGACCATTGCTTTCTTCATCCTTACCCCAACCAGCCCCAACCAGGGAACATAACAACAATAAAATAATAATAATAGAGACGATATCTGATACAAAAACATCCTCTCCTTGAAAAAGGTTGCTTTTACGATCTACAACATTTCTTTACTTTACACTCTTCTTATCATTCTACTACTCATTCACTAACTCACTCAACTACTCAATTACTCAACTGCTCACTCCTACTCGTTTGCCTTCAATTCCGCATTGCCGTATTGTCGTATAACAATAAACAATTCACTTCTCAATTGATTTGATTTGATTTGATTGTTAGTACATCGCCCTGTCGATTGATTTCAATCAGCCTTCCTAACATAAACCATCCCAGCTTATACACATACAATACATACATACCTACCTACTGAACAAACTCCAACGGCTATTTCTACTTAAAGTCTTGAGTAGGTAAATAAACAACCATAAAGTTCAACCGCCCAAACCTCAATATTCTTTCTTGCCTCCAATATTTAGGTGGTAGCTATACCAAAAGACCTGCGCTTGTCTATGCATAGCCGTTGAAGCTTCCTCGCCCTCGTCCAAGTTTTTACTTGAACGGGGCTCTTAGAAGAAATTTTTCAGAAAGGACAACAAACCGATTCAACAATAACAACAGCAACAACAGAAACAGCAACAATAGTTGATAGTACAGCCAACATGGCACCTTCTTCCAGGAGTTCCAACTCCGGCCAGGTCGTTGAGTACATTCCAGGTATATTCTATTTCCCTTTTCGCATTCGTCTTCATCTTCATATTCGCATTATTCTCCCCTCCAAGCATCGTCCTAGTCACATCTATTATTCCCCTTTAGCTATGACACAGACCAAGCTAGGAGACTCGCCCTCTCCCGGCCGCTCTTTCACTACCCACGCCCTATACCCATCCTTATTATTCAACGCAGAAGCCTTTCCTGTCACATTATTAACAATTGCAGACCGCCTATACCTAGCATCATATTTACATCCCCCTAACGCCGATACCGTCTTCCCTTACTCGGAACAGCCACAATCTCGCTCGCCCGGGAAACGATCACAAAGGGCGGTAGATGGACCTGCGCCTGTCCCGTCCAAGGCTGACAGACACCCTCCCTATTATTTCACTGTCGATGACATGCTTCTCTACAACGCTTTTCATCACGACTTTGGCCCGCTCCACATTGGCCATCTATACCGATTTGCTCTGTATTTTCACGACATTCTTGGCGCTAAGGAAAACCAGCACAGACCTATTGTGTTTTGGAGTCGTGCGGATCCTAGAAGTAGGTGACTCATATACATGGGGGGAAAGCATATAGTATTTACTGATTATCCTTGATAGGTCGAGCAAATGCAGCTTGTTTACTAGCTTGCTACATGGTTTTGATCCAGTCCTGGCCACCTCATTTGGCCCTCGCACCGATTGCGCAGGTCGATCCACCCTTGATGCCTTTCCGTGACGCTGGTTACAGCCAAGCAGACTACGGCATCACTGTCCAGGATATTGTGTATGGTGTTTGGAAAGCCAAGGAGGAAGGCTGCTGCGTCTTGGATGACTTCGAGCTCGACGAGTATGAGAAGTACGAACGGGTCGAGCACGGTGATTTCAACTGGATTACACCGCATTTCTTAGCATTCGCATCACCACAATCTACTCCCGCGACACGTATTACAGAGTCTTCCGAATTATTTGCTACGCTACCAAAGACGCTCGCCGCAGTGGACGCCCACCCAACTCTTTCGCAACCCTTCAAGAACGTGTTGAAACACTTCTCTGAACGCAACATTGGACTGGTTGTACGACTCAACTCTCCTCTATACTCCCCCTCATACTTCGAGGCTTTAGGAATTCAACACCTGGATATGATCTTCGAGGATGGTACTTGCCCTCCTTTAAGCACTGTACGGAAATTCATCAAACTTGCGCACGAGACAATCACTGTGAAGAAGAAGGGCATTGCAGTACATTGCAAAGCTGGTCTGGGAAGAACTGGGTGCTTGATTGGAGCATACCTTATCTATCGTCATGGTTTCACTGCCAACGAGATCATCTCCTTCATGCGGTTCATGCGACCAGGCATGGTCGTAGGCCCTCAGCAGCATTGGCTACACATGAACCAAGGCATCTTCCGGGAATGGTGGATAGAGGAGAGGATAGAGAGGAAGCTGAGGAAAGAGATGGCAGCCAGCCTCAACCTCCCACCAAGCACACCTATTCGTGCTATGCAAAAGACATCTCTCAACCGAAATGCTCAGGCCTCAACCCCCCCTAGTAGGACTCCCTCCAACCGTACCCCGCTTGGCGAGGTGGACGATGAACGCCGTAATGCCGGTGTGCAGGATGACTATCTACCTGCCCCAACTCCAGGCCAACCTCGGAAGACTAGTCGCATAGACCGCCACCATCCCTACCAGCGTAACGCAATGCAACATCCCACAGTCGAGGAGGAGCAAGAAGCATCTGAAAAGAATGTTGAGGTCGTGGCCGTCCAGAGACGATCCAACGATGCTGAGTCAGAAGAAGAATGGCTAATGCGCACGCGCACACACCGAAAAGGGTCACCCAACCGCAACGAGAAGACTCGATCCGTGAGCCAAACTACCACGACAACGATCTACCAGGTCATTGATAACGACGCATCGAACGACACGGAGAATGTTGGCTGCGGCAAGCCAAAGACTGTCGCGGATCACGTTACTGGATCACCGACACGGTCAGCCAGCGCATCTGGTGTCTTGACTAAGGTTAGAGGCAGCAAGAGGACCGCCGAGTCCCGCAACAAAGAATCATCTGGTGTACGAAAAACCAGTGGTCGGATTGGTAGTGTCAGCACCAACTCTGGTACGAATGCAACGGTACGTAAGGTTTCCGCGATGTAGGGACCCGAGACCAGGCGTCCGTTGAAAAGACTATGAGTGACTATTTTTATTCTGGTTACTACCCTTTCTTCCTTATGGGATATACACCTATTCCATGATAATCCGATTCTCGCTCAAGGGCAACTGTTTTGCTTTTTCTTAACGATGACGACTATCACGACGAGGTCACGGTTCCTGCATTAGGTATGCGTCTGGCGTTCAGGATCAACAGGAGGTGCAGGATTTTCTTCAAGTTATTCATCGACAAAGTGATCCACCTTTCTCTGCTTTTCCGCATTTTGTCCTTTATTCCCTCTCGGGAATGGATATATGCCCAAGGCGTCTTGTCTTATACATATGTATTTCACTCAGCTACCTAAGTACCTACTTGGCTAAACTAGTATTCCCTCTCTAGCTAGCTACATAGCCCCTCTACCACCATACCATACAACCTTTATCATACACAACGAATACTTGAACGACTCTTGGCGTTACGGTCACTTTTTATCTCGGTGGTGGCCTGGAAGGAAAGGGGGACACATTTTGCTGCATTTTAATCTCTTAATCGCTGGGGCTGGGGCTTTGCTTTGCTTTGCTTTGCTGTTGTCTTTTAATTCTATACTGGCTAAGGTTGAGTCGAGTGTGAAGAGAAAAGAGAGAGTAGAGAAGAAGTGTCGCCGAGCATTGGAGTATCAAGGCGAGAGAGGGAGAGGAGAGGCAAACACTTACACTGCTTGCTTACTGCTGTTGTTGCTGTTGATTATTGTTGTTGATTAGGTAGAAAATACGCGGAGATGATGGAAATTAGTTTTCTCAATCCTTCGGCGGTGTTCCTAATCATTTCTTTTTCTATTTTTCGAGGCATTGATGTTGATGTGAGTGTTGAGTGAGGTGTATGTGTGAAGTGAATGTAATGAGTGTAATGATAATGTAATGATATCTGTCCAGGTGCCCAGGTGTATACCTACCGTGAAGAGGGTAATGAGGAGCGCAATGGGTAATAAGTAATGGGAGCTTCCCTAAGCTCGGGGTTGAGGTATGTAATGCTTCGTTTCGATGCCTGGCTCAATGTAATGATGATAGGGACTGGATAAGTATGTAAGGTTAGTCTCTTGTTTCCGCTTCGGTGTCAGCCACGGCCTTTTCTTATATATAAGTATCTACCTACGGGGTTTTTTCTTCTTTGGTGAACTTGGCTTTGTTAAAGACATTAGAATTATCGAATTGTAATTTGTCGGCGGTGAGTTGAAGTTGTTTGTATCCCGTCCTGAGACCAAATGGCAGCGTAGATGCTAACTTTACACCAGCGGCAGCTTAATGTGCGACTCCGCTGTATTGTACTGGAGGTCAACCAACGTCTAGTTTGTTTATGTTGTACAACTAACCTAGGTATATATAGGTATCTAGAGGCAGCATGTAACACATAATATGTCGTAGGCAGCAAGTAGCACGCGGTGTTATATTCTCCATGTAGCCCGACCGAACATCGAGGTTCTAAGATAAGATCTCCCAGCCCCTCCTCTTCCCGGGATGCTATGGTAGGTAGCCGTAGATCATTTACGGGTTTCCTTGCCGGGAACACGTTTTAGCTATTATTATTTAACTTGCTTAGAGGAAAACCGGGGTTGGCTTTTTTACACTTTTCCATTCTTTCTAAAATCGAAGTGTGATCGGCGCCGCATGTAAACGTTCGGACATTCTTTTCAGGGGAAGGGAAACGAAACCAAACGATACCTCTGTTAGTTATAGTTAGTTACCTACCCACCTAACCTTTTTTAACCTTTACATTTCCCTTCCAAGGGGTTTACTTTTTTTTAAACCCCTTTTCCCGGAACTTAATAGCAAAATATAAAATAAAACAAGCATAACAATAAATGACCCTTAACCAGCACCACCACCAGATCGCCCAAGGTCGAGGTCGAGGTCGAGGTCGCGGTCCAAAGGCGGCGCCACCATGACAGTGAACCTGCTCCTGCCATCGCAGCAGCGGCAGCAGCAGCTCCGCGCCCTCCTGCGACGCCACGCCGTTGCCGTCATCAAGCGGCGGCGCTACCGGGCCCTGGCCCTCTTCGCGATCGTTGTGATCACGCTGGCGGTCGCGCTGCCGGTTATGCTGGTCAGGAAGCGGGATCATGAGAGGGCTGTTGAGGAGGATAAGAGGGTATGTGTTGTTCCCTATTCCCCATTCCCCATTCCCCTCCCCCCCCCCCACGCCCTCCTTCTCCCTCCGCTTTATTCTAAGAAAGGGGGGGGGGGGGGGAAGGGGGGCGAAAGAAAAAGGAAAGAGATAGCAGAAAAAAAAAAGAGTAATGGTGCTAAATACCCAAACAGACACCATCAAACCTAACCAAAGCCCGCGTGAACCTAGGCTACGCGCAGTACCAGGGGTCGCTGGTCGGCGCCAATGCCGGCACGGCCCAATTCCTCGGCATGCGGTACGCGGCGCCGCCGACGGGCGAGCGGAGGTGGCGCGCGCCCGTGGAGCCGGAGGAAGAGGATGTGGGGGACCACAAGGCTGATGTTGTGGGTTAGCCTCCTTTTTTTTTCTTTTTCCTTTTCTTTGTTTTTTTTTTTGGGGGGGTGTTTGGGAAGGGGATGGTTCAAACTACATTTTCACAGCTATGATATTTCCTTCGCTGTCCTCTTAGTTGGCTTACTTCGTAGCTCAGGGCAAAATGAGACAAGGGCTAAACAAGGCAGAAAAGGAGAAGAAGAATCTGACTGGCAAGGAGGTACCTACCTAGATATCCAAGCTAACAGACGCGACGTCGCGAATCTAGTTCGGTTCAATATGCCTAGGCATCAGCACGCCGTACCCAAATGCCTTCGGCCAGGACGAGGACTGTCTTTTCGCCAACGTGTGGGCGCCGGCTAACGCGACGGCGGAGTCGAAGCTTCCTATATGGCTTTTTATACAAGGCGGTGGTATGCTATTCATTATACCGATTCATATTTGTCTACCTACTTACTTACTCACCCTCCTACATTGCCACCCCATCCTCCTTCCCCCTTTTCCTTCTTTCCATGGAAGCAAAGCTGCCTTGGCAGATAGGTACCTAAACTAACAGACTAACATAGGCTACACGGCCAACACCAACGCCAACTGGAACGGGACCGCCGTGGTCGAGCGCTCGGGCGGCAACATCGTCTTCGTGAACTTCAACTACCGCGTCGGGCTGTGGGGGTTTCTCGCCAGCGAGCGTATGCGCACTCGCACTTACACCCACGACAACGACATCGACAGCAGTGGTGATGACGATGATAGTAGTAATAGTGATGGTGATAGTAGTAATGGCAGCAATGCTGGTGACCTCAACGTCGGCCTCCACGACCAGCGCGCCGTCATGCGCTGGGTGCGCCGGCACGCGGCCCAGTTCGGCGGCGACCCGGACCGCGTCGTCATCCACGGCGCCTCCGCCGGCGCCGGCTCCGTCGCCCTGCATCTGCTTATTTCCTACACCCCCAACACCAACACCACTAACGATATTAATGTCGATGACGATTTTAACGACGACGATGATGGTGTTGATGTAGAAGAAGAAGAAGAGGAGGAAGAAAAACTCTTCGTCGGCGGCATCGGCGAGTCCGTCTTCTTCCCCGCGCAGCCCTTCGTCGCGGATCTCGAGTGGCAGTTCGACCGCGTGCTGGCGCAGACGGGGTGTGACGACAACGACAACGACAACGACAACGACCCGATGGCGTGTCTTCGCGGCAAGGACACGGCGACGCTGCAGCAGGCGGCTAACATACCGTCGGCGTTTCCGGGACGACCATCATCATCATCATCGTCGTCGCTGCCGCTGTTCTACTGGACGCCGTGCGTTGATGGAGAGTTGCTGCGCGACTTGCCGTACAAACTGTTCGAGCGCGGCGAGTTTGTGGATGTGCCGGTGATCATGGGGACGACCACCGACGGTGCGTGTTCTCCCATCTTCTTTTTTACTCCACTGAATACCTACCTACCCAGATACCTACATAGCTACCTATATCACATAACTAGGCTACCCAACTAACCGCTCGAACCACAAAACAGAAGGCACAGTCTTCGCCCCCTCCGCCTCCAGCGCCGCCGAAATCTCCACCTTCCTGCAGAACAACTACCCGCACCTAACCCCCGCGCAGGCCACCTCCATCACGGCGCAGTACCCGCAGAGAGCGTTCCCCTCGCAGCCCGCCCACAACGCCTGGTTCCCGGCCGCCGCCGCCGCGTACGGGGAGGCCACGTTCGTCTGCCCCGCGACGTACATCCTCGACGCGGTTCGGAACCGGTCGCTTTCCACCAGCACCAGCACCACCGATACCAATACCAATACCAACAGCAGTAAAAGCCAAGCCTTCTCCTACCGCTACGACGTCCACGACGCCCCCAACACCGCCCTCGGCCTCGGCGTCCCGCACATCTGGGAGTCCTGGGCCGTCTTCGGCCCCGACAGCCTCCTCCCCCCCTCCTCCTCCCCCTCCGCCCCCAACACCGGCCCCAGAAGCTACTACACCTACGCCGCCCCCGTCGTGCACCCCGTCATGGACTACTGGATCTCCTTCGTGCGCACGCTGGACCCCTCGGTGCTGAGGGATGCGGAGGGGGGGGTGCCGGTTTGGGAGGCCTGGGGGGATAGTAGGGGGGGGAGGAGACTGGTTATGCGGGCGAGTACGGAGGAGGAGGGGGAGGAGGGGGGGGATTATGGGTTTAACTTTACGATGGAGACGGTTCCTGAGGAGCAGCGGAGACGGTGCGAGGGGTGGTGGGGGCTGGTGGATGCTATGCAGCAGTAGGCAGAAGACAGTAGGTAGGTAGGTAGGAAGAGGGCTATTATTTGGAGGCTGTATACCTATAGAGGTGTGTAACTATATTAGTGTAGCTTTATGTATGTAGGTGTGTAACTATATTAGTGTAGCTTTATGTATGTAGGTATGCATGTATGTAGGTATGCATGGCTAGACAGAGGCACGGACTTCAGCGAGTTGTTGGATAGATAAGTACCTAGATACGCACCTAGGTAGAGACGATACCCCTATGTTTCTTAATCTCATTTTATGCACAAGGTATGCATACTTGCCTAGGCGGCATTAGACAGAAAGCTTCATCATACCAAGTGTTCAAAACTGGCTATAGAAGCATAAATGACTACCTGCTTAGATAGACAGCCATCAAGCTACCGCCCATAGATGATGATCTATCTCACGATATTTTGCATCAGAGTACTATATCCTACCACTCAACCTCGTCTCATATACCCCGGCCATACCCAACCTCACCCCTCTAGCATCCCACAGCGACCGACATGGTATAACCGCACCTCTGCTCCCTTCACAACGGTTAAAGGTCTCTGCATCAACGTACGTAAGTTTAGGGTTTATAGCAGCAGCAGCGACAGTAGCATCATTCCCTTCTGTCCCATGTACAAAAGCATCGGAATTGATGAACAGCTTCGTCAATGACTTCTCTACCGCAGCCGCAGAATACTTAATGGCATCTTCGAACGAAAGGGACTCGACACGTTCGTCTTTGGGGTATACGGCAAGAGTTTGAACGAAAGTATCACTACCAGTTTCTTGGATGACGACGTGATACAGATCCGGAGCTCCATCGCTGCCGATTTTAGAGTATAGCCGTACAGACCCGGTGTTCAGTTTTGCAAACCCCAAGTGAGCGTGCCATTCCACTCCAGCCGCCCGCGGCAACTCCGCCACTTCGGCGGAGAACATGAACGGCAAAGGTTTCATCTGTGTCTCACTATCATCGTCGTCATCGTCATCAGCGTCGACACCGTTCACCACATCCCAATCTGGGAGCGGTGGCCTCGCTGCTGAGGCACCACTGTCACCGCCCGCCAACGAGATGTAAAGGGGGTTGTACTTTTGGTCCCACGGATCCACGTCGACGGCGTCAGGATCTTTCGGGATACTAGCATGCACCGCTTTCCACGCCGTCGCAGCGAGCAATGCATTGTGCTTCATATCGTCCACACTGGATGAGCGAGGGAAGTATGCTACAGCGCTGCTCCACCATTGGACCTGCATTTCGATGCCAATACGCCAGAGATGCTGTAGCGCTAGTGTGATTTGTAAAGGAGAACTGTTACCATTGCTATTACCTGAGGCCCCAAGAGGCAGATCCATGGAAGAGGGCACAAGGGATATCTGCCCTGCAATAGATATCGCGAGGGGTGACTCCGAACTTGATTCATCGTTATTGCCTCGGATTTCATCCGAGAGCAAGGGGTATGAAATAGCTTGACTATAAGGGCCAATATTTGCAGGAGCCCAGTAGGATCGAGACTGGACATGCAATCCTCGCCTATGGTCAGGCTTTGTCTTGAGACATCGCTGTACCGAAAGAAACACCGTTATATCAGCATCCCCAGGTAATAAATCACCACAGGAAATTGTGACTCGAGCCGGCGGGTTCGGCCCTGGAAATAGTGCTCCATAGAGTTTGTTCACGGTAGGGAAATCTGCCATTCGTCGCAACACGATAATAGAGTTAGTAATGGCGGTAGCGGGTAGAGTTTCCTTGTCTAGCCGCCGACGAATCTCATCTACAATGCGGGCAGTCTGGCCTTCAACACTCCCCGAATTTCCGACAAAGTACCAGTCTTGGTCAGAGCTAGTGGGACCGAAACGAGATAAGCTTGAGGGTGGTAATGGTGACGACGAGGCCTGAGATAATAGGATAGGATCATATCCCAGTTCATCGTCGTTGGGCTCATCGCATAGCGTTTGTAGTATAATCTCAAATCTCGGATCGAGTAGGCTGGGTACACGTATACTATGATCATCCATCGTGCCAGACGCTACCTCTGCATCGGCCTTCATCTCGACCGTAGCCTGGCGGATGTTTAGCCACGCACTACCTCCACCTTCGCGTACGACCCTCCTGTCGTGATCATGGATGATAATGCGACCCTTGAACAGGGAGGGTGGCCCATCAACCACGAGCGTCTCGAACTCACCGCCCTCACCGAGAACAGCGCCCCGACCACCACTCCCAAAACGTCGAAGCGCTCGCTGGATACGTGCCACACAGGTCTCACTCGCCACATTCTCCCACAGGAACTCCTCTCCCAGGCCAGCACTAGCCACTTTCACCACACGTGCCTCTAGTCCTGTGACCGCCATGTCGCGGAGTAGCTGCGCGTCATCCTTATGCTCACCACTACCCGCCTGCGGGATAGCAGAAGGAAGTGGGAGCTCGGGAAATTGCCACAAAAAAGCTAGCGGAACTAGCCCTAGGCGTAAGGCGACGGACTCGATGCGTGTGCGTTGGTATGTGGACAATATGGCACCCGTGCATAATGCGTTGACCTGTGGGTAAGCGTTGATGACAGCGCGCAGTAGCGGGACTAATGACTCTGTCTCATCTTCTTCTGTTTGTTCGTCGTGACCGCCATTAGGAGCCTGGTAACTTATGCCATGATCCACAGCGGTGCCGTGGATGAGTTGGCGGAACAGAGGTAGACCCGTGACCTGAGAGTACAGGGGGATGACTTGGTGGCCCACGGTCTGGTACATGAAACTGTTCAGGTCAGCCACTTCCTCTCCGTTTTCGTCCTGGCTGCCACCGGTATCGCCTGCTCCCGCTCCCACGGGCGCACCGTGCTGCTCCCGTTTAGGGACAGCTTCATGGCCGGGGGAGTTCCGTAGTGCCGCAACGGCCGTAGCAGCGCCAGATTGAGCTGCTATATGTCCTGGTTCAGCTATAGCCCTACTAGTAGTAGTCGCAGCGTCGAGCGGCGGGTGGAGGTTCGCCAAGGCCAGGACGCGGTGTCCATTTGCCAGACAGTGGAGAATGGAATAGAAGCTATCCTTTCCCCCGGACACCAACGCGACGACATTCAGGGGTCCGTTCGCTGCCATGACAGCATGGATGTTTTCGGCACTGAAGTAGGTAGGATTGTACACCGTGCCGGGGTTTAACAGCCGGGTTGTATTTTAGAGAATACCACTGGTAAGTCGTATTGTGCTAAGAAGTTAGAACAATAGCAGTAGTAATACTATAGCAGCAGTAGTAATAATATTATCGAGATAATGGCTATAGAGAGCAAGGTCTGGAATGCCTTTGCTAGTTTAGCGGCAAGTCATTGCGCTTGTTCGATCTCTCTTAGTAGTATAGTTAGTGTGCTACTGTTGTACTATGTAGGGTATGTACTTTGCTCGACTGTTTTGTTTTCGTCTTGACATGGCTCGATTGCCTCACTTTTTCAGTTATATCCGTATTCCGCACTCAGTAGTTTCTACAACTCAGCTGATCTCGGCGTGATGTGCCTCGCCATTCCGAAAAATACGGTCTAAAGTAGTTGAGAAAATGCCCGATGATTTTCGCTTAAGGCTCGGGTGCTAATGTGTTTAATGTAACGGGCTTATGGCGGATGCTAGGGTAGGTAGTTCCTAAGACGGCGTGGTCTTGGCAGAGATTTTGAACCATTCTTTTACCATACCTAGGGTAGGTAGTAACTTGTAGTAAGAGAGAAGAAAAGAAGAAAAGCATATAACCGATTAGGTTAGTCGGTGGAGAAGGGCGATAATAATACCCAAGTTTTCAAGAGTTACTATACGGTTTTTTTCTTAAGGGGATTTGGATTACTAAGCAGCCGCACTAGGCTTAAATAGGAAACTTTTTCCACTTTAGGAAGGTAAAGATGTTATTCACGTAAGCTTATAAGTCTCTAAGGAAGGAATTTTAAACTTTATAAAAAAGAAAAGTTTGCTAAAACTTTAAATGGCTGCTCACGTAAGCTTATAAATCTCTAAGAAAGGAATTTTAAGCTTTATAAAAAAGAAAGGTTTGCTAAGATTTTTTTTAAAGCTATATATATAACCACAAAGAGTAAAAAGCCACACATATAAAAAAAATTTAAAAAGTTTAATAAAAAAAAAAGGTTTATTAAAACTTATTTTAAACCATATATATAACTACATTAAAAGCCACTTATAAGAAAATTTACGAGAAAAGGCATTAAAATTATTAAAAAAGCTTTGAAATATTCTAAAAAAAAAAAAAATCTCACACCACATTAATTTAAACTTAAAACCTTAACATTAATAATTTCGCTTAAAAGTTAATATATATTTTAATTAAGTTATAGCATAAATTAATTAATATTTCATTAATTATAAAATAATTAATACGTTATATTTCAAATAATTAATAATACTTTAAAAAAACTTTATATATATAAAAGTTTCCACCATTAAAATTATATAATAAGTTATTTTATATTTAATTAAAAATTTAAAATGTTAGGTTATTAAATAAAATAATAGTCATTTTTTTACTTATAATTAAAAAAATTAAAACTTTTAAAGAATAAGTTCTTAAATTATAATAATTTTTTTAAAGTAGCTTTTTAAATAAGTTATATTATAATAATAAAGAAAACTTAATTATATAATAAGCTTTTAAATACATCCTATGTTTTTATAAAAATATCACCTTAAAATAATATATTTACCGGTTTTTTTTTAAAGGCGATTAAGCTTAATTTCCTTTATAATTATAAGGGTTTTTTTAAAAAAAATTAAAAATAACTCATTATAAAACTTAAATATTAAATTAATTAATAAATAATATTATTATAAACTTATAACATTTCTTAACTACTTAATTTATCCTAAGTATTAAGGTTAATACTTACTTTTTTACTAATTAAATTTAAATTAAACTTAAGCCTTATAAATTTATTTATGCGGTATTATAATTAATACTTTTTTAAAGTTTTTCGTTTTAATTTATTTAATCGCTTAAACTTAACTTATATTTTAAATAAAATCCGTAAATAAAGATAATGTTTTTAATTAATAAAAAATAACAAATAAAATCCATTTAAGCTTATAACTTTTAATAATTATACATATATAATTATAAAATCCGTTTTTTTTTAATTACTTAACTTAAACGTTAAATTTAAATAAGTTTTAAGGAGCGTTTACCTTTGTAATTTATATTTTATTATCGTAAATATTAGTGTAAAAGTATGTTTAAAACGATTAAAAGGTTTCTTATAAGCTATTATTTTAATTAACTTTATTATTAACACTTATTATAAAAAAATCGTTAATAATTCTTTCTTTAATTTAAATAATTACATATTTTATATGGTTGTTAATGTTAAAATAATAGCTTTTAAAAATTAGATAATTATAAATATATTTTAATTAACCTTATATACATTATATTTTAGATTTAAGATAAATACACGAGTATTATATTTAACCTTATTTATTATTTTTAACTTTTTATAATTATTTATTATTATTATTATTAACATTTCCTTTATAAACAATAAATACGTTAAAACCTTAAAATTCGATTAATTTATTAACTTAAATATTATTTAAAAAGATTAAATCTTATTTAAAAGCTTTAGTTAATAAGTTAAAAAAAAAATAAAAACTTTTTAATTTCTTTTTTTAATAAATGTTAAAATAGCTTATAAATTAATTATATGTCGCATAAAATTCAAAAATATAATAACTTTAGTTTTATTATTTAACGCGATTTAATTTAATTACATTAATTAAGAGTTAAGTATAATAATATCTTTTATTATTTAAGTGTTTTTTCGTAACCGTATTAATAATACGATATAATTTAAATTTATAATTCGCATTTACTCGTTTAAAATTATTATTATTATAAACGTTTCCTATATTTTATAGCCGAAATAATAATTATTATTATTTACATAAAATAATGCATTAATTTCCTTATAAATTTGTTAATTAATAAACCTTTTAAGATATAAAAGTAATATTTTATTAATAAATTTAAATTAAAGGAAATCTCCGTAAAAAATAATAATAAATATCCCTTTAAAAAATTTATTATAATTTGATTATACCTTATATAATTAAGCATTTATTTTATATAAATCTTAATTAAATATTATATTACATTTATTAATTATTAATATGTTAACATTTTTTTAAATAATTAACTTTTTAAATAATATACCTCGTTAATTATTAAAAAAAAATTCTATAATTAAATATATAATAATGTTATTAATATTAACATTAACATTTTTAAAAGTTACGATAACTTAAATTCGCCTTTAAAATCCTTTAACTTATAAAGCTTAAATTAATATTTAAATTATAACACTTTTCTTAATACCTTTTATTTTATTAAAGTAGTAAAAAAATTACATATTATTTAAATTTATAACTTAAATATAATTAAAATTTTGCTTTTTAATAGTATTAATTTTATTTAAATGTCGGAAAATTAAACTAAAAAAGATTACCTATTTACGATTTAACTTTTTTTATTTAATAAAAATAGTATTAATTTTAACTTATGTTTATTTAAAATAATATTCGATAATAAATCTTATTAAACGGTTATTAAAACGTATTATTTACTTTTAAGCTATATAAAAAATAACATTTAAAGAAATAAAATTATGGTTTATACTTAATAATTAAGCGTTATAAACGTTTTAAATTACATTATTAAGGCGATTTTCCTTTTTTAATAAGTTTTTTTTAACTTTACTTATAATTTCTTAAGTAATAACTTTATTTATTTACTTTAACTTTCTTTTTTATAATTATATATAATTTTTAAGAGTAACGTTAAAATAAGTATTAGTTTTAATAAAAGTAAGAGTTTTTTAATTAATGTTATAAAGAATTTTGTGATAATATTTTAACTTAAGTGAGATTAAAAAGTTAATAAGTTTAAAAATGCCTTTAATATAAATAAATTAAAGTAATTAATTAATTTAATTCTTAAATATTGACGCACTTTTTCGTTAACTTTCTTTAAAACATAAGCCGATAATAATATAAAACGCGTATAAATTTTTAAAATCTTTTTATTTATTTATTTCCTTATTTTTATTTTTATTCGATAACTTCTCGTTATTATTTTTATCTTTTTTTTTATTATACTTAATAAAACCTTTAAAATCTACGCAAGCATTTCAAATTTTATTATTAAAGATAATATTTTCTTTAAACTTCTTAAAAAAATTAAAATTATAATCGATAAATTATAATTAGTTAAATAAATTTCGTTTAAATCGTTTTTATATTTTTAAAAATATTCTCGTATTTTATCTTAAGAATTACTTCCACGGTATAAATAAAGTTAAATAAATAATAATTATTTAAATAAAAGCTTTATTTTTAATAAAATTTAAAAAATATAAACTTATTAACATAAATATTTGTATAACTTTTTTTAATAAAATGCGTTAATAATATTTTTTAGCTCGTAAAAAACCCATAAATTTAATATATCGATTAGTTATAACATTTCTTAAAAAACGTGATATAATGTTAACCGTTATAACGTAATTATATAAGCATAAATTAGAAAATATTAATTCGTATAAATAATAACTTTAATATATAATAAGTTTAATTTTTTTAGTTTTATAAAAAAAAATAATTTTATACGTTTATTATTTTATGTCGCCATTCGACACTTTAAAAACCAAATATTTTAAATGTGGTTATAAATGTTAAATAACGTAATAAATAATAATATAATATAATTAATACCACTTAAAAACTAAGTTATAATATATATCGTAGCTTAATAAATGGTTGCATACTTTAATAAATAAAATCTCTCGATTAAAAAAAATACGATTAAAAATCTTAACTATAAAATTATAAGTAATTGTTGGTAGGTACGTACGTATGATAAATTAAATAATAAGTAAAGCAAGAACAATGGGGGTGAGACTGGTGTAATATTGATGTCTAAGGAGGGAGGTTTAAATCTAAGAGTAAGGAAGGGATTTAACTCCTTATATAATTTAAGTTATAAGGGTATCTTTTCTAGCTATGTACGTACCGCGTTGGTACGTATTTTTGTTATATAACCACTATTCATTTTATTTTTTTTTTGCGATTAATTGATTGCGAACGTTACGTCTGCTTTACGTTTGATCTATCCTTTTAGTCGTAGATTAATTTAATTAGCCTTTACCAGCGTTTTTATGGCTTCGTTCGGAGATGTCTTGGTTATAGCATCGGCCGGGTTGCAATTGCTTTGGATCTAACGGATATCATCTATTTCCCGGTTTTTATAAGATTGTCGAAGAGCTATTAAGTCGATTATTAGTTGTTTTTTATTTGTGTTTTCTATTTGGACCAAGCATTGGTATAGCGAGAAGGAGTTAGTGTAAAGTACGAGGGGAATCTTGGGGAGCGATAGCCGTTTTAAGATGGTGTTGAGAGTGTGATGAATGACGTAGCCGATGTCGAAGCCTTGGATCATCCTATAGATTTTATTAGCTAATATATTACGTGTGATCCGTTTGTACTTAGTGGATGACTAATGGATAATGTTTCCGGTGATTTGCATTTTATTGTCTTGGTCGGTGGTTTGTTCGGTTCTTAAGATAATAATGTAATTAATTTGTGAGTTGAGGTTTTGGTTGTTTGCGAATGATCCGTTAACGAAGATGTATAGGCGCAGGTTTTGGGGCTCGAGGTTAACATAATTGAGCCTTTGATTTTTATTATCCAATTGCCACTTAATTCTGGCATTTAGCGCCTTTACTTCCTTAGGCCCTGGCTATAGGTGTTGGGCCGTTGTTGAGTAGTTAAAGGCAGCTTCGGGTTGGCAAATTGATAAGATGTACGCTTTCCGGGCCTTTTGTTCGACGAATCTTTTGATCATATCCGGGGCCTTGGGGTCTAGGAGGCTAAGCTTCTCAGCTTGTCCTTTCTACATGGTAGAGACATCGTAGCCTTTTTCGTGGACCATAATTCTTAAGCCGTTAAAGTCTTCCGTTCCTTTGTCTAGGATTTTCTGGGGTCGTGTTTTAATACCTACCTCCGTGAGTGCTTTATCTTTAGCGGCGAGGAACTTATTCGTACCGACGTTGAGAGTGTCGTCCGTTTGAAAACCGGTGAGCCTGAAGGGGTCTAACTGTGTTACCAGCAGGCATGGGTCAAACGCTAATGGTTTCATGTGCAGCTGCTGTTAATGGTGTCGCGAATAAGTTTCGAACCAATAGGTTCCCGATTTAGCGAGACTATATAACGGTTTTATGACTCGCAGCAGCGTCTTCTCGGGATATTTTTCTTTAAGTTCGGCCGGCAGGCATATCAGAATCATTCGTTTTATTGGCGTGGCCGATTGGGTATAGGCCATCGTGATATCTCTTATCATGACCTTCATTTCTTGGTGACGCAGCATGGGTGTCAAGGCGAGTATCATTCGTTGACTAGCCCTCTGGATCGTGGGGGCGTACGTTATGATGAATTTTTTGTCGGGGTTACCGTAGCCTTGAACTACCAATCGTGATTTCTTATAGGGGGCAGAGGTGTTCTTGTCTTTGACCTTTTGAACCATTTGTGACTTGAAGATGGTTGCGTCTTGATGGGTCATTGGGTCATATACTTTAGGTTGAAGGATGCCTTCTGTAAATAAGGCGTTTAACTCTTTTGTGTCCGAGGCTTCATATGGTTTGTCTGGGGCGACAATCTTGCCGTCTGCTCGTAGTTTGAGTGCCAGGGCAAGGTTATCTTTCTCCTTTGCCGAGAGATATAGGCTTGTAACGTGAGAAAGGTCATCAGCAATCATGAGGTTTTCTTCGGGGACGATGGCATAGTCGTTGGGGTTGAAGGTTGGCTTCGGTAATTGCACTTCGAGCTTCTTTGATGGTATTGGGGATTCTTTCGGCTGGGTGTAAGGTTTGATATGGGTGCTTCTAAATGTTGACGTGCCATCTGAAGTGTTGGAAGCGACCGTGACGTCTTTGTCTATAACGGTAATGACTTTGTGTGGTCCCTTCTATCCATCCTTTTCCCTGTAGACGAGCACGTTACTGCCTATGGGGAGTGATATGGGGAGTGTTCTTTGGGTGTTGGGGCCATTTCTCGTATTTAAAGCATCCCTGATTGATCGTTGTGCCTTTAACTTTTTGATCTTTACCATCGCTTTTTGAATGGCTTGAGCCCTTTGAGTTTGCGCCGGGGTTGGTGGTGAATCCATGTTGATTTTTGGATATGCGCCGAAGACCAGAAGGGTAGGAACAAGACCGTCGGGGTTGGCTGTGTCGTTTACTACCTTGACCGCCATTTGGAGTCGAGACACCTTTGACCCTGATCTTTGGAGTTTTTCGCTTATGATTTCATAAGCTCTTCTCACAGGACCGTGGTATTCCTCAACCTTGCCAATTGACCAATGCGCTTCCACGGGGACTTGGTGGCAGGTAATTCCTGCGATGCGGGCCTCGTTCCTGAACTCAACGCTGTCAAAGTTCGTGCCGGCGTTATGTGTGATGACATCTGGTGGACCAAGATATGTGTCGATCCAGCATTGCCTCAGCATCTCCCAGGTTTCCTTGGCGGAGAGATTCTTCATGAAGCGTGCCGCCTGGAAACCTGTGGCTGCATCAACGACATGGAGGACAGGTCGTTCATCCAGGTACATGATGTCGACGATCACTTCATAGTTGAAGTCCACATCGGGATCCTTCAGGCTGAACCTGAACCTCTGAGGGGCATTGCCTTTGATTTGGCAATGGTGGCAGAACTTATTGATTTCCTTGATGTCACCAATCTCGACGTCATGGCCAGCCTTGTCCAGCAAGTTGTATAATTTGCTGACCGATGGATGGCCGAAACGGGTATGTAGACGTCGCAGCTCCGTTTCCGTGAAGAATGTGGTATCTTCGAGATGGAACCACGGGTGTCCCCATTTACGGGTGACGTTGATGGTGATGCCGTCCTTGCAGACCAGCTGGTTGGTGACATTGTTGAGGTACACTCCCAATCGATCCATGTCCTTCAGCGACAGAAGGAATGGGGTGTCGGTGTCCATAACATGGAAATCGATATGGCCAAAGGGGGTGTCGATGGTGACTGTCCCGAGAGATTCTGTCGGTTGTCCGTCTCCGAAACGGATCTGGGCTTCTCCTGCGCGGGATTTGTTCATCGTGACTCGTCTGTCGGGGTGCTCCTTGATGAAAGCCAAGCACTGTCCCTTTCCGACCGTGGATATTCGAGCGGCACCTGTGTCAGGCATGATGCCTTGGAAGACATCCTTCGTGTATCGGTCTAGGAAGAAGATGTTGTCGGTTGTCGCTGCGTTCGAGAGGGGGCGGGCGATCATGCGATGCTGGAAGGCTTGGTCGGACAGGTGGGCAGCGGTTAGGAAGAGGTCGTTGTCATCATCGTGGTCTGCTTCTGATGTTGCCGCTTCGTCTTCTTGTTCCGCTTCCGAACCGGGATCATTGAGTCCCTTGTAATCCGCCAGGAATGTTGCGTAGTTCTTAGTTGATGAGCCACGCTTGCTCTTCCATTCCTTTCTAGCCTTCTTCCGTTCGTACTCGGAATGCTTGGTGGACCAATAACCTTCTTTTTTGCAGACCCAACATTTGCGCTTCCATGATCTGGGGGACTTTTTGGCATTGTACTTGCCACCCTTATCTGTTCTATGGTATTTGCGATTCACATAGAACTGAGCGTTTTTTTCTTCATCATCGCTATTGTTAATATACCTGTAGTTGTTCAGCCTAGCCGTCTTGAAGATCTCATAGGTCCTAATCGACGCCCGAAGCTTGCTGGCCAAGTCTTCAAACCTTGATGATGGTTCGAATAAGGCGTGTTGTAGCTGAGGTATAGCACGGCAGGCGCGATGAATAGATGCAATGAGTTGTTGTTCCCCTCTGAATTTGGGGCCAAGCGCTCGTTGACATAGAGAGAGCTTGTCGAGGAGAACTTGTAGCATTTCCAAGTCACTTTTTCTTGCATTTTTTTTGTCATTTTTAACACTGAAAAACGTTGTTGCAGTCCAATCATAATGATACTGGATCTTGTTTTGTTCAGTGTTAAAATGTCGTTCCATAGCTAGGTATATGTCCGTGAAGGTCCAATAGCGTGGGACATTATGAAGAAAGTATAGGGCTGCCTTTTTTGTGAGGATTGTAGAGAATATAGTATGAAATTGCGTTTGCCGTATTTTTGCCGTGTAGCAGATATTAAGGAAGAATCGAAACTTGTTTTTGAGGATGTCGTATGGCTCGCCCGTATAGTTGTTCTTATTGTTTCAGGCCTTTTTGAAATGGCCAATAATGGTTGGTGGACATATCTTATTGGAGACTCGTGCAGGGGGAACATCATAGTAAGTAATGCCTTTTTGGTTACCGATAGGCATTTGTGTTTGCTACTGTTGGTTAGGTGTCGGTAAAGGCAATGGTGTCGTTTGGGAGGAGAAACCTAAGTTTTTGCCGGGGTGGTTTGCTCCTTTTGGTGCGGGTTTTGGAGGTAGTGCCGAGGACATAAACGGACCTCCCGGTGGCGGTCTAGGGGGTCCTGTACCATTTCCCGGGGCTACTTGGCTACTTTGTGACTGCCTTTCTTGGTCACTTTGACCAGATCCCTGCCATGAAGTGTTACTATGTGGGGACCCAGGTGGAGGATCTCTGGGATTCGGCGGCTGTGAGGGGGGTATTGGGGGTGGTGCTGGTCTCTGGGATTGCGGAGGTGGTTGGAATGAACTAAAGAATCCAGCCCCAATAGGTGCTTGAGTGAAAGGAAGCAGGCCATCACCCGTTCGTTGGATAGGGTCCGGCGGCTGTGGAGCCGGGTTCTGTGATTGGCCAGGAGGGGGAGGGAATGGATGAAATTTCGAAGAGGGGTTGCTGGGGTTACGAGGGGATTGAGGTGGAGGGGGCAGCGGGTCTAAAAACGGTCGTTTTTCTGGAGCAGGAGGAGGTGCAGCGGGGGTGGTGGATTGAGCAGGATTTTGGGGCGTTTGTGGTGTTCGTGCTAACGATTGCCTTAGCCGCTGTGCCTCAGGGATGACCGGACCCAATTTCGTTTGGTGCACAGATATCCTCTAAGCTAACGTATTAGGCTATTTTGTCTGGGCTTGTATTAGGTTTTGGGAGCGCCAACGTGGTGGCCTTTGCATGTTTACCAGGTCAGCCAACCTTTCCGCGTGATTATCGTTGCTTTTTCTTATATAGATCCCTCGTTGCATGAGTGCGTTTCGTAACGTCGTTCGTAGCACCTTTGGCATTCTACTGAAGTCATCCAGGTGGAATATGTCGAAATATCTTTTGTATTTTTCGAATGTCTCCTCCGTTGTGCGAGCGTGGCTGGCATTTTTGTCGGTTGTTTCGAAGTCGGCGAGGGCTAGTAATGCTTAGGTATTCTTTTGCTTCTGGGTGGCAAATGGTGGTATTTTGTCCCACCTAACGACCTTTGGGGCGAATTGCTGCTTCAGCAATGTTATTCTGCCGGGAACGAAATTTAGTAGCTCGTGCAGCTCGTCCATATCTTTTTGGGCAGCGGGGTTGACATCGATGTTGTGGCCTTTAGGTTGTGGCTGGGGCGCCGGGGGTGGTGCCGATCTTCTTGGGGTGGCTATCGTGTTGGCAGTTGGTGCAGGGGAATTTGGAGGAGAGGGGGAGTGTAAGTCGGTATTATTGTGTAGCGATAGGGGTTTGAAACGGTTGGGTGAGGCAAAATTATATTTTGTTATAAATAGAATATAGGTGTTGGAAGAATGGTTGTTGGTGTCGTTTGTGTTGTTGTGATGAGGTTTTCCGAGTTGTTATAGCAGTGACTTTTCTAACTTTGCTAATTTGTGTTGTTAATAGTTTAGTAATATTGATTAGTGTTGGTAGGTATGTACGTATGATAAATTAAATAACAAGTAAAGCAAGAATAATGGGGGTGAGATTGGTGTAATATTAATGTTTAAGGAGGGAGGTTTAGATTTAAGAGTAAGGAGGGGATTTGACTTTTTATATAATCTAAGTTATAAGGGTATTTTTTCTAGCTATGTACGTACCGTGTTGGTATGTATCCTTGTTATATAACCACTAGTAACCTTTATTTTATTATCTTTATTAATAAAAATAAAAACTTTTATTATCTTTTTAAAATAAGTAATAAGTAAAATTATTTTTTAATAAATTAAAACTTTTCTTTTAATTATATAATTTATAATATAATGTAATAAAGCTAAAGTTTAAGCTTTAATAAAAATTAAAATAAAGTTATAATTATAATAAAAAGCCGCCGTTATAATTATAAACTAGTAAATAAAGCTTTAATAATTTCTCTTAAAATGTAATACATTTTTAATATTAATATATGTTTGGTTAATAAGTTTTTAAAGCCAGTTAAATCGATATTTTCTAGCCTTATTTAAGCTTTTCTTTTTCTTAAACTTCTTAATATACTTATAATAAGTAACGATACAACGGTAAAATTAAAAAATAATAATAACATAATAAGTCTCTTACTTTTATTTAGCTTTTATTCGAATTAAATTATTTAATAACTCCTTTAAAAATTAGAGTTAATTTCCCCCGTTTTAAGCTTTCTCTTTTAAAATAACCTTATTAAATCTTTTTTAAAAATATTCGTCCACTTATTTAAAAAAATAGCAATTTCCTTAATATCGTTATTAACTACCATGTTTTACAATAAAATCTTAAAACTAACGTTAAGAAAAAATTAAAAGAAATTATAAAAATAAAAGGTATTATAATTATTTATTTTTATTACTTTAAAGTAAGTATTAATAAACTTAAACGCTTTATTTTTAATCGTAATACGGATAACCTTTTCGAAAAAAGCTTTAATGTAATTATAAAATTATATAATAATAATTATAAAATCTTAATTAACTTTTTTTAAATAAATGCGATACTTATTAATAATATAATGGAATTTAACTTTTAATTTTTACTTAATTTTTTAAAGAAACTTATAGCTATAAAATTTTTAACCTATTTTAATATAAATAGGTAAAAATAAATCATTTAAGTTAAAAGTAAATTAAATTATAAAAGGGCTATTTTTCATTATTAAGCTTTTAATTATATTTTATTAATAAACCTTTTCTTTAATAAAAAATAATTATTAATAATTATAAACCGAAATTTATTATAATAGTTTTTTTATAAGAAAATTAAAAATAGATTTATATTATTTAAATTCCCGGTTAACTTCCTTTAAACTCTCCTTAATTAAATGTTTATAAATAACGTAAACTTAATTAAATAATAATTTATTAGCTTACGCCTTATTAATTTAACCGCTATTATTTTTAATAATATAATTAAAGATTAAAAATAAGAATATAAAATAAGTCGTAATTAAAACGTTATATTAATAAAAGAAAATTAACGCTTAATTATAAAAGTTAATTATTAAATTAAAATTAACATAAAAGTAAAAATAAAAAATAAAATACTCTTTACTTTTTTAAGTTAAAGTTCTTCTTATAATACTTTTTAAGCTTATTTTTCTATTTTTAATTTATTATAATAAAACCGCTTTAACCGTAAAAGAAAATTTTAATAAAAATCAAAACAAAATAATAAAAATCTTAAATCGTAAAAAACTAACTGCCTAATAAAACATAAAAATAAAATTAACTATTAATAAAGCATTTTCATTAAAATTAAAAACCAAATAAAACTTATTACACGATATTATTATTAATATTATTCGCAAACTTTTATTTACACTTAAAAAATTATTAAACATATTAAACTTTTACCGCGTCACTTACTAAGTTTTTAAACTTTTTTATATCGAAAAAACTAAAAAACGTAATAATAAATAACATCTTAATATATTTTTCCTTAATATAACTCTTAAAAAAAAAAATACTTTTTATTTCGTTTTTCACGTTATTTTATTTATCCTTATTAACGTTATTTTAAATACCATCCTCCGGATTAAGGTATACGCTTAAAATATTTCTTAAGTTAAACTCTTCGTTAAACTTAATTAAAGGATTATTAAAAGTATAAATTAAAAAATAATTACTTTATTTTAAAATATAATTAAATCGTTTAATCAATTTCGTTTCGACGTTTTAAATATATGTAAATCTTTTTAATATTTAAAATAATAAAATCTCGTTTTTTTTATTAAAAACATCTTAATATAAATTATTTAATAAAACTTTAACATATAAGAAGTTATGGTTAATTAACTATAATAAAATTACTATTATAATTAATTTATAAAAGCTTAAAAATGGAAGGAGATTTTTCCTTTTAAGCTTATTAAAATTATATTAAATAATATAAACATCGTTTATTATATCTTTAATAAGTTAAGATAATATTTTAATAATAAAGAAAATATCGTTCGCGAATATAATAACATAACCTTTAATTTTACGATAAAATAAATTTATAAGTTAGTTATTTTTAAGATTTAACGAAAACTTTATAATTATATTAAAAGCATAACTTTAAGTTAAAAACCTTTCTTTTAATAAACGGAAAATTTCTAGCTTTATAAAATATAAGTGAATATAAGGTATTTAAAACATATTTAACCGATAATAAGTAAGTATTTTACTTTTTTTAATAGTTAAAAAATAAAACTTATAAATTTAAATAAAAAATAATCGTTCACCGAAAAAGCATTTAAAGTAATTTAATCGATAAAATATTTTCTTAAGATTAAAGAAAAAAGGCTTATTTAATAAAGATATTAATCGTTTAAGAAACTATTATTATAAGATAAGTTAAAGCTTTTTTACGTAACATTAAACTAAATATAACCGATATTATTTTAAAGGTAAAAAGTTTAAAATCTAAATCCTTTTTTAAAAATTGGAGATATATTAAGCTTTAATGCGTAAGTTAATAAATTTAAAAAAAGATTTAAATTAAAAGTCGCACTTTTTATTAAAAAAATCATCGTTTAAGCTTTGCATAAATTTATTTAAAATTACAATTAATCTTTGTTTAACGTTTAATTTAAAGGAATTAAAAAAAGTAAAAGGTTAATTTTATACGATAAGCGAAGTAGATTAATTAAATCTAATAAAATTAAAACTAAGACGGCTGGATTTAACTTAAACATATTAAATTAGCTAAGATTTAAGGATAAGTGTAAAGTAAGCATTTTTAAGAAGCATTTTATTATTTTTAAAAAGAGTATTGTTTAAGTTAATAGGGTTGGCTTATTAGTTAAAATAAATCTTTAATGTAAAGTACGAAGTAATATATGATATTTAGTTAAATCTAAAATTTAAGGGGTATAAAAAAAGCGGTTGGTGACAAGGAAAGGGGATACTTTTATTAAAATATAAATCGGATTTTTTAAATTTAGTTTTAAAGATTATTTAAATTACGATATAAGTGTTAAAGTGTGGCCCGATTTAATAATAACTAAGGATATAATATTAAAATTAAGATATAATTTAAGGTGGAAGAAATTAAAAAACTTATAAATTATACGATAAAAATAATAAGGTAATTTTTCATTTAATATTATTTAAAATTAATAAAATTAATAAATATACAAGTAAAGTAGTTATATCGTTTTTCGAAATAATATTAAATAGCGAATATAACGTATTAAAAGCTATAATTAAACATAATAATCCTTTAATAAAGAATATAATATTTTAAACGTTATTATAATAAGTATTTATAAAGGTTTAAAATAAATTAAATTTAAATGTTAAAGCTTAAAGCTATATTAGGTTAAAAAGCTTCTCGCTATTTTTAATAACAAGGAGAAATATAATTTATAATAAAGGAAAAGTTAAGTAAAAATAACGAGTAAAAGTTTATATATAAGTTATTAATAAAATTAAATAAATTAACCTAAATTATGTGAAACGATATTTTAAACCACTTTTAATAAGTATTTTTAATAAAAATTATGTAATATAAATATGGGTTATGGCTTAAGTTAATATTATAGTTTTTTTTACATATATATTTTACGTATAAAATATTTATAAGATAAGAGGGAAATTATTAAAAAATAAACTTAATTTAATAATAAACTTAAAATATCAAACGAAATAATAAACTTAAAAAATGGCTTAAATTATTTTTTAACGGATATAAGTAACGACGTTAAGGGTGTTATAAGTATAAGGTTAGGAGAAAATTAATTAAAAAAAGGAAAAGGAATTGCGGTGAAAAATAAAACGAAAGGGTATTATAAAACGTAGATGTAATTAATTGCCTTAAAAATGTTATAAAAGTGTCGCTTTATTAAATAAATCCTTAAAATCTAACCGTTTAATATAAGAGATATATAATGTAATTATTAGAATTACATTGTTAAAAAAAAATTAACTTAACCTTTTAACAAATATTGATAGTAACGTTATGAGATTAACTATGTATTAATTTAATAAATAATTAAAATTTAATAGAAAATAAAATTACGAAAATATAATCGTAAGTTTCTTAAACGTATATATAAAATTAAGTAAAGTAATAAAAATAGTAATATATAATAAACTTAAAAACATAATATAATGTTTATATACCTTTTTTTTAATTAAAGGTTATCGATATAAAACGGAAGCGTTTAAAAAGATATAATAAAGATGAGATTATTTAACTCACGGCTTAAGTATAAAAGGATATTTTAATAATATATAAAAAAAATAAAAAAACCACGTAATAAATATTAATAATAAAAACCTAATAAAGGAAACTAATTTATAATATTGTAAATTAATTTTAATTAAGCAAAAAATGATAAGATTAATAAAATAATAACCACGAATAAATAATAATGGTAACGAATAAGTTAGTTATAGTTAATAACATATAAATACGTTAAGAATAATATTAAAAAATAACGTATATTAAATAAGTGGATAATAAAAAAGCGAAAGGCATAAAATAGAATAAATTAAATAATAGTTTTACACGGTAGTTAAGGTCGGATATTAGGTAATAAATGATATTATAGGAATAAATAAAGAAAAGAAAAATATAAATATTACGTTAAACTACGACTAAAGGAGAAAGGAATTACTTAAATTATATTTTTTTTATAATTTAAATCTATCCCTTAAAACATATTTTAACTTATTTTTATTAAACCTAATTATAAACTTAATTATAAGTCTTATTTTATTTATACTTATAACTCCTATAAAAGGTAGTATTAAAAAAAACCGAATAACGATATTAAAACTTAATATTAATTTTATAAGTATAATTATAAAGGTTTAAGCTATTTTAATTAATAAGTAATTTATAAAGTTTGGAAATATTATTTTTATTATTTATGTGGTAACGTAATTGCTATTTTTTATTGTCGACTTTAATATTTAAGCATATCTTAAAAATATACATATAATTTTTATAATATATATTTTTTTACGTGATTTTATAAGTTATATATTAAGAGAAAACGACGTGGTTGAGATAAATAATAACTTAGCGGTTTAGGCATTTCGCATAAATGCCACGATAAATAATATAAAAGATTTTAAATAGGAAACTTTATTATTATTTTCCTTAAAAAGTATTTAATAATAAGTGATAAGCTTAGGAAGTTAATAATAATGTTATTAATTAATGTAATTTTAAAAGTATTTAAAATATTTAAGTAATGAATTATAACATATTATACCCGCTTTAAAACCAATAAATTAATTATAATTTCCATAAAAAGTTATATAATATATTAAAGAATTTTAATATTAATCTTAAAGTAAATAAATTAAAATTTTTTTTATAAACCGGTTATTTTATCGAGATATAATATTATATTAATCGAAAAAATAACGCGTAACCGCTTAAATTAAAACTAACTGGAGTTTATAACTTTTATATATTCTTATTATTTAATAAAAAAGTAAAGAAAAAAAATGCTTAAGCTATAAAAAAAAAATATAAGCTTAAAAACAAATAATTCATTTTTATAATAAAATAAATTATTAAATAACTTAAATTTAACTTTATTACGTAAGTAAAAAATAAAGTAGGAATATTTTTTAGCTTTGCTTTAATTTTAATTATTTTCCTTAATGAGAATATACGATAAAGCATAATTATAATTACGATTAACTTTTTTAATAACACTTTAACCCTTATTAAATCTTCTTAAATAAAGCTTAAAAAAAAGTTTTTACTTATAAAAAAAAAGCTCCTTAAGTATAAAAAAAAATGCTTAAAAGAAACATTTCACCTTTTATGGGTAAGGGTAAGGCTTAGTTTTAATTAAAGAAAAATTCGCAAATAAATCTTATAATTATCCTTTTTAACGATAAATCTTTTATTGTAAATAATAAATCCTTTATTGTAAATAATAAATCTATTGTAAATAAACTTAAGTTTATAAGTAAAAATAAAGAAAAAAACAATTAAAATAATTTAGTAATTATTATTTTAAATTTATAATAAAAGTTAAATATTTTTATAAAAAAAGAAACTATAGTTTAAATAAAACTAAGCCCGTTATTTACATTAATAATATTAAAAAAAGAACGGTTAGTGTTAAAACGGCTTAAGGTGAATAATAAAAGTAACGATAAGTTATATGTGATTAATTAAGTGGTAAATAAGTTAATAAATAAATAACTTAAGTAATAATAATAAGTGAGGTAATTAATTACGATAAATACTCTTCTTTTTTAAGTAAGATAAAATTATTTAAACGATAAGTTAATAATAAGCGAAATCTAAGATTAAAGGAGGATTAACGTTTTAAGTTTATATCGCTTTTTTTTACGGCTTTAATTTAATAAGAATTTTATGAGTAAAAGTATTAAAAAAAATTAATAGAAAAAATAAAAGTTAAAGGAGTTATAGGAAAAAAATGGTCGAATAAGCTAGTTATTATAACTAATAAATACTTATTTAATATAATACCACATTTTTAATAAAATAAGGCGTAAGCTTTAAATGCCTTAAATATGTTCTTGTATTTATAAGTAATATATTATAAGGCTTTAACTTAGGATTTAATTTTAATTGGAAAATTTTATATGGCTTATAAAGTTCCCCTTATTCACTTAAACAACGTTAAAAAATTTAAGATAAAATGTTTAAGGTAATATATTAAATTATATACCTTACGCGTTATAAAGGCTTATTTAATTTATTATGTAAAGATTTAATTAATAAAATATTATAGGAAAAGTACGGTTCGAAGATTAGTTAAAATATTATTTTATAATTTTAGGATAGCAAAAAGTTAAATTATTAATAAGTAAAAGCTATTAAATTAAAAATATAGTTAATTATAAAATTTTCTAAATTTTCGATTAAATATTATAGGTTTTAATCGCGAAAAAAAGCTCGAAAAACAACTTTTCCCTATAATATTTTTTAAAAAATAGTAGCGTAAAAAAAAACGTAAAAAATTAAATAAAAATTAAATTAAAAAGCTTAAGGTAAGTTAAGAAATTAAGCTTAGCCATTAATAGTTAATTCCGTTACTTTTAATAAACTTTGTAATAAAAATATTTAATAAATAATTGTTATTTATTACTTTTCACTTAATAAACTTAAGGATAAAAGTCTTTAATAACTTCGTTATATATAATTAGTTAAATTCGTTAAACTTAAGTAAGGCACGAGAAATATTTAATAAACTAGATAAACTTTTAATTAATTAAAATGATTTATAATTAAAGCTTATAATTTTATTAAAAAAAACGGCGTTTAAATATAATAATAGCTTAAACATGTTAATAATAAAAGACGTTAATAAATTACACGTCTTTAAAAGTTATTAAAATCTCATTACTTAACCTTTATTTTAAAGGGTAAGATTAAAGCGAAATAAAATTTAGTTTAAAAAAAACGCGTTAATAATACCGGCGAATATAAAAGAGGTTTTAATAAGTATACGGCTTAAACGTGAATACTTATATTTATTAATGGAGGAGATTTATATAATAAAATTTCTTATATTAAAAACTTAAAAAATAAAAGCAAAAGTTAAGATTAATAACGAAGATATTAGTGATAAAAGTGATAACGAAGTAAATAATAAAAATAACGACGATAATGTAAATAATATTTTTAACGTATGTTATAAAACTACATAAAATATAAATAAAGCTTAAGTTAAGGACGATGTGAACGATGATATGAATAATAAAATAATCGATAATAATAATAAAAAAAAAAAAAACAAAAATAAAAATAAGGATAAGGGTAAATATAAATATAAATATTACTATAAAATTAAACATATAAAAAAAAATATAAAAAACATTTTTAATAAAACGATATTAAATATAATAATAAAAATTAAAAATTTTAAGATTAAAACTACGAATAACGTTGTTATAAATAAGTAAGTTTTCTTTTATTTAAATAATAATTTAAAGGTAAGATTATTAGTATTAACGCTAAATACGTTTTATAAATACTCGATTAGTTTCTTACTTAACATGTCCGTTATAAAAACGTTAATAAGTTAAATTAATAATATTTTATACGCATCGTTTATTTCGTTAAAATATAAAAATATAAATAATATTAAAATCGATAATTTGTTTATGTGCGAGAATTAAGGGATTATAAAATACGTTATATGTTTAAATATAATTAAAAAGCTTAATAATTTAATAATAATAATAAGTTAATTAGCTTTATTTATAATAAAATTCGCAATTATTATTAATAACTTTAAAATAAAACTTTATATTTTATAATAAATACGAAATAAAAAATATAAAATTTATAAGTTTTATATGTATAAAATAGATATTTTTTTTTTGGAAAAAGAAGATTATTATATGCGATTTTATAAGTATATATTAAATATTTTTTAATAAGTAATAATAAGATAAGTTTAAATAATAAAATCCGTTAAAGGTAAATATTTAGCTTAAAAAATAAACATATATAAAAAAATAAATATCGATATAATTAAAATAAACTTAATATTATTAATAAAACGTAACTTAATTATATTATTTATTAAACATAAATAAATTATATTAACTATGAAACGCGTAATTAAAGCTTTTTTAAGATAATAAGCTTTAAAAGGGTTACTAAGTAAAGCACGATAAACTTTTAACTTTATTAAAATTAAAAAGTTAATTTTAATAAAAACCTTTAATGTTAAAATGTAAAAAAATGTTAAAAAAGTAATAAAAAACCGAAAGAATAAACTTAAAGAAAAATAAAAAAAATGTTAATAAATAAAATAAGTATTATTTAAATTAAAATGCTAAAACTTACTTCTTTTATAATTAAATATAAAGATTTCTTATAATTAAAAAGTAATAAATATTTCATTTTTTTTACGTATCGATTTAAAAGGCATAATTTATTTTCTTTAAATATTATAATTAAAGTTTTAAAATAGATTAAAAAACATATAATAACTTAATTAAAACACGATAAATTTAATAAAAAAAAGTTTATAGCTTACGTATATATCCACGTTAAAAACTAAAATTTAAAAACGAGAAAACTTAGGCAATTATAGCGCGCGCGAGCGTGTGCCTTTTAATATTTAATATTTTACATAATAGAATTAAGAAGCAACGATACTTATTAACCTACCTTACCTAAGATAGTATGCACTTGCCTAGGTTAGGTACCTAGGTATCTAAGATACACATATGACATGTCACAAACTATTAAGTAATTGAGTGTCACAATAACAAATCGATAAAAGAATAAATGTCAAAGTAGTAAACATAATATTGATTATTTGTAAACCTTGAGCCTATTTACATGAGAACCAGGGTATCAATCACCACGATACATAGAAACAAGACTATTTGGTGTCAAATTCTGAATAGTGTTGGTTGGCAGCGGTAAAACCATTGCTTCAAGGGGGGGTCAAATTTGCTATCTGTTACAGAGGTTTGCGTTATTGCTGAGAGCTATGTATCTGATTATGACCAGCACCGACAATTAGAGCAATCGCAATCGCATGTTTTATAACGACAGTTCTTGGAATAGAACCACGTTGAAATCAATAAAATCAAAAAATAGAAATTTAGACACGAAGAGGAGGGTTTTGTTCTTTTGCGAAAATAGGATCCTTGTGAAACTTTCTCTTGCTTGTCTCTTTGCTTGCTGCTTTTGCTGCTTTGCTGTCAAGGTTATCTCTTGCTTTTCCATTCCTTCTCTTTCTCCTCTTTTCCACTGGACGTGTGCCACAGCCAGGGCGACTGCTCTGCCTCGCCCTGCTATAGATATTACAACGAGCGTAGAGAAGAATATGCCTGCCGCCTTGCCTTAGATTTTTGTATCGCATTGCTTTCCATGGCAGACCCGCCTCTGTATAAAGTTGTTCAAATATGCCCCCCCGCCTGTTTCACGCCTCATCACCAAACCATTGTATTCCCTTGAGGATTTGCCAAGTTGCTCCCGCGAGCAGTATTTTTAGTCGTCATGATCGAAAAAAGGTAGTTGTAGGTGTCACAATAATGGTACAAGAAGACAAGTCGATGCTGAAAATCAATGATGCAACTTTTGGAGTCCTCTCTACCTAGACCTGCTGACCCAATCCAAGTAATAACCTGGAGGGTATAAAGGCCGAATATGCTTGTGTATGTGTGCGTGTTTGTGTGTGAAAGTCATTATGTCATTAACGGGCGTACGCGGAGATCTAAGTCGTTCGATCTTCGACGTTGCAAATCTAGTCTTAATCCTTCCGGAGGAATTTGAATGATTTAGTCAGATCGCTTGCGCTTCTTCTTGCCCTGACTCTCACTGGGGGATTCGTCTGAAGACATGTCGCTCGAGCTTCCGGGAACCTCAGACGCAACCTGGAAGAGTACCTTGCCAAAGTTGGCATAGTCTGTCTCACCCGGGGGCATTAAGTCGAGTCCCTCTTCACTGGTGTCGATTATGTTCATAACAATGGCACCACTACCATGGGTTCGTGCATGCTGAGATAGATTGTCACTTCGGGAGAACTTCTTACCGCACTCATGGCATTCGAAGGGCTTATCTTGTGTGTGGAGAGAGCGGTAGTGGCGCTTCAGGTGTTCTTGTCTGCGGAAACGACGGTTGCACAGTTCACAAACAAAAGTCTTGCTGGGGTCCTCAGTCAATGATTGCTTGCGACCTCGACGGTTTGGTGGGGCTGGCAATGGACCTCCTTGCGCACTTGATCCCGAGGTTGAGCCGCCGACATTGTTGTTGTCCTCCGGCGCGTCATCCTGGTAATGTTGGTGGTCATCGTCCCCTTGGTTAGAGTTGGAATCCGCAGCGACATTCATGATGGGTACAGCCTTTCGAGATTCCTTCTTCGACCTCTTTATCTTCTTATCCTTGTGTCCGTCGTGGTCCGATGAACAAGACGGGCTGGTATGACCAGATGATGCACAAGAAGAACCGTCCTCGGTATCAAAATCACCTTCAGCAAGGAAGGAATCGTGACCAAGGGATAATGTTGTGGAACAGGTGGCAGAGCGGGATCTCTTTACGTCAGCACTGGAGTGATCACCGATATTCACAAGACGGTTGACGAAGTCGTCCTCGGATTCCAAATCGGAGATATCCTCGAATGATGGCAGACCGTGATGAACTTCAGGGTTGAAGTCGAAAGCTCCGAGTGGTTGTTTTTGGAGAGCTTCACCCCTGAACTCCTCCAACGCGACAGGGGCAGAAAACTCGGGTGCTAAAGTGGAGTTTGACACACCGCCAACAGTGAGGTTCCGGGGGTCGCAGAAGTCCACGTCTTGTTCTGACGCGACGGATCGTGCATATGGGGGAGGAGATGGGGATAATGAAGGGCACGATTCAGTTGACAGAAAGTCACCTGAAATGCTGGAATTAAGAGAAGGGGTGTTTCCTGGTTGTGATTGTAGGTAAACTATATTAAAGGGGAAAAAAAGAAAGTTAGCGACTTTTTCTTTTTTTAAATTGATTTTAATTCTTGAATTGATTGATTTCTTTGGGGGAGATTTTAAGATGGAAAAGATTAAAATGGATTAGAACGAAAGATAGAAAGATAAGCGGTGAATTGGAATTGGGAATCGGGAATCAGGAAAGCCCCGCCAAATATTGACTTGGGACCTGAAACTTAACCTTCCAATTCTCCGCAAACCCATCCAAATTTAGATATTTTAAGATTTTGGCCATTGTATTTAAATGACCCTTAAATAATGGTGAATGCTTAAAAAAGGTCAAAGATAAAAGAAGATAAAGATAGAGATAAAAGATTAAATCTAATCAGATTCAAATAACAAATATAGAAATTGAGATAACAACATAAAACAGAATATTGGTGAAAACGAAGCAAAATGAATATTAAAAAAAAGAAAAAGAAAAAGAAAAAGATAAAAGATAAAACCTACCAGGCGTCAAAGGTGGTGAACCGCAGTTCGCCCAGTCTAGATTCTCTAAACTCTCGGGCACCGTCTCGATCTCGGGCTTGACCATCTCGCATCCGTCTAATCCAGAGAACATCGGGTTCAAAGGTGTCGCCAACATATCGCTTGTGTTGCATGGGCTTCCCATCGAACTGCCCGACGTGGACAATGGAGGCGTAGCTGGGTAGTAGTAGCCATCGTTGTCACATAGCTCAGTCTCGAGCATCAGCTTTCCAGGGTGGGCCTGTAGTAGAATGCTTGGTCGTTGCGTGCTCTGCGGCGATGCGGCGGGGGTCAGGTTGCTTGGTATGGAACTGAAAAGCTTAGCTGGCATTTGTTGTGGTTGTTGCGAACAGGACGAGTTCGGTCTGGAGTACATCGGCGTCGAAGGTAATGTGGGCACAACGGGAAACACCTGTTGCTGCTGCATTTGTTGGAAGCCCGGCTGCTGCTGGCTGAAGTGGCCGTGATGCCTGTTCTCCGGGTTGGGATCCGGTGTGTAGTAAAAAAACGGCGCCGGCCCCATCTGGGAGCTCATCATAGTTGAATCCATTGTCGTCGTCACTTGAACCAGAACCACCAAGTCAGTCCTGTGGCCAGTGACTACTAGTATATCAAATCCGCTCTGAAACTAACCTGATACTGGTCTTCAAGTGTGTCGTCCGATAATGGTATTTTAAACAAAGGTTTCCTTCTTTCCTCTTCTGTGAATGTTTATAAATTAAGTATATTGTTAAGTGTACTATACACTCTGCTTGTTTGCTTGTGGGTTGTTGGTTGGGTGGGCGGTTGGCCTAAAGATGGTGGTGTCGGTTCCTGAATGTCTTGAAGGAATGAACGGCGGTATATCGATATGATTTCAGAAAGACCGTCTTAGTTGCTGGTGACTCGGTGTGTGATGTTATACATTGACCTGTTCTCGACTTTGGACTCCCCGAGTATTATCGTCGAGTAACGGGCGTGGGAGCTGTGTATAGGTGCAACTTTGTATGTATACTTAAAGAAGGGCAGGATGTTCGAAGGATTCGAACAGTTCCAAAACTCGAGTCACGGAAGAAACAAGAGAACCGATAGGGTTATGAAGAAGAAAGTGAACAGACTCTACAGTCGACCGATATGTCGATCACGGACTAGGTAAGAGAGTAATGAACGTGGTTGAAGGGAACCTTGAGAGGATAATGAAATAGTCAAAGCCCAGATCAACGACACCAGATAAAAAGCCCATCGATAGGCACCTGGGAGGGTACCGGGTGGAATGGAGGGACCCATTAGAGAACCCACTCAACCCATGTACCATAGCATGTCTCACTTGGGGAAAAGCTGACAGGGGGACTAGTAAAGATGGTCCTGGTCGGGCCTGGGTCGACTAGCCACTGGCCAACCTTGTCCGCTGCATGTCTGGGGCAAAACGGAACGTGAGATGGAGTGGGTTGTGTCGACTGGTACTTAGCTGGTACTATGTGGGCGCAGCCACCGAGCGATTCTAAATCTGGATAGATAGTGGAGGGGGTTCAAGTACCGCCTATGGAGGTGTACTTCTTCTGTCTTGCTATCTTACTCTACATACATACATATGTACATACATACACTAACTACTACATACTAGACTACTTAAGACTACATACATACATAGTATAATGTAGTATGTACTAGGTATTCATTTTCTTGTCGACGGACAGCAGAAACCTTGTCCGACTGGTCGTGTACCTGCTGCATACATAGTGCTGCATACATAGTGCATAGTGCATACCTCTCAAGCCCCGTTCGTTTATACTACTTATGTACTATGTGTCTACGCACGCGCAAGCATACGACACCTTGCATATCGCCTACAACCTCTAGAGGGCGATGAGGGCGATACGGGCTCTCTTGCAGACCCAGCCGAGTCTTGTGAATAATGCCTAGTATATTATCTAGATAAGTATTATAGTAGCGATAGTGACAGTTTATACCTTTCAATATCCTCTCCGTAACCTAGGAGTCTTATGTCAGGTCCTAGATATGCATGCATATGTAGGTATAGATAGCTAATACTTTCGAAAATGGTTGTTCTCTATACAATGCTCGTCATAATCCAACAGTTTTACCATGTGCGTGCCAAGATTTACTATAGAGGTGCTAAGTTAGGTTGGGTATAAGTAGTCATCCAAACGGTTTGTACATGCATACCTCGTGCATAATAATAATAAGTTCACATATGTATAACAAACATGCAGGTGAGACGACGCCTACACCGTAGTATCTCGGCGGTCTTTCCTCCCCATGGCAGTCGAGCCATTTTGGGGTAATAGATTGCCATTTTGCACAAGTATAGGATTTTCATGAATGGTTGGAACATGTAACTATACTTACATACATACATACTTCACGTTGAATGTATGTATATGTACAATACATGATCCGACAACTGTGATAGGTGGATTTGACCGCTGGACCACAGGAAGAAGCGAGCCACACGATTTGCATAACTCGTCTTTCTCTATCTTTTTTTTGCTAGAGGTTGTGTTCAACTGCAACATTGCACAGCCAGTCACTGAACGCCGTTCAGCCTTCGCGCGACTCGGAGTCCTCTGCGCCAGCCCATCATGCCGTCCAGTTGAAGGACGTGATGGAATGCAGGTACAGGCGGGCAGGCGTTGCGCTGTGGATCACATTCGTCACTCAGCGCTTTCACGAGAAAGACTTTGCGCCTATCCTAAGGCCCGACGCTGTCGATTGGATCACGGTGAGTGCGGTACCCAAAATGTCGGATACTTTACCGTAGCTGGTGGTGTTCAGATTGGGAGATAATGAGATCATGTCTCTTGCAGCGGCATCGACACTGGGCTCTAGGCTAAGCCCCCTTGACATCAGGACCCTAGATTCTCCAAAGAATCAAGACAGCAAAACAGTGTATGTATTTTGAAGATCATCCGACAGGTCGATTTGGAAATCTTCCAATCTGCCGATGAGTGAATTCCCACTAACACGACGTGAGGAGGTAACAAATGGAGTTTTCATGTACACACATACAGTAGGTGAGTTTTGCCAAGTAGAATCCGCCGTGAGGCAGCCTACCTTCGTATGCCCAATAGTATCGTATTGGAGGTATTTTACCAAAGGTGAATCCAATTTTTCCCTTTCTTAGGCGGCGAAGTTGTTGGAGCAATTGAAGACCAATGATATGTGATTTTTGCCTAAGGTGCCCTCGCATTGGTAGATTGACGACAGATTAACTTGTGATGAAGCAGATTTTCAATCTATCTGTTAAAATTCGGTTGCATTGATTGGGACTTGGAAACACTGGATCGGCTCTGGACACGGTGTGAGTGGGCAAAAGCCAGCCAAGACGCGCGGGTTCCTGATACGGGTTCCTGATATGCAAACACTCTACATAAGCCTAAGTTGAGTCGTTCCTAGGTTCCTAGATGCAACCCATTCATCCAGAGGAAACAGCCTAGAGACGCCTACGCCACGCCGACCATCGAATCACGATAGAGGAAGCGTGTTGACGGAACGCGCAATGGGGTTTCGTTTGGTGTCATCACAAGAATTGCGAGATGGGGTTGGCTGAATGCAGGCAATGGATATTGGCTTATTCTCACGCGATAGGTCGATAGTGATTAACTGAATTGCCTCGTCCCGATTCGTAATTCAAGCACGAGAACATGAGCATCACAGTGATGCTTTTGCTACATATCAGCATATTTTCTGTTACATGTGAGATTAGACCCCGCATCAATAATTGTGATGGAGAATCCGATGGGCTCTATCTCACAGTCTAAGGTACTAGAGGCTGGAGGTAATAGGAGTAGAAGTGATATTTGGTAGCATCCAAACATTAAAGCTGAGTTGAGAGACTTGATAGGGGAGAAGTGAGATTAGATATTACATATTATGGTAAATCTAGGTAGTTATCGTGATGAACCATACTACATATGTAGTAAGGTAAAGGATGTGACGAGTCATTGAAGATTTGTTTATTATTGCGACTTATAAAAATAGTTCAAGTTGTTGTATGTGAGGAATAAAGCATGAGAAGCATGAGTAGGGCTACCTAAAGTTAGTGTATTAGGTATTCTTCTAATTTCCTGTTCAACTGTTGTTTCTTTCTATCTTCAATCTTACTTCCCTTTCGCTTTCCTTGACCTTAAAGTTCTCTTTGCTTTTAACTATTATTAGTGTATTAAGTACCTAGGGTACAATACATACATGTAGGTGCAATACATCAGTAATATCATGTATTATACCACACCTCGGGTTCTTCCAGTACAACCATTGGGCAATCAGGCTGTTGCAGCACGCCTGCAATTCCAACATCAAACCTTGCCTAAAGGTTAAATTCTAGAGCCTAGAGTTAAGAAAACCCGACACGGCCATGACTTCCAATGTTTCCGCGCTTGCTTCGGAATACCAAGGTACTTAGATAATGTAGTTCAATATTTAGAAAGACCGATAGAAAATCAATTTTCTTCCTTTTTAGCCTTCAAGGTTTCTGGTCAACGGTTCCAACGTGGTTATCTCGTGTATTCCCGTCCACCTCGTGCATTTCGTGCAGTCTACGAATATCCTCATCTCCACCATGTAACGAACGCTGTATGTACCGTATGTATGTATGTATGTATGTACACGTTTTCAACTCTCGGGATTTAAAATGTCAGATTTATTTACATCTCTTCAAACTCTTCAGAGTCTTCACTAATTCCAGTATATTCTGCAAACATCATGATCGAGGGGATATCAAGGTAATGGATCGGGCCATAATTACGCATGGCGCGCTCTAGAAGTCGTATCGCCAAATACATACCTACATTTTGGTGATACAACTCTTGAACACCAGACTTGATCACCGCTTTCTCACCGGGCCTGCACTACCAGCTACTAACCTACTAAACTTAGTGTCTGCGTAGGTATCATTGATGTATGTATGTCATGGCTTGACAGTCTCCAAGGCTGCATTGCTATACACACGATTCTCCGTTTAGAGAATGTTTGGGTACCATCAAAGCATCCAAGGATCCATCGTTCGTTTCATTATTTGACCGTGCATACTAGTGCATTGGTTAATGCATTTGGCAAATGCATTCGCATCCATTACCACCATAGCAGCATAGTGTGCATAATTGTGGTCCATAAAGTATGTACACACTTACATTAAATACATACGATACATAGTACAGTCGATAATACAGTCGATACTACGAATAACTACCCTACTATGAAAGTGCTAATAAGCGGTGGAGCGTCTTCTTTCTATCGGACTAAAGCCCAAATCAGGAAGCTTATCATAACCCAGGCGATCGTTCCACCGCTAAAGTGCCTAGACACTCTGCTGGGAGTTCCGAATTTACAGGGTATCCATAACTGTTCTGTGGAAGACTTCCGGCTCGACAGCACCCCCAGCGAAAGGCCATCTACCTAGGTCATCTACCTAGGTAGCTAATTTGCCTCCCATTATGCGGCCTAACACCCGGCTCCCACCGTGCTGGAAACTAGAAGACGTCAGGGTATCAATCCTACATAGGGCACCTGGGTACTGTACATGCCTAGGTAATTACGTGTAGGTATGTATGTCAGAGAGTCCAGAGACAGGTCAAGTAACTTGAAGTAAGTACCGTCTGATGGAGGGTACATCTCAGTTCTTCTCCACACCAATCGCCTTGCTTTCGGCCTATTCCATCGACCCGTACCTTGCATACTAAATGTGTGCCTGCAGTATTCGTCCTGCAGGAACAATGCAGGAGCGGCACATTATTACTGTACATAGTAAGGCACTAGCAAGTCGGTATGCAAGCCAGGTATGTAAAGTGATCCGGAATCCAACTACTATGTAGATTTGTACATCTAACTAATTCTTATCTGACAGAAGTGAAAGACGCGGAGAAGAGCAGTAGTAACTACATATGTAGCTCCATATCAGATAAAAGGCTGTAACTAACACTATCGCATCCTTACGGCATAGATACATGCTCAGCTATTAGTAGTAGGTA